AATGCAGTAAGCCAGAAATGGCACATCCACCAAGCTGACCTGACATAGTGTTTGCTACAAACATGGTAGCACAATTCAATCAAAATCCTGGTAAATGCTACTGGACGCAAAAGGATCATGCGCTACCTGAAGGGCACTCAAGAACTCTGTTTGATATCAAATTCAGATGGCAACACTATCCTATCATACACAGATTCTGACCATGCATCTCAGAGTCACCGACACTCCATATCTGGACATGCCTCATTCTATGCTGGCTTACTTGTTATCTGGGGTGCAAAGAAACAACCTATCATAGCCCTTTCAAGCACAGAATCTGAGTACATAGCCACTACCCATGCCATCAAGGAGATATTCTGGCTCCAGAACCTTGTTGGAAAATTAAGGTCACCCATAAATGGACCCACCACACTATATTGTGACATCCAAGGAGCTATAGTGTTAAACAAGAACAACATGTTCCACCCCAGAATAAAACATATAGATATCTGGTATCACTTCATCCGTGAGGCAGTCAAAAACGATCGGATCACACTATATTGTGACATCCAAGGAGCTATAGTGTTAAACAAGAACAACATGTTCCACCCCAGAATAAAACATATAGATATCTGGTATCACTTCATCCGTGAGGCAGTCAAAAACGATCGGATCACACTTTCCTACTGTCCCACCAATGATATGATTGCAGATATTTTGACCAAGTCTCTTCCAAAGATTAAACATACAGTATCTCCAACTTCGCAATTACTAATACCACAGCCACAGCTTTGCTACATTTGTCACATCACAGCTCTGACTACCTTAGCTCTCTGAGACAGTCAGGACTGTGAGTATAGTTATTATGTTCCTGCATCACCTACAATACTGATCCTTCTGTAGATATCTCACTATATCTTAGATTGCCAGCTCACACCCGGCACTCTCAATGGCTTCACATGCTCCAATCCTTACAGAAAGGAACCATTGCAAAGATGACACATGGTCAATTAACTACAATAACATAGGTACATACACTGTATGTATTGCCTAACATAGGGCAACACCCCAAAAGACATTAATCAAGGAGGGAAAAAAAAAAAAAACAATGACTCCTTGATAAAAATTCAGAGATTGGGTGACTTTCCATAAGGTTTTGGCAATAGAAATGATGTATAAACCAATAAAACTATGTGAAACTCAGCTGCTGCCCAAGAGGCTATAGAAACGACTGAGGTATTTCTATACTAAACCCCCTACTACTTATAGCCGGAGGTGCTACTTGCTATAGTATAATGACTCCTAGGAGAACAATGGTGACTCCATGGAGTGGTGGCTATGCTCCATGGAGAACAATGGCTGCTTCGGCAGAGACCGGGTTTATCCTGTTTTGTCATAAACATGATATCCGAACTAGCCAAAGTGCTGCCCATGATATTTTATTGACTTGAATAAACCACAAGAGCCTATCAGATAAATCTAATTAAAGTCAAATATCTGCAGTCTATGTTCGGATTAAGGACTGATTGAGCACTGAGATCAGGCTTACAAAGTCATCATGGACTTGAGTGAAGTACTACAAGCCAATTTGACAAAGAACAGTCTGACAATAAACTCGTTGAACCCACTTGAACAAGCACTGGCACTTCTGGCTGCTATATATCACATACATTGGAGCAAAAAAAGCACTTTTTCTTTGGGCTTTTATATCACAAAAACAGTACTAATGTAGTAGTGAGAAACTGTGCATTGAGAGCACAATTCATGCTGTTGTGCTTGATTGAATAGCAGCCTTGAGCAACTCTTGATGTGGGTTGACAGAGTCAGACCATTGACCACTCGGTGTCATGCACCAAAATTGATTGGTAGCATGGACAGGTGTCAAAAATGAAGCAAATATTCAAAAAGACTTGCCTTTGCACCACACAGGCACAGTTCCACGTGGAATAGTAATTAATATTGTCTTTTTCAAACTTGTGGCTGATCAGCACCACCTCTATTAGGCAATTCAGTCACGCTCACCTTTGCTTTTCCATTCAGTACTTTCTGTGTTTTGGCAGTTCAGCAAATTTTTGCATCGCCACTGGCTACACATTGCGTCCTCGCTTTTGTCGTTCTCCCTTACTTTTTTCTTTACTCAGCCTTACCATGGGACCCTTGCTCTCTTTTTTATTCTCACCTGATGGTTGCTTCTGGATCCCCATTTTAGTTCACCTCCTCGTCACCTCCACCCTCCTCCTCCTCCTCCTCATCTTCTTTGCTCCCCCACCATATCTGATGTCACCACTCTCTATCCACTTCCATTGCTGATCCGTCGACCATCACGTGCCACTGCTGATATCAGCAAAGCCCCTGCGGCCAGTCCAAGTTGGGCAACTGGTCCATCTTCATGATGTCAATCTTCCATTGTATGCCATCAAAACATTGGTCACTCGTCTCGCCTGGTTGGAGCATGGGTGGGTAATTTTTGAGCTGGAGAAGGTTCATCCCCTTGTGTTGCCTATGTACATTGCTGTCCCATTCACTTGCGTACACTTATCTTTCGTCCATTGTCTTTGCTACAGCTACACCTACCACACGCTGCCTGGGACTCACTTGTTCCAAATTGGAATGACTCCCCTCCCTCCCTTGTTTGACCAGGTGGTCCAATATAACCAGTCCATTGGTAAGGCCATGGTACCGTCGGATTTGGACTAGGTGGTGGACCAGTGGCTCCAGTTCCTTTTTTTTCAGCAGAACATTCATTTACAGTGCGATTATTTTTGATTTTTGAATCATTTTTATGGACACATATTTTTTAGAATGCCTGACTGACAATAAAGAAGCTGTGTTGATACTGATATTTTTTTGCTTTATCCTTTTTTTACTGCATCTTCTCATGACATCACAATTTTCTTGCTCTCTTTCTGTTATTGGACTTTATTTTATGGCTGTACAAACCTGTGACATTACTTACACAGCATTGATTGTTCTATCTCTTTCTTTTCCTTATTTTGACAATCTTATCCTGTACTACCTACGCAGGATTTGTCAGCATACATTCCTTCCTTCATGTTCTTTCTCATTCTTTTTGCACAGCTATACTGTGCATAGCCTACCTTTCTTTTACTATATAAACCCCTGTATTTTACCTTGTAAAAGAACAACAAGAAATCCAATCAAGACTTCTTCTCTAATCTCAAGTTCACTACTCTCTGCTACTTGTGATCCAGTGTGGTCACAACACTTCCCACTGCTACCACTGTTAACTGCTGTCATTGTCACTTATCACTTTTGAAAGTCATTATCATCCCTTTCAATTAGAGTCTTTCTGAGCACTACAGTTTGTGCGTCAGGAGCCTGCTATCACTGGGAACCTCATTGTTCTTAAACCTACCTTGTGCTATAATTAGCAAGGTAGTGCTTGTCTATACTCATCATAAAGCCCCTATCTTCTATATTTCATCTATCCCTCCTCCTCAAAACCCACACCCATACATCTCTGAGTTTTACTTTGAAGGATTGTCATACATACCACCCCACGAACAACCAGAGTGTTACGCACAAAGTGCTTAACAAAGTCTGAGGGTTCGTTGAGGTTTATAAAGAGACTTATCCGAAGACAAGTTTGAGAACGTAGTTGTGAGTGGAGGTCTTCCAACGAGAGTTGGTCTTCTTCTGAGTAGAAGTCTGATCTTAGGAGTCTAACTTTGTAAGCGTAAACTGCGTAGAATTGTATTGGAGAATACTACTGCTGTTACATGGTATTTATAATGGAGAGGAATTGGTGATAGGAGTTAGGTCCTATCTAGGGCAGGTCCATCTGTTGAGGACTAAGTACTATAATAGGTACTGTGAATGCGAGAGGAACGGAAGTGTATGTGAAGGAAATGAGTCATCGGTCCGATGGTATAACCGATGAGTAAAAAGAAATGAGTAGTCCTTAAATGTCCAATAGAGATCGTAACACAGAGCACCCACTGTTCTAGGGGGCAAAATCCATAAACAAGTTATGTGGAATCTGGGAGGATTGTGTGTTAGTTTGTTTTGTGTGGTTTTCTAACAACAGTTCTCATCATCAACAACGGCCGGGGCATATCTTGTTTGGTGAACTACTAACCATCTCTCCTCTCAATGCAGCAAACATCTTCAGCATATTTGGATCTGCATGGGCGTTTGTAAGGTGTGTGTGCAGAAAATTGCGCTCAATTGTCTTGTAAGTGTTTCTATAAACTTGGTCTAATATGGACTCTAATAATATCCAATTTACAGCGTAGTTTGAGCCTTCACCACTGTTTTGAACTTTTGTGAAGAGATTGTACAGTTCAACGCACCAGTCGGCTCCTCAAAATTTACCTGTGTTTCCTGTAGGATTGACAAGGATATTGTACTGAACAGCACATCTGTTTTGATTGAGTAAGTGTTACCCATCTTTTGTGTAGTTGTAGAACACTTACTTGAGGCCGGCAGGATAATTATAATGAACATTCAATAGGAAGTTCAATATATGAGAAGCATATTTATGCTTGCCAGTTGCTTTAAAGATTGGAATCCAGGACACAAGGCAGGCCTTAATGCGTCCAATGTCCCCAAAGTTTATGGTGTAGGAAATCTCTTCATAAAGTAAAGCATATTTGTTAAATAACAGTCCATTTTTGCGTTGCTGATCCCGAACTGACCCTGGACGCTGCCTCATATGTCTGACTTTGTAGCCTCCAACATAATTTTCTGCAAGCCTAACTGCCATTTTTTGCAGGGTTTTGAATGATGGTTCACTGACAGCAAACAACTCTAGAGTTGTTTGCTGGCTGTTTTGCTTCTCATCTTTGATTCACCAGCAATCCAGACATCAACAAATGCCAGCATGACCAAAATTTTCATGTGTCCAACGGAAACCAGGTTTTGAGCAAAAAATCCCAGTTTCCTTTGGGCAGAGCCTTGCCACATCACACATCAAGCTTGTCTCATCTTCCCTGGCAGCCACAGGCTGTATGAAAACTCGCCAAAGTTCATCTGCCGCCGCCATTTTGAGGTGGAACAACTTAGGCACAAAAATCACATGTTGAAACTGGTCCCAAGGTGTTTCCTCGATCGCTCGACGTTGTTGGACGGCCTGGAGACGTTCTCATGCCAAGATCCCCATGAAACAATACTACATAGTCCTCAAGATCATTCTCTTCAGGTTCGCTTTCATTGCCGACATCAAACCCATCCTGTGCCAGTAAGTCCACTACAGCATGTATATTTCCTGAAATAGTGGAGTTATTGATGTCCATGGCTCGAGCAGCGATTATAGGAGGTTTGACCACCAGTATCTGTTTAATAACTGGTGGTCCTTTGAGCTGAGACTTGAAACGAGAGAAATAGGACGGGCCATAGTGGCACAGGTCGTGTAAGAACTTCCAGGTGTTGTAGCTTTGGTGGATGTCTTCTTCACCATTGCGAGAGATGACAGCTAACAGATCTTTGTAAGTTTGTTTCTGCCTTGGATTCACTGCTGTGATAGTGGGGTTTAATGATGATTTAATCCATAGCTTTTGCGAGCATCTTAGACCCTGTGGAGTGATGTCGTGCTGGAGTGGAAAGAGCAAGCCTGAGGTCAGATGTTTTTAATGACTCGGCTGAATTCTCCACAGTAGGAATGCACAATTTAAGCTCTACATAAAAATTATCATAGGCATATGCTGCCAGAAGTGTTTGCCCTAGCTTACAAAGGGCATTTTCACTCTGGATAGATAGCGATCAATTGGCGGCATGTATTGTGGTCACTGAAATGGAGATGCCCATGTGTGCGAGAGTATTGATGACTTTTTCTGGAGTATGCACAGACTGAAGGAAAAATGCCTATGATACTCTGCAAGGATTTCGTATATTGCTTTGCATATTTATACTGACTATAACAACTTTTTTCTAGCCCCATACCGTATAAATGCAATATTGGAGAGGGAGGACAACACTTTACTTACTACTACAATAGCTGCTTTTTGACGCTCTCTTGTTTTGGAAGCACGAGACTCTTTGTCTTGGAACAAAACCTTGGCCATTCCCTCTAGATCCATCTCGTCTACTGTGCCCAATAAGCATCCTCTGCTTCAACTTTGTTGTTGTTGTGTTCACTCATAGTAGTGTCTGGGCCATCAATCGATCTGTCCAGGTCCCCATCAAGTAGAGTGTCCAGTATGTCCCACAGTACCGGTGCATCACTTTTATACTTTGCTGCCATTTCTTTCATGCAAAACTTTTCAAGTTGGTCGGTTGTAGCCTTTCTGGCATTAAAGTGCCAACCGGTATTTTTGCGGACCAGAACTCGTATCTCCTGGATGCACTGCTTCTCAAGAATATGTTTGGCCCATTTCAGAACGACTTCTTTCATTTGGATTGTGAGGGAGAGGTGGTTGAAAAAAACAGCGAGGATAGCTGGGAACAGTGTTAAGAGATCTTGAATGATTAGGTGGTGGTTGTAGTGAGGGTCTTGCAGGATCAAGAGGAGGAACTGGGAAGGCTGGGTGTTAGTTTGAGTAAAAAATTCAATGATGGATTCAAGATGGTTGTCGAACATGGTGATGGACTGATCGCTGATGTTCAGCCTCGTGTCCTCACATCAGCCTATTCTACCTCTATCTTTCTTACTAAGAATGGAAACAGGTCGTGTGGAATAGTTATTTTATTTTTGAAAAAATTGTAATTTTTTGGTGTTCAATTTTTGGTCTCAGGTGTCACAAGTCACTGTGGCGACCATTGTTTACTGATGTCAAACTCCAGCCGCTGTGGAGAGAGAGCGAGGACCGTTATGCTGACTTTGAATTTTTTATCTTATCATTATCTAATCATATCTTATCGCAAGTCATATTATTTTTGCTCCAGGATTAAGTCCTCCTCTCTCGCAACGGTGGATGGGGAGGAGCCTGCTGTATAAATCCTTATGGAAAGACATCCATTGATCAGAACGATTAATTAATTCTAGTACTTTGTACATCAGTGATCAGTGTTAACGCTGAATATAGTGATGGTGGTTTCAGTGATGCGGTCTGGGCTTAGATCAGTCAGTGGTGAACTAGCAGGCTTTCAGTGACCTTACTTCCCACAGTGTTATAGTACTTGTATCAAATACCTGCTCTGAGTGTTCAAACCATCTGAGTAAAGTTATCTTGGCCTGTTCCTCCTACCTGGTCTTCAGAATATTTCTGAAGATACCCAATCTGTGTTTGTTATTTTTTTTGTGTTGCCTGATGCGTCTAAAATTGTTTTTTTCCCTGTTCTGATCAGTTTCTATTCATGGACCTGTCAGACGATCAGATGGGACAAGAGATGATGAACTCAGGATTCCTTCAGAAGTTCGTCATTTCTGATCCATTTCTCCGACATATGCAAATTTCCGGCATTCACCTGTGAGATGTGCCTACTAGTAAGAAGACCACCTCCCTGATTTCCTAATGTCAGTGATGCAGTGGCTCTGACGATTAATTTGCTCCAGATAATTGTTGTGTTTCATTTGAATCCCCTAATCAGTACGTATCAATCTGACGATTAATTTACTTCCAGATAATCGTTGTGTTTCATTTGAATCCAGCTACTTATGTTACCTGTACGGTCCGAATGGAGTCAGACACGGCGAGCAAAGTGCTAGCCAGTTGAAGTAAGTAAGGCATTCATGCACTCCAGTGAGTTGTCCGATTAACGTCTCTCCTATCATGATAGTGATATGGTGCATAGAAAGATGGTCAGCCTCATCGTGCTCATCTGATATTCTGATGGGGGAAGATAAAATTTCGAATACAACACCACCAGAATTCAGCATGGGCTTAACTGAGCTAGCGTTCATAACATTTGATTTAGAGCCTTACCAATATAAACGCGTCCCCCTCATATCATCCTCAATAACTTCCCCATAATGACTGGCGCGTCCCTGCACTTGGAGACGTCTCATGGACTGCTGCATATTTTCGTGGCTTTCTGGAGAAAGGTTGCATATCATTTGAAAACCGCATTCTTGTTCACAAAGTCAGATGTTATGACTACTTTAATTCCGATCGTGAGCCGCTAGGTCTTACTATTGCTAAACATTGACAATAGCTATGAACATTTATAGACAATATTTGCAGCCGTTGCTGCTCCTTTGTGCTCTGTGTGGCGCATAGTTCATGTCATGTGTTGGATATGGGTCCATCTTTTGCAGTTTGATGTCTCGAACCAAACAGTCTTCCCAGAGGAAGACCGGAGAAACAAAGCTACTCGACCTTTGCCTGCTGGGCGCATTTTGATGCGAAACGCTGTGTATCTGCGGTGGTTTCTCGTGCCGGTGTGCTTCATGATCTCATCAGCATATGGTATATATGCCTTTTACGCTAGCATATTGCTGGTGGCATTGACCGTCTGCCACAATGAGTTGCAAGGGCATCGTCACTGGATGTCTAAAAGCTTGCTCACCGCAGCCGGTTTGGTATCATTTGAGCTGGGTGGCACCTTGGTGGCAGGTTTGTCATCACTATTGCAGCTACAAGCCACGAAGATGACGAAGTATCACAGGTTGTTGTCATTCAGAAGTCGATAACGTAGGGGTTCTGGCAATTATTCTTAGTGCTATGATTCTTGCCACGACTATCCATTCGCAGGATTTTAAAGACGAAGAAGGTGATCGTCTTATTGGAAGGCAGACTCTTGCCATTGCATCTCCAGTTGTGGGTCGATCAATTATCTTGGTGCTCTTACCTATATGGTCTATCTCTCTTTGCAAAATCTGGCATGTGGACTTCGCTTGCAGCTTGGCCTTCCTAGCACTTTCCCTGATAGTGGGTACAAGGTTTATGCTGGCTACCACAGTCCAAGCAGATAAGATGGCTTACTTGTTATATAATGTCAGTTAAGCCATCTTGCAGATCAAAATTTGACTAACAACTATATTACTTCAGATATGGCTATCAATTGCACATCTTCTTCCAGGTTATTGGAGGTATCTTCACGGTGTTTAATATATTGCAGACTCATAACGCAGAATTTCACGAGGGGAAAGACTATGTGTCTGTTTCTTGATGTGATTGGCAGGCCTAAGTCCCGTTGCTCGGTGCTTTGTATATTATAGCTGTTAGACTGGTACATTCTGAATGTCATTAACGTTCGCTGGCTGCTCCTGCAGGGAAAAAAGAATAAATCAGAATATCCCTTTCAACGACGCTAGGTCCTTTCTAACTCACCACTAAGCTCGAGATTAGTCCATGCGATCTAATAGCGTGTAACGAATGGAATACATTGAATTGAAGTTGCCGTCCACCACCCGTAAGCTGAAGCGATAACATCTCCTTGGCGTTCTCTTTTGCCCGAATACTTGCACGTTCGTTCAATCTAGCATTGAAAACGATGTTCATCAGTAAAAAAGTTGGGTTTGACGAGTGACGAGTGACGAGTGACGTTATGGTACGAACAAGAGTACTGCAAAATAACACATCATCATCAACTCCTTCACTAGTGGCACACGAGTACTCACACATGGTATTAGTATAGATGTTTGGTATATTCATGTGGAAAGGTAGCCTTGGATTATCACCATGGTTCGTGAATATATGTCGTGTAAGATGGTTGTCATATAGGTACGCACCAGTACCAATAGGTCTCTCCTATGAGCCATAGAACTAAATATGTGATTTGAGCTGCTATGAGGAGCATTCCACGATTGAGGACCAAAAGTCGGATTGACTTGATGGTACTTCTTGTCCTGTGAGGTATCGCCAGTAGAGCATGAGAGAAGTAAAGGATTAACAATGAGAATAAATATATAAATATTACCCACTTTGTCACCCCTATCGAATCAAGATAGTACCACATTGCAGCTGTCGCGATGAAATCGCACACAATCGGCACAACGATGCTGACGTTACCCACAATCTATGTGAATCTCAGTTAATAAATAGTACGATTGACGAGAATATCGTATGACATACAACAAAAACTTTACTATCAGCAGACTCCAAGGATGAATACTCACTCAAGAGCGTTGTAAGGGCTAAAATGATATGAAACTGCTTTATAGCTTAATATGCACGTGCAATCATGGATGCGACTTACCGATACCGAAAGCTGACAGAGAATTAAGCATTTCTTGTCCTCGCACTAATTTAAATCAAAACTCACCTAAACTGCAGAGTGCGAAGAATACCTATAATTGACATGAGCACGCGTTCAATCACCATAATAGAAATGTACTAGCTATAATCAAGGCCACTGCCCAGCTTTTTCTATTGACTGCGTGAGGAGTGTCAAGTGATTCCTTCACACTGGAAACAGAAAACGGACAGACCTAGGTAAATCTGACGGGAAAAAAATAGTTGTGCACTGCATGACTGTCAGCTACTAATGAACAATCAAGTGAACAGCTGATGGGCAACTTACAGGACTTGCACTATAGCAGATGCTAACACACTGGCACTGTACTCCCTATGCTATCCATTAGATAGCGTTGTGACTTTTGAAGTAGGCTTTCGTACCATGGCAGAAGGGTAAGAGCAGAGGGATTGTCATAATTCTCAGCCTTCAATAGGATGATTAGAAGGCGAAGTTGTAGGAAAAGCTCGCAGATTTACCAGGTAGAAGAAAAATAATTTAGCTAAAAATATCCAGTTCACGGTGTTGGCTATACTATGATAGAATTTGAGTGAGTAGAATAAAATAATTTCCGGAATTTATTTTCTACATTATGAAGGACACCTGGCGGACTGTAGTGGGAACATGAAAACGTGTAATAGAGTTAATACTTACAAATATCTTTGTGGGCCACCCATCGCGATATTTCTGAAAGTAGAAATAGCTTTGCATGAACGTGCATCCAAAACATCTAGGTGTATATTAGCATATTAAGATGTGAGGACAAGTAGCCAACAAACGAACAGTGTTGTAATCAGAATGCCTATGATAAATAAGTTGGGTTAGGTCAATGCGGAGTAGACACATGTATCGAGAATAAAGCCATACCCCAATAACTAAATTCCACATATCTGTTTTGTGATTGTGATAGAGACGACATTCAGATATCAGCCCGGGAAAGAAACAGACCACCCGTCGACGACGTCTGATGACTGTATTTAAATGGGATGCATGATGATGAATGTCAAATATGGACCAAGACATCCCACAAGGCTGAGCACAGGTTGAGCTGGGCTGATTGTGATTGATAGATGCTCCTAGTCATGCTGAACGCTGAGCGCTGAACGTTGAACCGTCACGATCACCGGTCCTAAGATGATCAATGAACAGGTGATATGAAATTACCACGAACCTACGAATCAAGGCGGGTTATGCTTCCGCGGAGTTTCTAACATTATCCTAATTAAGACATGACAATGTACGCCGCGGCGCATTCTTCAATTTCTCTTCTATTATGCCACCTCGTCGTGCACCTTGTCAGATCTGCAATAGCAACGAGTCAAAGTATACTTGCGCTTCCTGCAGCTTATTGTAGTGAGTATCATCTCATCTTACGATTGGTATGTATCGACTGGAAAGTCCTCAACTATCTCACCAAGTTGTTCTGTATCATGCTACAAGCAACACAAAGGTTCGTGCATAGAACTTTCCTTGAAGTAATATCATACTCATTTTCATTCAATATGCTTTTCCAGAGGTACTCTGTGGGAAGGATGAAGTAACACCAATATCGGACTTTAGGGAGAGTATTCCCGATGTCTCGAATGTATGTTAGTGCAGAATTTCTCCATAAAGATGAATGCAGTACTAAGGCTTTTCCGTAGCCCCTAGTTTGTCTACTAGTAGACCTGGTATACATCCAACGCAAAGAGCACTGGAAGACTCAAAGCCACTCCGACCCCTGAGCTCGTTAAATTGGCCATATGTCCCAGAACAATCTGCATATCCCGATCCTCTAAAGCGCGATGATCCGAAACCACTACAATTGCATCAATACGAGGCAATAGGTACACTATTCTTAGCTCTTTTGTTGTCAGATCACTAATGTAATTCCCAGCTACTTCGCCTGTGATTCGTAACATCCTGGCAAAGAACCCACGCTTGATCACGCTTCTCACATCTCTGGACAGCCTCCAAGGTGCTGGAAGGGAAGATGCACTGCAAGGAGCACTCGGAGTTCATAGATCCCAAACGGGGGCCCACCAACACCAAAAGGCGGCGGAATCAGATGAGGATGTGCTTGCTCTAAGAACATTGACCGAGGCCATTGAAGCAGCAGTGAGAGGGGAAAAAGAAGGAACTTTGGACCTTGATTGGGGAGAATAGGAATAGTTATGTTTTGGACTGGGGATATGATGCTGGAGGAGCGAACTGATGCGGTAGATCGAGTATCACATCACACTGGTAGGTAGACAGCATTACCGACTAAGAGAAGCTAAAGAAGTGGGATCACATATAGAATAAACAGAAACTCGTGTCCCAACCCTTATGACGAAACCCGTAGCGTTCGAACCAGCCTACTTGATCCCAAGGAACAATAGACCCCTCTTGGCTTTTTCCACCTCTTCTTCTAATTCTCTGCCATCGCTGCTAGTCCACCACAATTCCCTGTCTATGTCCTCCGCGGTCTTCCCACTTCTGATCGCACTCTCAAAAGCCGATTTTCTTGCATTGAGAGCTGCCATCTTTCTAGGGTCTGAATGTCCTGTGAAAAGTACTACGGCGGTGCGTGGAGGAAGCGAGGTGTACAGCGTGATCAGATGATTGTTGAGGTTAGCAAGGGCAGAGGAGAGAATTTCTGGAGATGGTTCTGCCAGGTTGGTTGTGGCTAACATCTGAGATAATGTATCCCCGGTTGCTTTTTGTGTGAGCCCTAGGGAGAATAAAATGATAAATGAAATAATGATCTATAGAGGATTTATTTCTCCAAAAGCTTAAAGTTAAGACTTACAGCCTAGGGCATCCGCGACGCCTGTAAATCTGCCAAAGGCAAACTCGTGACCAGGAACACTTTGCAATAACCCCTCCAGAACTTCAGCATCATTAGTGCATGGGATGACTGTGTTTGCTTTTGAACCATGCATCGCAGAAGGATTACCGTGGTCAACTACTGCACTACGAATCGTGCCTGGGCCGCCGCGTCCAACGGCTCGTGCCATCCGCTCGAAGATGGACTCGTAGTCTGTCCTAAACTCACCAAACCCAGCGCCTACAGAATACAGAAACACCACTCATCAGAATAACTTACTAATTGTACCAGGCGAGAAGTCTCACCATTCTGCACTTTAAGTTTGAGGAGGTCTAGACAAGCTCTGGCATCCTCCTCCGGGTCGTGACCGCCATCACCGCGAGTCTGTATCTCTCTTCCACACCATTTCTTAGTCAGCCACGCTAGTCCTGGTTTCAAAGGACGACCACGGGGGTGATGGTAGATTATTGCTGTATCGATACAGCGAGGGTGGCATATCTTGAGTGCTTTGAGGTCAGATTCCAGCGAGTGGCCTACAAGAATGGACGTTGGACCAGAAGAAGGGCCTAAGATGGTAAGAAGATGCTTTTGAACCTGAGTAAGAGTGGTTGTGACTGGAGCGAGAGCTTCTTCCGTGATACCAGACCACCTACAATACAAGAAATGTTGAATCTGGAAGACAATTGTGATAGATAGTGGATAAGGAAACATACCTTGTCAAATAGTCTGTAATAGGCTTTGCAGGTTTGACGAGCTGGTCGTATATAGTGATTCCCGAAGTATAGTCAATCAGACATACTCTAGTCAGCTCCTTACCATCCTCCGTCAAACACTGAAATTGTGTCCTGTCAGAAGTGTATGGGACTACAAAGATAACTAAAGGCAAACCATTTCGCAATCGATTGCGTAGACTCGTGATTGCTGTTGATCGGTAGGAAGCAAAAGTATTGACTCCATAGAAGGTTCTGTGGTTTCTAACCAACCGGGAGGTTTCTGGAATATATCGGCCATATAAGATGGTATGGGGTAGTCGTTCTCAACCATCTGTTCCAACGTCAGGAGGTACCTCACAGGGTCTTTATCAAGCGCACGCTCTACTGCACATGATAAAAGTAAGCCATTTCCATGAACTCAAAAACGAGATACAAGACCATACAGGCTACCCTCTGCAACAGTCTTTTTTTCTTCTCTTCTCCACTTACAGGCCCTTGAAAGAAGCTACTCAGGACCGAGTACATTCTAGTTTGATCGCCTGGAGCTCTGGTTGGGCAAGCAAAACTAAAAGTAGAAGCGATAAATGGTATTTCGGTGCTGGAGTCCGTTGGTAGGGGGATAGATAGAGGCAAGTTGGGATTAGCTGTAGCAGACGTTGGAAGAGGAGGAAGAGCTAGGAACGATGGCAATAGTCCAGGGATCAAGAGAGCGACCACTTTTCTTATTGAACGATGATTCTGTATAATTGGTAGTCAATTTGCTGCAACCGAATAGCTTAGAATTTTTGGAACCATACTTCAACTTTCAACCAGCCTGGGGGCGGCGCATCTGCTATTAAGTGCAAGATCATATCTCTTACATCCTTGTAAAAACTTTACTGGATGCTTTGGATCGCAAGAATGTCCAGTCACTCACATCTATCCCGACGGCTTCTCTCCTCTTCACGATTTCGCCATTGACATACATGAATCGAGGCACGGTCGCCTGTGATTAAATTTATGACTTCATTAAGGACATACCCATGTATATAGAGCTCTGACACACATCCTGCTTAGCTTCTTGTTTTTTTACTTTTTTCGCCTTACGCTTTTCGACCTTTGTCCAATCGCCTTCATGATCGTCTGCAGAATCCTCTTGGACTATACCTTGATTCTGGGTAACTTTAACTTTTTTGTGCTTTGGAGAGAATGATAGCTGTGGCGAAGATGGTGAGAATTCCTGAGAACGTTTCATGGTTCATGTCATGAGGACCTCCAGACCAAAATTACCCCAACACGCTCGAATATGGGATTGGAGAGCGAGTTTCAGTATGGGAAACGCGGTATGCTTAGTGCCCTGTATAAGGTTAGGGTTTATCGCGTGACTTGCGTGTGACTTGCACCTCTGGGGTAACTGCGCACAGTCATTATAAACGTGAACTTGTCAGGAAATTCTCATTCTTGCCGTCAAGTGCAAGTCCGCAAGCTGCAACGTTAGGGTATATAAAGACCCTACAGCTTTGCTTCCTAGAAAGATATGGTCTTCCTTTCTCTCGTGGTTGCCACTATCCTTGTGGATGTCGTACTCTCGGACCCGTTGCACATTCCGATCGTTAAACGTACGAAAGTCAAGACAGTAGAAAGCTATGCCAACGCCGCAGAAAAATTACGCTATAAATATGGATTCAAATCCAATTCCTCGAGAAAACGGGGAAATACATCCCCTGTTGCTATCACAGACGAGGTTTGTCAGCTTCGTGACTTTCTACACGGCGTAGTAACATGCTTTTGTAGCAAAATGATTCGAGTTATTCCGGTGTAGTTGGCATAGGCACACCGTAAGTTTTTGATCTCTAATGATAGTTCTCGTATGTTTATGATTCTCTTTCAGTGCTCAGATTTTCAGTGTCGTCCTTGATACCGGGTCTTCTGATCTTTGGGTTGGGTCGACATCCTGCCTAACATGTTCTGTAAATGCTCCTGCATTTGATCCATCACAGTCATCCACTCTCAAACTTGCCAGCGGCGGAAGTTCACAAGTGCATATCATATACGGCTCTGGTACTGTACAAGGTGGTCTTGCCACAGACACCGTTTCCTTGGGTGGCTTCAGTGTCGCACCACAAACTTTCCGTACGTCAAGAATATGTTTGAATAATCGTTCGAAATAACGCTCGATAATATTTCAATCACAGTCGTTGTTGATGAAACCTCAGCGAATTTATTTACTGACGGTGTTTCTGGCATAATGGGCCTCGGATTCGAGAGTCTTGCTGCAACTAAGGCACTACCTTTCTGGGAGTCTCTGGCCAACAATAACCAGTTCTCATCCCCTGAAATGTCATTTTACCTCGCCCGGCTTGTCGATCAAGCACAGACTGAGGAGGCTCCTGGTGGCGTATTGATCCTTGGTGGCACCAACTCTAGCCTGTACCAGGGCCAGATTGATTTCGTTAACATGCCCGATGGAGTATCGCCCAGCTATTGGTGGCAACAGGTCAACAGTACGAATAGATCTTCAACTTTCGCTGAACATGGTATTCATCGTAACTCTAGAGGTCACCGTCCAAGGTAATACTGTCGGCATCAGTACAGGAACCACCTCATATGCGGCAATCGATACCGGTACTACTCTAGTTGGTGGTCCTTCCACTGATGTGAAAAGCATCTGGGCTGAGATTACGGGCTCGCAAGCTCTGTCTCCGACAGGACAGTACGCGGGAATGTACAGTTACCGTTCGTGTCCTCGTTTTACTTGTTGTCGAGTCGGTCTGGCAGTCTTACAAATCCGTTCGTACTAGCTTGTTCGATCGATGTCCAAGTGACAATATCGTTCGGAAGCAACTCGTGGCCAATTAATACAGCTGACATGAACTTGGGCGAGCTCGGGAATGGGCAGTGCTTGGGTGGTATTTTTGACCTCACTGCTGGCTCCGACGCCGGTACAGGTCAAGGTAACCCTGGCTGGGTTGTTGGAGACACTTTTCTGGTATGTTAGACCAAGTACCCTACGTTGACATCGATTGACTCAGATTCCCTTTCGCGCAGAAAAATGTGTACTCTGTTTTCCGTTCGAACCCGCCTTCAGTAGGCTTCGCTCAGTTAGCAGATGGATTAAGCGCTTCTTCAGGTGAGCCTCGCCTCGCCTTTCTTTTCGACAGTATAATTATTGCCCTACCTTCATTGCTTACGTTCACCTGTATTCAAATACTGACGTCACCCCATTACAGGTACCTCTGGTTCGAATCCCGCGCAGATAACGCAAACTAGCGATCCTCTGCCCTCTGTCTGTGAGTTGCATCCTTGTACCTTCATAGTACTTCTGCTGAATGTTCCTTTCTTACACAGCTGGAAGTTCGGGGAGCAATGCCAGCTCGGCTCCTCCGACGGTGAACGCCATGAGCAGTTTATATCTTACCCTCTTTGCAACCCTCGTTTTGGCACTTTCATTGTTGCGCTAGTATGGAAAGAACACACTACACATCATTAACAACACCATAATGGAAGCTTTGACGTATGGACTGACGCACCCTTACTAATACATGGAGCATTGTGGATTTTCACTCTAAAGCTAGAGGAGGCATGTTGATCTGTAGGAATAAGTTCGTGCTTTGAGGAACTTCGATCGATATTTGTTGCCCCAGTGGCTATTTAGTTCTAGTATGGCACTGTTACCTTGTGTCATCTTTTGCATACATTGTCCTCGTAGCTTTTGTCTTCGCAGCTGGTGGGATTGACATATTATAATTTTGGAACATTCGAATCCGATCACCAAGGAAAGAAGATGCAATGTAGGTTGGCAATCTGGAAATCGAAGGAATGACCATACGAGACGCAGCTATGATCCCGGGAGGTCGGGATCTGCTCGGATGTTCGTATGCACCGACGTTCTTTACGACTTCATGGTTTCATGATGCGTGTGGGGGATGTTTGAGACGACTTGCCAGGGGGTGAATCGCACAGCGTCAGTTCTTTGAAGCCCGACGAACTGATAAGCGGCAATCACACGTCGAGTGAAATCAGCGTTGATCAAGGTACGGTACTGAGGAATGCCTGGAGTTGAGATATTCCTGGATTTGGGAGGATGCGTACCTGTGAACAAGGGCATGAACGAGTATTTACCTAGTAGCACATCGGGTGAGAGGTGAGAACATAGGCCGGGACCGAATGACCATGGCGGTGTTTTTGAATTGTAAAGTAGAAGTTGAGGAACTTCAACTGGTATCAGGGGGGCAACGACATATTTAACTTTGACATTTTGTTGACATGCGGAACCGCGACGGAACACTCGATCGTGGGTGCAAACACCGTGCAGATTAAGTCAATTCTGCGCTCGAGAAGAAATGTGCCTATGCGTAAAATAAACAACAGAAGCTTTATTCTCGTCAACTAGGAACCTGATTGCACTAATTCCTGTTCAACGAAGCCAATTACACACCAGGAGAACCACTTGGCAGGAGTTGCATGTGCAGGATTATAATCGGTGGACAGGATTTGGCAGATTTTGGACACAGCTGTACATACAATTAGCCGGTGTGAGTGCCCTAGAATGCCTAAGCTAGGAACAGCCTTTTTAGAAGAAAGGTGAATTTCTTTCATGGAAGGTCAAAGCACTGTTGCTGATGAAAATTGACACGAAGTGCACGTCGTTGTCGTGGTAGCAAAGAGCTTTGCTTCTAGTTGATGTGAGATTTGACAGATTTCGATGGGCGGCTCCGACCGAGCAAAAGATAGGGAGGCAGTGTACGGATAAAGACTTCGTAGAGGGCAATACTGGTAGGATCGTGACTCAGCGCGCATAGTAAAAAGAGGGATTGATAATACGAACAAATCACTTTGTCAGGATGACTTAGACCCTCTTAGACCATAACCCAGCTATTGATGACCGCTGTAAATCCAAGGCACTATACTAGGCAGAGAAGTTATTCGATCTATAGTCGACACAGTGAATGGAACATACGGTAATTAGGTTCACATGTACATGTGCTATTACTTCTCAGAAGACGACACCGTTGTCCGAGGACCAGAGTTAACTCAGGTCACCACAATAGAGTTCTCAAAGGCAGAAAGATCAACAACTCACGGGATCAATGTGGATTAAAGTCAATATTCCGGTCGGTAAGAATGAGCGTTGCACTAGTAGTATCACTTTATCAGTGCATGTGATGGACCTTGATGAACTATACTTTGAAATCAATGATCCTGCTGCCATTCAAAAAAAGGAAAGCGTAATAGGCGGTGTATTCCACGATCGAGCTCAATTCAAATTTGAATGATGGAGACTATCAACACTGCATGACGAAAGTTTTGGCTTTCCGTTTATTTTCTTGCAACTTGAATGTACTGCCATCAGAATTTTTTGTGGCCGGTGAATTAGCAAGACAACGGACCTGGTAGGACTCGTAATCAATTTCTTACTAAAGCACACGATGCGCTCGGCGCCCTTGTGAGATTGAACGCAGATAGGAAGAATACGATCGCGAGATAGAAACATATCATTGCAACGCACTGAAAGCACAGCAAATAATCATGAAGAGACTCTCCGGAGGTCTCCGTGTGTACGGTGCCGACTGGGAAGGTGTTTTCAAGCGAAGCGGAAGTCATGACGATTAAGCGATTCAAACACGAAAGACTCGATGCTGCCTCAGTAACGGATAATAGTGCCCGTGGCGAAGATACACAGAAGTCCGGGTGCATGAACGAAATTTGTTATCAAATATGAGACGCATGGTATCTGAAGTTTCTGAAGACCCATGGGGTGCACATTCATTAATGAACCGTTGAAGATGGAATGAACGAGAATGAACTCGTGATGCGTCAGTGGTACTAGAGGGCTCTGACGTGGTCTGAGTCAACGACAATGCCCCGCTCTAGCATCTTGACCGCTCTTTCAACCTCATCAACCTCGTGGTTCATTCGGTGCTGATGGAACACCGAGTCTACGTTAAGTCAGCTCAGCCACGGGAAAGTGCACCTTGTGGTCCATAGCGCTAGATGCAGCAGATGACGAAATCATTGTCGAAGAAGAGGCCCAAACGCTACAGACCGCTCGGCATGAGGTAAAAAGATCTGTTAATCGTATTGATAATATGAATTGGATCTTGTGACGGAAAGACACGAGCCGAAGCCTTCCGCCAGATTTTACCTACAGTGAAGTCATCCAAGGGCATCTTGGCCCGTGAAGAAACGCTATCAGACAGTTTGTTTCTTTACACAACGCATTACGAACCAGAGGAACTTTGATAAACGGACCGTCTAACGTTAACTTGCGGGGATGTGTGCATACATTAATCTCCTATACGCTTCTAAACGTAATAGCACGTACAGGAAACTTGATATCGCGCGGCGAGTAGTATTTCCTGAGGATTTGGCCGGTGGTGATGCGCCTGAGCACTCTGTTCTGTACGTCGTAGAGATCGATGCCAAGAGAATTATGAAGGAATCTCAGGTTTTGATGAATTAGTTTACTTGTTCTATTTGACTGATGGGGTAGAGATAGGGTAGCAAAATAACGGGAACCTGCTGAAGATGATGTGATGACAGGGAATTGATGCGCAAAGCCTGGGGGTCAGCCATTCAATCGGAACAGGCACAGAGGGTTAATATGAAAGGGTTTGACTCTTCTTGTTATGGTATATGGGAAACATATGCAGGCACAGAACTTACACTCCTTTTCTTCACTATCGATAGTGTTGGGTGGGATAATGCGTCTCGTCCGTTCTCTGACGGTGTACAGCCCACAGGGCCGATTGCACCTGGGGTACCCCAGAACAAAAATAACAAGTGTAGCATAGGAGGGTTTCAAAAGACTAATGTGAAGGTATCTGATGCACAGAGATTCCAAACTCCGCGAACACTCACCGAATCGGCAAATGTGTGGCGGACGTACTACTGGCACAGCAATAGAAGAACATCGCGAAACACTGTTGTGCTCATTTTTGGGTGGCTTTTGTACGAATATACGTATCGTTCGGATGATCCCTTGATGGCAATCTAGCAGCACTGCGTTACCGCCGGTGGTTATCTAAGTCGAAGAGAGATTGTATCATGTGAAAGGGCGGATGGTGGAGAGAGAACACTGCCCAGGCTACAGCTGGGCAGGATCAAGTCGTGCATCGAGTGCAGACTTGTAATGCAGCAGCACAGGACAACATTGTTACATTGACATTGTTGAGGACCATGTCCCGAGACAGTTGTGACTTGGGCGGTCCGGCGACCGGGACAGCAAAGAGCGGGGAATGTGAACGGCAAGACAAGGCCGCTGTGAGAGCTGATGGACAGGTGATGTGCGATCTTTTGTCGTCGACAAGACGATTCATATGAAACTTATGAAATCCGCCAATGGACTGGATTTGTGGCAGGCCAGTCGAGCAGCTGCAGGAACACATAGCGAGCGATATGCGACCAACGGATTTACGCTCCAGCCAATTGTGTGTTGTACGGGCGCTTGAGGGATTCCCGGTGACAGGAACCCAACCCAAATAGGAACTGCCGCGTGGTCCACGATCTCTAATTGATCTAACACATTAACCCGTGCTGTACGGCACAAGCACGGCTGGCAAAAGTATTTGAGCACACACGTCCATGTTCTCTATTTTTTTATTTCTCATATAGTGCGCTCGTCACTGCAGGTCTTGTCCGTGTTCCTCGTTCATCGGTCACTTTCATGCCTATCGGTGTCGTCGTCGTCGTCGTCGTTCACTGGTCTCTTTAGCCTTCACTCGGTACCAGCATTTCTCGTACGACCATCATTTCTCCCTATCTCTTACTCACGCAGTCTGATCTTTCGCCTTAGCTTCACTTTCCTTCGTGTATATTTAGTATCTGTTCCAATAATGGCCAATAAATCTCCTGCCGACACGCCCCCGCCTACATTGCAGCGAGGCAAGGCCTGCTTGCGTTGCAGGTATTTTCGTTCTCATCCTCATTCCTTTCTTTCCGTTCTGATCTATGCCAAAACACCCTCTTTCCAGGAAGCGTAAGATGGTGAGTTATCCATCGTTCTATCGCGGGATCATCGGATCTTTACTCTTTCCCCACAGCGGTGCGATGGTGTCAAGCCTGCGTGTCAACAATGTGTCCGTGCAAAGAAGCCAGAGTGCTGTCAGTACGATGACGGGCGAGGAAAAACAAGAACACAACTCCTACGTGAAAACATCGAACGCTTGGAGCAGCGCATACGGGAACTCGAGGATCCCGAATACACCTCGCCATCAGTCACATTGTACGATCCTCACTTGCATCAGCGCTCAGGAAGTTCTTCTTCGTCTATAGCGGGATCGCCTGGAAGCCCAGGGTTTTCCGCTGTCCACTCGCCCTTTCCTTCAGGTGATCATATTCTTCAATGTGTTAAACAACTCACTAAACTCCCATGAAGCTACCAATTCTCCCCACGGTTCTTGGATACAAGGTGTTCCCTCACCATCCCCGACGCCATTCAGTGACCCATGGCATGAAGAACAGCAACCAACTGTCGAACTTGCTCAGATGCTGTCAGTTGTTCCATTACAAATTCACATTGCTCTTTCTCACTCTACATGCTCTAGTGTGGACATTTTCTCGCCTCATCGACACCAGTGCCTCCTTGGCATACATGTGGGTCGATTGCGCGAGTCATTTTCCCGAACATCGCGGGAGCAGCGACATCCTGTTCTAGCCAACGCCATCTTCCTCTGGGCATGCTACATCTCCCGGCCAGGACCATTAAGCCAACACGAAGCCCATTATCTTGACCGCGCCCTAGAAGCACTCAACAATGCTATCCGCTCACCCAACAATCTGCTCGATGTAATACAGGCATCGTGCCTAATCTCAATGTATTTCCTCTCGAATGGGCGGGCCTTAGAAGGCAGCTATCACGCCAATGCAGCAGCTACTCTAGCTGTCCAGTGCGGCCTACATGGAGGTATAGTAGGCGGATCAGCGTTCGGAGCCTCCGGCGCAAATGCGTCCTTTAAACTGGACCCTCCCAAAGACGCCATCGAGCAAGGTGAACGCTTGTTGACGTTTTGGCAGGTTTTCAACCTGGATAGGTGTTGGTCTGTGGTATTACACAAACCTGTTGCCATCCAGGATGGACCAGATCCTTATACCTCTATCCTCGTGCCATGGCCGCAAGATATGAAAGAGTATGAATCTGTAAGTTTGGTCCTGCAAATTCTCGATTGCGTTTATTAATGTTTCAAAAGGGCCAAGTCAATGAGATTCATGATCAGACCATCCGTAGCTTCTTCAGTGGTCAGGTGTCTAATCTCGACGGGGGATTCTCAACTCTTGCATTGCGTGTAAAGGCCTCAGCCATCTTTGAACGTGCTCATCGACTAGCGGCGAATTGGGACAAGCGTGAGAAAACCACTTGTACATACTAACTGTGAAGTTTCGTTTCTCACAAGTTTTTTGTTTCCAGGATTGTCCCTTTCAAGTGCATTCACCGACGACTTCCAAACACTGGAACACACGATTACACGTTTTATTCCGAATTTGATCCCAGTACATCAACTGGATGCTACCATGCCTGACGACAAGCATGCTTTCCTTGTGATACATACCCTTGCTCACGCTGCAATGATCCACCTCTACTATTCTTTCGGCCACGATGATCCAGTTTCCTATGGTAAATGTCTTCAGGCTGCGCGGTCTTGCGTCTCCGTTATCAAGCACATTGCCGAACCGGATTATGAATTCCTGGATCCTATCATGGGCGTAAGTGGATTCCTTTTTCTGTAATTTGATAGTGACTCATATTTCTTCCTTTAGCCGTGCTGGACATGTGCTGTTGACACGCTGATCCGAGAAGCCAGCATTATGGAATCTTCGTGGCCTCCCGTCGACTGTACGGACATCCAGTGCGAAATAGGTACTCTTCTGTACGCCATGACTAAGCTCAGCGCAAGATTTCCGCTATTGAGTGAGTATCTACTTCTGATAGTTGAGCGCTTCATTGCTCATGCTTGCTTAATTAGGCTACTCAGTGGCTAAAACGCAGAAGAGACTATCAGGACTCAGATAGGTCTAGATGGCCTGCATTATACTAATGGAGGATGGATCCACTGCATCGAACGTTTGTATCCCATTGGACGGACTTTCTCGCCACCAAACTACACGGACTTGAACGTTTATGGACTTTTTGGACACTTTTGGACTTTGTACTATTGGACTTTGTGAACTTTATTCGGACAAACTTCTTGCATATATCGCCCTTCACGCTCATTACGACCTTACGCCTCCTAGGACACTAGCCTGGACATTTTTCCCGCTCGTTTTGGAGCCACTAGTACGGACTTCATTATACGAGACACTATGGACTGTATAGTTTTGGACACTTAGAACACTATGGACCTTCAGTGCCATACTCTAGTTTTATATATCTTACTCCAGTAATGTTACGATAGCCGATATATCTCTCCTACATATTTACAGGCCTACTTTTCTCCATCGTGACATCTTCCCCGTCGTTGCTTATGGACACTGACCTTGACCTGGACAGACTTTCTTCTCGGATTAGGATCGCTCTTTCGCTTCCTGGATTCGTACTCTATTGATCTATTCTGCAATATTCGTCTTTCGCTTTCATTTGCATGTTATTTTGCTGTACTCTTACTTACGTAGTGCTTGTAATCTGAAAGAGAAAGGAAATTGTGTTCTCGCCGCTCACTATCGTGGCCGTGTTGTGTCTGAGAGGCGAACTTCTTGACGACTCAGCTGGTTCCCAGACCATGGAATCCCAACTTGCCTGCAAAGTTACCTGAACACTGGCAGTCTCTTTCCCATTCCTACGGAAAGGTTCCGAATTCGCTTGCGTGTTCTTTTTTGGAGTGCGCGTCGCCGCATCGTAACAGTACAGCTCTTCTCAGGTTGCTTATGTTTGCGGACAACTCTTCTCAGGGTTGCTTATGTTTGCGGACAGCAACTCGCTCGTCCAAGGCTACTGGAGCAGAGTTTCAAATGCGGTACGGTATCAATGATCATATGCATCGTGGTGTGTTGATTTCCCATGAATCCTGTTACATGAGAATTTATCTCCTGTCAAATATACTGGCAGTGTGAAGCTGTGCCCTATATTACTGCCAGTGTTCATGTAACAAAACCCTGGCTCGTTACTCGATGGGCTGCATACAATCCACGAGAGAAAGCGATGAAGTTCGCCAAGCCCAAGCTCGTTAGTAGTGATTTACCGATGCTGTTTCGCCGACCACGACGACGAAGAAGTTAATTGACATGCTATCTACAGGACATGACAAGATCGAGAGCATGATCAAAAGCAACCGCCAGGCGATCAGAAACGAAATGAAGATACTTGTCCTTGACACTGAGGAGCCTCGTGGTGTCAGTTTTCGTTGGCTGTAAACACAGCAAATGCTGATAATTTGTCGTCCCAGTCTACACTGCACTGGCTGAAGAGCACAGAAGTCCTCTTTCGGGGTGGTTATAGCAATGCAGAAAGGAATTCGTTTAAGCAGATAGTCATTTCCAAAACTATTCGATGTATGCGGTATGTCTCATCATTTGGGTCATGTGGATATGTCAGTATGAAACCTCATTCCTGTCACAGTAACATTGTGGAGGCAATGCCTCAGCTTGACATCCCCCTGTCTCGTCGAAACGACCCTTTCCGTTCTGTAATTCTGAATCTTCCTCCTGGGCTCAGAGGCGATGAGTTCCCTCAAGGTGTCGTGCATGCACTGTTATCTCTCTGGCGTGATCCCGGCGTGAAAGAGGCAGCTCGGCGGTCAGAGGAGTTTCAGTTGAGCGATCACGCTGCCTACTTCTTAAATGCTATCGACCGCATTTCCGCCCCGGGGTATATGCCCACGGACCAGGATATCCTGAGGGCCGGATCCAAAGATACTGGCGTCGATGAGGTGGTCATGCAGGTTGGAGAGCTGGTTTATAAGTTCGTCCAGGTCAACGTACCAGCCGAAGACAGGAAGAAATGGATTAGTTGTTTCTCCGAAGTCAAAGTCTTGATTTATGTGGTCGATCTGAGCCAATACGATCGTATGTCACTTGCAGATGAAAATATGGTATCTTCATTCTTGTTGCCTATGTCGTACACTCCGACCTAAAAGTGCTGCAGACCTACATCCAACATACTCTGGAGACGTTTGAATCGATTTGCAATGCACAATGGTTTAGACAGACGCCGATTGTATGTTTATTTGCGTTGTGTTTTCCGCCCTTGATGAAGTATTGAAAGCCTGACCTTTAGGTCTTATTGATGGATAAAATCGATGTTTTTTCTGAGAAGCTGGAGCAACTACCACTGAACCAATACTTTCCGGGTTATACGGGATGCAATTATGATACTGCATGCGAATTCATGCTTCGACTCTTTGTGTCTCTCAACCGTAATCCATCCAGGCAGGTTTATTCACACTTTGTTTCAACCACCGACATGCAACAGATGAAATGTGGGAACTCTCCTTTGGTTGCTCCATGTTGTGTTGACATTTATTCTGTATATACAGTTATATTGAGCGCCATACAAGATATTTCCTTAAATGCAATTCACAGAAGGGGGTCCTACTAGTCCAAAAATGTACGAATTTCTAACTTTCCTAGTTTGTCTATCTTTCTCTTAGTAATGCACTCATCTGATAGGAGTTAGTGGGACTTCAAGAGGATACATTACTACTGAAATGTTGACGTGTGCACGTTGTACACCACTAGGCACACATCTTCACCTTCATCTCAAAGACGCTTCGATATCCGAAAACATCGCTATATCATTCAACTTGCAGCATTCGTCCGGTATGCTCCTTTCCAGTGGAATGTCATCGACTCGTCTCAGGGCAACCCATCTCTTTTTGATCGCACCTTGTTCCAGAATGTATATTGGAGAGAAAGGATCGATCAAATCGTGTCTTCGATTCAGCCCATATTCCAAATTTCACGGACCGGAAAGGCTGATTTTGGAAATGGAGGTTCACGTTCAGGAGTTACGAACTGTTGTATATTCCGCAACTGGCAATATCGTGTTACTTCTTCGAAACAATCATCTCAGTGATTGATTTGAATCGAATGGTCGGATTCAAAAGTCTAAGTATATGTGGGTCATTGTTGATGCAGTCCTGAATATGAGAGGCACAATGCTGTTTCAAGTTCCTTCAGTCGAAAAAGTCGAGTGAGATTCTAAGTGTTGCACTGTAAGTAACTGTAATATTGCTACTAGTCATGTAGTACGTAATAAAACACCATGAGGGGACATGGCATTCTATTTGGTTCCGTTACATACGCGTGATGGGCTGCCCATTGAGCGCTACAGCGGCGTCATGAATTCGACAACCCTGCGACCGTGATTGCGGTATTATTATTTGTCTTGCCATCCACCAGGTTAGTCCACGCACACACCATTCTTTGTACTCCTGGATGTACATACCTGATCTCTTTTATTTAGGTTTATCATGAGCAAATCTGCTAAACCATCATGCCACATACGCATTTCACCAACAAATGCGTCCAACACGGAAAATGGACCATCACTTAGTGATACGCCGTTTGTTGGTTCTCCTGAGCAGATAGTAGGTTCTAGCGACATGGCTCGATTACGGCCCATGCCTTCTTTTGACGGTCATTTTCCGAGTCCAACGATATCGATAATGCATCGGCCAACTCTTGAATACCGGAACCATACCAGTCCTGTGGAACAGAGAAGATTAAATCAGACCCGCTCGCAGCGCCTTTCAGGGATGACAGGTCCACTCACAAGTCAAACACCTCATGACCACGAGTGGTCCTTATTCGAACAGCTAATGGAGAATGAGGGGCAGCTACGGAGTCCCGGGACGCGAAAGCTCAGACGGAGACCTTCTGGAATCCTCACCACTCCTTCTGAGGCTTCGAGGCCTGGAGCGCAGGCATCTACTGGTGATGGTGATGAAGTGCAGTCTCCTCTGACTGAGCGTTTTGCGCCAAGCGTGCCGCCAAGTGTCCTCCAGTTTCCTCTCAGTAGTCATTCTGAAGCACCGACGGAATATGATTCTGACGCTGACTCTGATTCAGAAGATGCATCCAGCGTGCCCTCGAGAGACTCTCCAGCTATTACATCATCCCCATGGTCGTTGGTTTCGCATCTGCCTGTGTTTCCACCACTATACCGCAACGTCTTGAAGTGTTCTATAGCCTATTTTCTAGCCTCACTGTTCACGTTTTCACCATATCTTTCTTCATTCATCAGCGATATCACTTCCCAAGGTCCAGGACAGCGAGGTCCCTCTCCTTCTGGACATATGGTAGCAACCATGTAACTATATGCGCTCTCTCTTGTGGAAGTTAAGCTCATCCGCGCCTTTCCAGTGCTGTCTACTACAATCCCGCAAAAACAATGGGCGGCATGGCTGAAGCAGACATGTATTGTTTCATGGCTTTGCTATATTCTGCATTCGTTTGCCTAGGTAGCATGTCTATGTTTTGGTGGCTCGAAGTCAAACCTGGTTGGGAATGGTTAGCTGATGTTCTAGTCATACTTTGGGTAGGATTGAGCATGTCAGGTGTTGCATGGATGAAGGTTTGGATGGCAAAACCCACATTCAACACAGGTGAGCTATGGTCCGTGGTTATAAACGTATCTTCACGTTCTCACATTCATCCGCGTTATAGCATGTAGCATGACCGCCATTATCTTATTTATCGTGTGAGTCGACTTGGCTCTCAAACATGTGCTTTCAATTTGAGACTGAAATATGTGACTAGCATTATCAAAGAAGGTGGTTGGGAGACACTTCTGCAAGTAGCTTTTATCGTCTTTGTTGGTGCCGTCGTCTCCAATGTCGTGTGCCTCTTACTCTGGCCGCAAAGCGCTACCGATAATCTGCAAGCAAATATGACCAAAACCTTGGATTCTTTTTCGACACTCCTCGAAATGATCACAAGTAGTTTCCTCTTAGAGGAGCCTCTCCATCAGCCCAGTTATAAAAAGTTGCAAAGTGCAGTAGAGAACCACCAGTCGAGTTTTACGAGTTTGAAGAAGAACCTTGGGGAGGCTCACTCGGAGTGGTTCAATGGTTTGAGTGGGCGAGGGAGCAAAGATTCCAGAAGGGCTTACGAAGATGCCGTCGACAGCCTTAACAGACTGGCCCAGCATCTGAACGGGTTGCGGGGTGGGACAAGGCTACAGTACGAGCTCACGAAAGCCCAGGGTGTAGGTAAGGTGGTGTTGAAGAGCCCGAGAGCAGCCGGAAAGAAGCATCAGAGTATCAGTAGTAATGGCAAGATGACTGATGGGGTTAGACCTATTGGCGACGATTCTGATGAAGCACTCCTACAAGCCGCCGCCGCCATGTTCGGAGATCTTGTTGATGATTTGGGCCCTCCACTTAAAGCTCTCTCGGTAAAGTTTACCACATATCTTACTTATGATACACGTTTCTCACACATCAAACTTCTTTTTCTCTTTCTCTAGACAGCATGCACGTTGTCTCTGAAAAGGTTACGGGATGCCTTCGCAGATATCCAACATGCCAGACAGGAGCATGTCATACAGCCCAATGATTTTCACGAAATTATTGATGGGATTGAGCGGGCCCTCTTTACCTTCGAAAGCACATCGAACCATGCTGTTTTGCGCCTTTACAGGAGAAGTGACTTCTCTGCACCGACATCAAGAGCATCTGTGGCCTCGAATGCTGAAGATAATAGTGCACTTACTAACAGCGAAAATGAGAACGTCTTTTTGGTGTACTTGTAAGCCTTGCAGTCCGCTATTCAATGTCGGTAATACTGATGTACCGTAGCTTTATCTTTACGTTGCAAGAGTTTGCACGAGAACTGGCATCACTTGTGGATGCCATGCGGAGAATATATGGGACCGAGCAAGACAGAATGGTTCGCGGAACGTGGTGGCAGCGACATGTTGTACATAGTGCGAAGTTACTCCAATCATATTTCAAGTCGCTTAGACCTCCGGAAAAGTCCCATCGGCCTGGCTTGCAGCATCGCATCTGTAAGTTAAGTTGGAACCTGCAGCTTCCATACGTATGCTAATGTGGTAACTTAGCTGCTTACATCAATTCCTCTCATCGCCATAGGAAAGTCTGGTTTCCCAAGGTGCAACCACATGCCCCGAACACCATCCAAACCCCTCATCCTTCCAACTTGACCGTCATTGGTCGTGTGGAGCGTTCTTTGTGGGAACTCGGTGCTCGACTAAAAGAGCATGATCTCAAATACGCATTCAAAGCGGGAATGGCGACGGCGATGTTAGCCGCTCCGGCGTTTTTCGATTCTACTCGACCTGTGTTCATGGAGTACCGAGGAGAATGGGCATTAATATCCGTAAGTGCGGCCATATCCGATGTTCAAATTTTTTTAACTGTTATTTTTTTTTGATTTCAGTTCTTTGTAGTAATATCTCCAACAATTGGGGCGGTATGTTCTCGGACTCTGCCATGATCGACATCTTGAGATGACCTTTGATTCACCAGACTAATCACCTTAGTGTTCACCGTGTTCTGGGAACCCTGTGAGCGGCAATATATATCCGTTGTGATTATCATTCCTAAAAAAAATTAGGTTCGGTGCAGGAGTAGCTGCTGGTATCTACACCGCCTTCCCTGAGAATGCGATTGTGCTTTCCATCTTTGGGTTCTTCTTTTCTCTACCCTGTTTCTATTATATCGTCGCCAAACCACAGTATGCCACAACAGGGCGATTTGTGCTTTTGACATACAATTTGACCTGCCTTTACTCGTGAGTTTTCGCATCGGTCTTGAAAAGTGAAGCTGTACTGAATACTTGGGTAGCTATAATCTACGTCGAAAGGATGTACATCCGCTCGAAATTGCATTCCACCGTTCTGTTGCTGTGACCGCTGGCGTGATATGGGCTGCCTTTGTTTCCAGATTTTGGTGGCCTGCAGAGGCTAGACGGGAACTAAGCAAAGCCTTGGGCGAGTAAGTCAATTTCGTGTCGTCCATTCCTGCCCATTCATGTATTTCTTAGATTTTGTTTGAACATTGGATGGTTGTACACCCGCTTAGTTGCGTCGAATTCCGGTATGACAGATATACTAGACGAACCAGAAGATAATAGTGGTGGACGGTCACCACCGAATGAAGGGACCTCGCTCCTTTCAAAGCCTGCAAGGGCACGGCTCAGTGATTCTATCCTAGAATTTATGGCAATGTCTGTGATAATTCTTTTCTTACTGTTATATTCTAAAATATCTTCTATTTTCAGGGAGCTTCACCTTCAGATCAAACTAATTGAGCTCCAGGGACTACTGGCTCAGACACAGCATGAACCTCGTCTGAAGGGACCATTTCCCGTATTGCTCTACCGCTCCATTCTCACCAGCTTGCAAACCATACTTGACAAGCTGCATAGCATGCGATGCGTTACCACGCGCGAGGAATGGTGGGTGCGTCTCAATTTTTCGATATCATAACCTGACGCATCACTTGGATCATTGTTTAGGTTCACAGTGAGTCCCTTGAATGGCGGGAGACTAAAACACTTATTAACACGACGTTTAGTCTGTTCGCAGAGAGTTCATCTTGCCCGTGAACAAAGAACGGCATGAAATGGTTGGAAACATTATCTTGTTCTTTTCTACCCTCTCTGCAGCTTTCAGGCTGAAAGCACCACTGCCTCCATACCTCCCGCCTGCTGAGAAGTCACGACAGCGTTTGGTATGTAATTTTTAGGTCTTCTAATGACATTTTTCAATCTTATGTATTCCAGGTTGATGCCATAAGAAAGTTGGACGTTGTCAAGAATCGAGATGTAAAAGGATCAAGACAGCTACTTTTCTTTGCTTACGCCCTTACGATGGGAGGCGTCACTCAGGAGCTTGATTATTTGGGACGCACATTACAAACTGCATTTGGGGTAATTGGGCAAACACCAGAGGAGTTTGAAGCACTTTTCGCAGTGGTTGCCAACAGTAGGCCACAGGTCGAACAAAATGTCTGAGAAGGTTGATGGTTTTGCTAACAGTATCACTACAAAATTAGCATGATATTGGATGACACGATCTCTCTGGTGTGATGCTATTTGTACCTGCCAGAGTATGTTGAATATATTGTATTGTACTGCTCCAGACAAACCGCAACATATGCAAGTGTGCAAGATAAGACCTTCATAGGGTCTTTGTCCGGGAATGTTTCCTTTTTAGGTAAGGTCCAGCTCGGACCTCGGGGTGCACTTTTGTGTCTTGGTGCCCTTCGTCGTGCGATATCCCTGCAGTGGCGGCTTGTTCTTTCTTTCTCTGATTTTGACATTCGTCGATGCAAAAATGGCTCAGAGTCTAGCTGAGCAAGAAAAGGAGATCAAGGATATTGTCGGACGAGCAGAGAAGCATCCAGACAGAACCGGAACTACGGTGAGAGGACACTAGTGCATGGTGTTACAGGGTATTCATAATACACATATTCGACATAGCGGCGTGAAGCGTTTGAAAGATTGATAGACCTTACGCACTCATCCTATGCTCCTCTAAAAAGCTATGCTGCAGGGAATATCCGACTTTTTTTCAGGGACTTTCCTGATCTTGAAGAGGATGCCATCAACGCAGTTTATGATCTTTGTGAAGACCAGGATTCAAAAGTATGATGTTATGACATCCCCTTTTAGCTCAGGGTCTGACTCCAGACATAGGTTCGTGTAGATGGCTACGGTGCCATTGTGCAAGTCTCGAAAGAAGAAAAGAGATGGGTAAAAAGGAATGCCGACGTGCTTGTGCAGTTGCTTCAGAGTGGTAGGTCACATTTTCTCCTTAGGGTCGCATCATTTAGGGGAATTAATCTCCTCAACTCTTGTTATACTTCTTCAATGCTAATTCGCTCATGCTACCATGTCATTTCTTATCCATAGATGAAGCAGAAGAGGTCACTTTTGTCAAGAAGGCTCTTCTAGAGCACCTTGACATGGATCCTCGTATTACTCTGGGTGTTCTATGCGATCAGATTATGCCTTCACAAGAGCCACTGGACGAAGAGGAACAACGCATCAGGGAGCGTCTGCGATCACTTGTCATAACCTTTTTGGCTAGAGAAGCCAAAATGGCCATTGTCGAGAGATATACCAATCCTCCGGGGGGCGAGCCAGAGAATGTCCTCGTCGGAGGGCTTCTCTCAGTGAGTATACACCTCCACATACAAAATTTTGCCAGCTTACTGTTATCCCTGAGGCAATGACTAGACTGAACAATTCTGAAGTCGAGATGGCTGTAAAGGACCTTCTTCTATCTCTTCCATGTTATCAGTCTTACTCATCGCGCGGAGACGAGTTACTCGGGGTGTTCCTTGACAAAGCAAGATCATCTCTACGGGACCGATCAAGTGATCCAGCATCAATGGAAACTATTGACTTTTGCCTCTCACTAGCGGACTTGATTGTCTTTCAAAAACGCATATCTTCTCCTGCTCTCTTGTTACAATTTTTTTGTACCTCTCTAACGGGGAAGCTAGTGCTTCAGAGATTTTCTCGGGACCATCGGTTTATGGTAGTTGGTCGAATAGCGGATACATTTGATGCCTGCGAGTCGGAAAGTCGACACAATGCTCGTGGATGTAGCCCTGAGAAGCTATCACACCTTCGAAAACAAGTTGTTGATGCATCTCCTATCCTTTTGGAGGCATGTACAAAAGTATCACTTGCCGAAATTTGCTGACGCACTCAAGATTAGGTTCTTCTAGAAGATAAAACCCTCTCATCCAGAATGTGGCAAATACTAAAAGTATTGCTGAAAGCTTGTATCGTTGTACGTTCTTTCTCCACCTTCAGCGACAAACCTCACTGTTGCTCTTCAGCGAGCACAACGAGACAACTGGCCCATCCCTGCACATCTCCTCAATATGGCACACAAATTCCAAAGCCTGGTCGACAGTCAAGCTCAAGATAATGATTTAATACGAGATGTGCAAAACCTCATTAGGGTTCGCAGTGGGCCGCTTCTCGTTTCGTTCGTTGACAGCCGACCTTGCTCTTCTTCTTTTATTTGAGCAGTTACTGATCAAGCGTCGTGATACGACACCTCCTCAAGTACCCGCCACAAGTGCTACCAGTTCAAAGGTTCCGGTAAAGGTCGAGTCAAATGCATTTGACTCGTCTCGACGGTCTAGGAACAAAGTAGAGACTTCTGACCGCCCCAGTAATGGCCGCCCGAATGATCAACGTCTGGCCATTGCCTCGCATGATGGTAATATTACTGGAAATGAACTGCCTTCAACGTCGTTATCTACCACCGAAGATGCTCAAGCCAAGAAGACTGGGGCCATCTCAAAACCGAAACGTACCATTACGGGTGATGAAAATACACGATCAAAGAGAGCTAAAACTAGTATGAAAGGACAAGATGATCATTCGCGCTCGTTGCTAAGCCGTATGACATCGGCAAATACTGATGTTCTACCTGGTCCTGCCCCAAGGCGTACCAGCGCTCAAAATAAGAAACGAGCATCCAAATCAAAATCACCTGAATTTGATAAAGTTCCAACAGTCGGATATAGCATAAAGGGTGCTGCGAGTGCTCGGCGGAATGAGGGCAGTGGTGCAAGTGTTCCAACGAACCCCTCATTGTTGGACAGGTTGCACAGTCGTTGACGCGCTAATGGGTTGAGATCGACAGTCGAGATGCAGTGACGGCTGGTGTAGGAGATATTTTGGGCAAGGCTTCATAGAGTTTTATCCGCAGAACCGGAAGTGCTGATTACTTTGGTATGCAGTATAAATTTAAATACTATGACGTGGAAATCCAGAGTTTGGCTCTATGATCGAGATTTATACCCACTATTGGCTGGCACGAATCACTATCACAGTTCGTATCGAGACTCAGAGCTGAGAAGATTCATTTAAATCTTGCTAAATTTTCACCCTTGCGGCCGTACAAAGTCTTCATTGACCGTCGTGTTACTGTTATTCTCCAAAAATTTAATTCACACCCCTAATTCCACTGTCATATCGCTATCACCCTAAGCAATCTCAACGATTTAGCTTTTATATCCAGTATCTTGGTACTGCCATCTACTTGCATTGGTCTTGTGCTCAATAGGTATATATGTGTGCGTCCTTTGGGATTTCAGGTCATACAGCTGACTTCTCTGTCAATAGATGACCGCTAGATATTTCCCTGACGGAGCGACGCTCGCTGATAACATGGAATGCGGAGACGTCAGTATTTGCTCTATAATCTCATATGGCACTGTTCTTATTGTGAGTTCCATACAGACCATATGCATCTCCCCGGTTTCTTTTGCGTCATCGAACACAGGGCCACTAACCTCTCCACAAAAAATGCTCGTTGCCCATGGCATTCTGACCGTGTTGGGATACCTCCTTTTCATGCCTATTGGTATTTTGGTGGGAAGATATTTCAGAACTGTTAGCCCTGCTTGGCGTACAGGACATATAATCGTACAAGTCGCAATTGGTATGTACCCTTTCCTTGGCATTGAAAATTTCCTCACCGTTGTTGTTTCAGCCGGTCCTATGATTATCGCTGGAGTCGCGTTAGGTATTGCAGGTTCTGGAGAGGCTCACCTCAGAGACCTCCATAAAGTGAGTCTGTATACTCGTTTCTTTGAGTGAGCCAAATTAGAGTTGTGTGTCCATATCAGAAGTGGGGCGTAGCACTGTTCGTGCTGTACTTTGTGCAGTGTGCTCTCGGCGCCATCATTACCCTGTTCCACCCAAGAGGAAGAGCCAGGCGCCCGATTCAAAACTATTTCCATGTGTTGCTTGGACTATTCATCGTCGGCGCTTCCTTCTATCAAGTCAGGACTGGATTCAAGTATGAATGGCTCTACCACGCGCACCATGGAAGAATTTCCAACGCCGCACAGATCGTGTGGTACGTCTGGGTCGTGGTAAGTCCGAGGTGGCCTTGCGGTTTATCTGCGTACTGAAGATGGTGCTATGCTGTTGACAGCTGCTTCCAGTTCTGTACCTAGCGGGCCTCTCGCTCCTACCCAAACAGTTCTCGCAAGAGAGAGCCAAGAGGGAAAAAATGCTTCAGAAATCATGACGCAGTGAGCAGTACCGACGAAAGCAACCGTCGTGTCTCTGTATCCCATGAGGCTGTCATTATTCATTCTTATCTTGCCAAATGTCACCCCGGGTTGCTCATCATACACGGCAGTAGCTTGTTGTGGAATGGTTCAATAATCTCGCATTGCTATTTTCAATTGCCTTCACCGTCACTCCAGCGGTCGATCGATCGGAAAACGTTATTCAAAAAATTCATACGAAATATAAATGCCATACTTGAAAGACGTCACACACGTTAATGACGGGATCGCTAGAGCAGTGATGACGAGCCCTTTTTCCGATCTTGTGGGTCCCGCGGTTGCGTTAGGCTTTTTTATGTTCTACCCTATTGATCGAACTCGTTGCCGCCAATCTCATAAAATATAACTGATTAGAATGTGGGGCCTCCACATAAACGTCACCACTGTATAGTCCATTAATCTACGTTTGAATTGCAAAGTAGAATGTTATTTGTGTATCACGTAGAGCAATGCTTATAGATAATTGTTTCAAACGATAATGATATTCATTAATCTGTTTTTGAAATGTTCATTCTAAGATTCTGATCAGGTGACTTGACTGGAATATGGTTAAATGTCATTTCGAAATTCAAATTCTGTTGCAGCTTCCTGGTCTATGTTGAAACTTCATCATAATTTTGTCATACATAAAACAGTAAAGAGGTATAGCCTTTGCATTGCCTCCCATGTCGTTTGGTAGTCTATACAGTGACCAATCCGTGAATGTCTTGGATGGAGGATTGGTCAGTGATTCATTGTAACAACAGGGGGTCATCGATTGACCATGTGAGTAATCCACCTTTTTATTGCGACAGGGAACTACTCTAGAGGACATCTTTCACGAGGATATCGCACATACTCCCCTGTGGTCTGCTAAATCAATTGACGAAAATTCGGAGACTCTTATCCAAGTCCACCTCTCATTCCTTGGCGCTGGTGCCAGGACTATCCTCACATCGACGTAAGCCTGGCACGTACTTACATGGAGTGTTGTAGTGAGCTAAGCAATGTAAATACACAAAATGCGTTGGGTAGGTACCAATGTGCTTTCACAACGTTCGAACGAGCGGGCTACTCTCGTGAGGATGCTACGCGGATCATGCGTAAATCTGTCGAGGTGGCTCGGGAAGCAAAGAGGAGGTTCTGCGACCAGAATAGGAACGTTTTACCAGGAGACATACGCATTGCGCTGTCGTTAGGCCCATTTGGAGCAACCTTGTACCCAGCGCAGGAATTCGACGGGTTCTACCCTCCCCCATACGGACCAAAAGCATTCTCATCCTCAGGGCAGAACGAGAACGTTTTTGGAGACGATGTGGCGCAAAGAGAAAGTTCTATCGATGCTCTCGCTCATTTCCACAGTGAGAGATTGCAAGTATTCACAAGTGATCGAGAATGTTGGGATGCTGTCGACTGTATTGCTTTTGAAACTGTGCCTTTGGCGAGGGAGGTAAAGGCGATTAGGAGGGCGATGGGGATGTTGGGCGGTGCAGTGGCTGATAATGGGGAGTGGAAGCCGTGGTGGATCAGTACTGTTTTCCCAGGTGGGCACTACCCAGAGCGAAAGACTCCGGGAGGCGAGTATCTATCTGCTTCGGAAGTCTTGAATGCGGTCCTGGGGGAAGAAAACGATGGACGAATAGGTGAGGTCGTCAGACAGCCGTTGACACTCCCAAGTGGCATTGGGATAAACTGTACAGGAATCGAATTCCTGCCAGATTTGCTGTCAGATTTTGAGAGGGCGCTGAACAATGCTGAGGAGAAAGCGCGACTCGGAGGAAGGCCATGGCTCGTATTGTATCCGAATGGAGGGGACGTTTACGATCCTGTCTCGAGGACATGGAGAGGATCGAATGAGACGCAAAAGGGACGGGTATGGGGTGAACAACTAGGTCAGATCGTCGACTCGGCACGTGGAAATGGAACGTGGGGTGGCATCCTTGTGGGAGGGTGCTGCAGGACTGGGCCCGCAGAAATACGGGCGTTAGTGGATGCGCTGAGACTGCCTTCAGCGGGTGAGTACGCTGTACCAATCAAAGCGAGCGATATCATACTCACTGATTCTGGATGCTTCCGAAGAGCTGTGTCCATGAGCGAGAGCGATATTTTGAGAACTTGGTGCTGGGTCTTCTTGCGATATTTTTGAATAGAAACCTCTTTCGATCATGGCCAGCATCTTTCGATTCTAGAATCTTAGATATTCTAGGACTCGAATGAAAGTTCTTGCGTTAGTCCGAGAGACCGAAGGAATACATAGACTTGGCCACCGACTCGCCAACGTTACCATTGTGAGACAATTGTGAAATATTCATGTTCCCGAGTGGTATGGGTTGTTTGATTCCATGTTATGGTGGTGAATAATGTGGTGGGGGTTACAATGCCGCTGGTTACGGTTAAAGCGGGTGGACAAGCAATGCCTGGTTAAAAGCGAGCGGGCACGTTCTTAGTTACCATATTGGGACGGCCCTGGTCAGCACGTGGCTGGGATATTGTCCCAGTCAAAGGGAACATAAGCCAGAACCGCAGAAACCACAGAAACCGGTTATCGTCGACGGCCAAAGCACCAGATACGCTAAAAGCACACATCCAACAATTGGTTTTTGATTCGAGATTGTCTTTTTGAAAGCAGATCCGGTCAAAGTGTGTCTGGTCCACTTAGATTTGCCACGCGCGGGCCCACAAAAGGAAGCTTGGCCATTTGTACGCTTTTTCTCAGCTTGAGCTTTGTCGTTGTGGGCGACCAGAGCAGGTCAAAGCTACTCCAGCGTCAAAGCGCGTCTTCCAATCTCAGTTTCGTATAAAGAACCCACGAATTACACGAATATCTCTCCATTCCCAATCTCAACACGTCAGTCAAGCCCCAAGCTCCCGTAACTCCTACGCAGCACATTTAAACTTTTTTTTACCTCATTTACTCCCCATTTCACAACTCTCATAAACCCGCCCTCGAGTCTACACATCTATCTCACATCCGTCCATCTTCTCTGTTACACATAGTCTCAAAACTCCTTGTTTCGTCTCAAAAATGATGCAACCACCCGCCCAACTCCCCCAGGACGAATCGATCATGGAGGATGGCACAGACGGACAAGCCACCCAGTCTACTCAAGCCGCCTCCCAGCCCACCAACAGCAATGATATCAACGCTCACCTTTGGGGATTCCTCCAACCTTGCAGCAGCTCCCTCAGGCGCATCGACTTCTGGAAGCTTTCGCCCACTGTCACCCTCGGGCGCGGCCCCGATAACGATGTCGTGTTCCCAGGAGCCAAAGTCAGTGAGTATATGTTTCGTATTTAACCCCTCTACGCGTCTCGTGACGCGTTCCGGAACTCTATCGTGTGTGGATGCTCATGTCACATTTCTTCATCCAGGCAACAAGCATTGCAGGCTCATGTGGGATGGTAAAGAGGATAAACAGTCCTCTGTCACGATCCTTGACACCTCCAGCAATGGTACATATGTGCGTCGTCTTTTCAACTCCCATCCTCATATATGTTATTCACGCCACGTTCCTCTCAGATTAACGGAGTCAAGATCGGTAGGGAGAAGACCGGAATTCTCAAAGAAGGAAATGAAATCGCTTTTGGTTCTCCTCAACCCCAGACCGACCCTCTGGAAGACTATCGTGAGTATCTGTCCTATTACATTTGTCTTTACGCGACTGAAGCCCGATTTTGTATGATAGGCTTTATTTATAGGCATACCGCCGCTGGTCCTCCTGCTGGTGGTCTTCATGCCTTTTATGACATTGGCCATGAGCTCGGCAAAGGCTCTTTCGCCACAGTCATGAAGGCTGTGTCGCGTTCCACTGGCCAATGGTACGCAATCAAGATGATCCAAGAGAACAAGATCAGGCGTGCCACAGCTGGAGATCCCAATGCGAGCAACGTCCAGCGAGCATCTGCTTTCGCTAGGGAAATCAGTATCCTAGAAAAACTTAACCACCAGAACATTTGCCAGCTGAAAGAAGTGTTCTTCGAAGACGCCAACATCAGTAAGTCGATTATGTTGACTCATGGAAGCGTAGATCTGATATCTGTTAACATAGATCTCGTGTTGGAATTTGTTGATGGAGGCGATCTTCTTGATTATATTCTTAAAAATAATGGACTTAGTGAGCTTTTCGTAACTCTTTCCGTCAAATTCGCCTTCTGACCCCCTGTCCTATTGTAGACGAGCCGATGTCCCGTCACATTACTTATCAGATCGCTGATGCCCTTGCAGTAAGTACCTGATCCGTCACACTAGAAGCGACATCAACTGAAATTCATTCTCCTCGTAGTACATTCATAGCAAGGGTATTGCCCATCGCGACCTCAAGCCCGAGGTGAGTGATGGATTTTGCATATTGACATGTCCAGTTTTGTTCATGAAGATCTTCATTGAATTCATAGAATGTCCTCCTGACCTCTCATGACCCTCCCATCGTCAAGGTGGCAGACTTCGGTCTCGCCAAGGTCGTCGACAGTTTGACCTTCCTAAAGGTAAATATATGGCCTCGTTATCTCCTTGTCATGGCCTTACGTCTTCTTATTTGTAGACCATGTGTGGTACACCTAGTTATCTTGCGCCCGAGGTGGTCACGCAACAGAACCAAGAGGGTTACGATCATCTTGTTGACAGCTGGAGTGTCGGTGTCATCGTCTTTTCAATGTGGGTTTATGCTGCTTTCTGTGATCTTGCGGGGGTCTAATGTAGATCCATGAATAGGTTGACAACCTCTAGCCCATTCCTCGAAGATGAGAGGCAACAAGACATCAAAATCCGAATTGCAGAGCGTACCATCGATTGGAACACACTGAACCAATGTGGAATAAGCGCACAAGGTTCGTCATTCTCATCTCCCCACCTTTAATGACACCCCGCCCTAACTATCGATCAGCGCAAGATTTCATCAGGTGTCTCCTAGACTACAACCCGCGCACACGCATGTCGCTCTCCGACGCTCGCAAACATCCCTGGTTGAAAGACGTGCATCATGCGTTGCCTGTCGATCAGGCTCGAGACATCCAGCAAATGCCTTCGGTTTGCTCTCTCCCTGGCGACGAGTCCTCGATCCTGTCGTCCGTCCCAGACGATTTCGAAGATGAAGTCATGGCGCAAGACAAACCTGTCTCACTCGTCCAAGCCGTCGTCAACCAGAACTTTGAGCATCTCCAGCTCAGCCAGGAAGGCGGGCGTGGGAGGCTGCAGCGACGCAGCCACGTCATGTCCCAAGCAGCTGAGAACGAGAATGGCAACGGCAACGGCAGTGGACCCGTCATCGCAGAGCCTTCGTGGCAGATGATTGCCTCCCAGGAGGCGGCGGACCAGAACGGGGCTGGCCCGAGCACGGTGGCGGGTAACAAGCGAAAGCATATGACCAACTCTGACGCCCTCACTCCCGACGGTGAAGTGCGCTCTTCGCCTTTGAACGATGGGTCGAACACGGCTCGCAAGAAGGGGAAGAACAGCTCTGACTCTGATTCGTCACCCAAGACTCGCGGGGCAGCCAAGGCTAATCGTGGACGAGGAGTTGCTGCTCCTGCTCCTGCTGGTGCCACACGTGGACGCGCACGCTTGCGGGATGCTGCGGCTGGGATGAAAGTGCAAGAAGAACATTACAGCGATGAAGAAGAAGCAGCCCCCGCGCAGAAACCCAGGAGGTCGACTCGCAACAATTCCCCGCAAAAGGCCGCGCGAAAGTGAAGTGGGATGAATGATGTATCTATAGGACCCTCCCCCTCATCGGTGGAAACTTCTTCATGAAGTGATTTCTTGTTTCATATTTTTTCATGATATTCTTTTTTGGCTTACACTTGTACTCGGTTATTGTCGCACGACACACGGTCCTTACCCTGTTTCCATTCCCATACACCACCTCTCAAACTCGCCACGCTCCTTAATGAACTTGAATGATGTTTCTTTATTACCTCTATATCACATTGCATAATAATTTTCTTGGATAACGTCACACAACCCCTGTTCTCTTATAACACGCATGCAATACAATATGCTTTTCATAAAATTCCTCGTGTGATACCAAGTGCGAGTGATCGCGTCGTGCTCACTATCATCATCCACTTTCTCAACGCACACAAAGCTGTAGGAAACCTATCCCATTAACTTCTAGTAAGACAACATAGGACATGTTGGCATTTGCATGATGCAAGGACATACTGTAAAACGTGACGACATAGCAATTTAAAAGACAAAAACGACAGCACAGGACACTGTGAATCGGCACAACCGAAAAAGTGACCCAATCACAAAAGAAGGATAAGAACAAGGTACGGATGATGTCAGCTCAAATATAACAATGGAAAAGTGAGCACCAAATAAGACGAAGGTATAAAATGTAAATGTACGAAAAAATGAAAAAGGTATGGGAGTGACGAAATAAAGGGAGGAAGAAAGAAAAAAGTGCGACGAGTTATGAGATAATGCTAAATACAGATATATTTCACAGCCAGCCCAGACAATGGGACAGCCAATACACCGGCCGCCCACGCCCCAGCACCCTCGTGGATGAAATGATAACATTTTTTTTCTCTAAAAAAACACACGAGGTTACCTGACAGGCCCTGCCTGTAAGCTCACCGCTTTCGGCTAGCCTTAACCGTGACCTTCGGACCGTCGACGTTCACGTTCGCAGGAGTGCTGCAAGGAGGTGTCGAGGCTGACGCCTTTCGCTTACGCATCCCACGTCTCGATTCGAGAGGGTACTCGCACTTTAGGTGACGCCTAGCGCACTGACTAGAAAGGAAAGAAAAACCCTAGGTCAGCCCTGAATTTTCTCGAGTAGCGGTTGAAAGACGTGAGAGGGAAGATGATCGATATCGATGATATGATAGAGCGCAAACATCCGGGATAAATCCCACCTCGAAGGGCCACATGACCCCCTCATAGGCGGACAGATCCCGAACTACGCTATATAAGGAATGACGAGAGGCAGGGTTGGATAAAATCGTCGTCGTCGACCCTCCTTACCCCGCTTCCCTATCATAGGAATGGTGCGATGACAGCTGAATGAAACTTACTTGCAGGTTTTGTCCTTGCTTCCCGGTACAGGCGGGCCGCATGCGATTTTACGCCCTCTGCAGAAAAGGCAAGCGAGTGCTGGTTTTTTCTCTAGGAGCCGCTTACTTGAGGGCAGAGGGCTTAACCTCATCGTGGCAGCAAAACGGGGCGATGGCGAGCGCGTACGACGTGGAGAGCCCCCTCGGCGCCGATGTGCAGCAGAGTGGCTATGACCGGTATGCGAGTGACCATGATGGGGATCCGACTCCTCGGTGAGCGAGATGGAACGTGCGGGCACTGGCTCAGCGTATGATTGGCTCGGCACTGTCAGTGGCTGAGGTGGCTGAGTGGGGACATATTCAGGCCCCCATGAGGCCATCGGGCGACTATCATTCTCGGTCTTTAGGGGGAGCTGGTGAGGTGGTGGATAAGGCAGATGGTCCATAGGTGGATGATCTTCGTATGCATATGACGCTGGCAGGGACTGTGACTGAGCCGCGTAATCGGCAAGAGATTGCTGTGAAGGCACGATGAGGTGAGGTGGTACCTCGACCTCTTCGTGCTCAATCTTCATGTTGAATGGCGGTGTGAGTGAGGGTGTGTGCGATAGCTGGGGAGACGAATAGGGGAGTTCGTGCTGAGATGCAGACGTCAGTATGGTGTGTGCAGAACAGAAGGAGGGGGGGCACTTACCGCGACTGGGACTGGCTGACCATAGTCTGCCGAACCAGCGGGGTCATGCCCGCTGCTTCTCTGCTTTGCCCACTCGTAGTGAAGGTGCATATCAGAGGCAGCGGTAGAGTCGTAGGATACCTGTGTGGGAGCGGTGGCATCGAGGACATCGCCTTGATGATAGTGGTGCGCAGATGGAATAGACGCCGGGAGGTCCATGCAGTGAGATAAGGTATACGAGACGGACGAAGTCGGGTACGAGTTGGGATAGCACGAATCCATATTGTCATCCTGAGGGAATGTTGTATTTCTGTCGCATATAGCCCATTCGCCGTACGAGTCCGGGTCGTTGCTATATGGAATAAAGACAGGCTGGCCGTACATGCGGAAAAACTTGAGCTCCTCCTCGTCCAAGTTGTCAAAGAACGTCTCGGACTGAATTTCCTCGAAAGTATACCCGCGCTTTGGCTTGAGCTGGAGACGGTCAGACAAAGGACAGCGGCGATTGTGGATACACACCTGGACGCCATAGTCTATGGGCTCCTCGTTGTAGGTCTGAGAGGCATAGGCCATCATCTCGTGGTGTGTTCTGGAGAAGGAGGTGCCTGAGCAGTCGAATGCGGACATGTCGTCGTCGTCGTGGTCGTCGTGGTGGTGTCTGTACTGGTGGGCGTTCCACTGGGAGGACGACGGGTGATTCATTGTGGCGGAGGCAGAAGAGGGCGCGGAAGCAAAGGAGGAAGCGGAAGCAAAAGTGGATGAGCACGTCGAGGGAAAAGGAAAAGATGGAAGTGGGTTTATAAGAGAAAGACAGGCACTTGTATGTTCTGTGTAAAAATAACAAGGTGTGCCCTGTAAATACGCGCTAGGCTGAGTCAGGGCTCAGAGAGTATAGTATGGCCCTTTGTAATGGGTCATGAGTGCATTCGAGACATTTCCGGTAAAGAGCCATTCTGCCGTCACCTGGACCTACACTTATCCCTTCCTCACCCGTGGCTGCCATTCTCTTTTCGTTTCAAGAACAAGACTAGAAACTAGCATTCTGGGCTTATTATCTCGCATGCTTTACCAATACAGCCTTCCCTTTTCCATATCAACCTCCAATCAATGAAATCATTCAGCACCGTCCGCATGGCTGGGCCCATTCAAGTCTTATTGATCGCACAGCTCCAATTCGCTGCACTCTTTCTCAACAGCTCCTAGGGTGCTAGTCTCTTTCCACCTTACCCGCCGCTGCACCCGCTTCCAACGAAGCACCTCCTCCGCACCTCTGAAATTTTCAACACCCTGAAGCTTGGCGAATTCGAAGAATCCCAGATCACCAAGATCATGTGTGCTTGCAACCACTTTTCATCCTGGCGAGCACAACGCATTCGTCACATCAGCCGAATTTCACCAGCAAATCGGGGGTCTCTCCGGATAAGCCCAGCGACTGATGGATGCGTTTCTGAATGGACTAGAGTCGGTCTCTGTCTACGAACATTGGCGCTCAGCAAAGAAGATAACAATCTCAGATTGACGAGATAACGTCTTCCCCACACACACCGCCTTCACCAAACTGGTGCTTTCGTCACCAAGTCTTCCGTGGAATGGATGTCTCTTCCTGTCCCATTTCATGATCCTCTTGACGCCACACACATATCTCGCTTACTATTACCCTCCTCGATGACACCCTTGCCACATAATGAATCATCCCTCCTCCTCCCCCCACACCTTACAGTGGGAATATTCATCCCCCAGTGTAGTAACTGCGGACCGTCATCGGTCTATTACAAAATATGATTCTCTCAATTGCTGCCGGCACTAGAAAGAAGTTGCGCAAAAGCACCCATCTGGAGATACGTTATCATGGACCTTTTAGAACTTGCGTGCCTTTTAGGCGAAAAAATCGCAGAACGCCTGATCTGGCAGCCTCGTGAAATGATGGAACGTCGCTGTGCCCAAAAGCTGAGGTAAGGGCGTCAACAATCACAGCGGTCCTTCTCCCAGCGCATGTTAGGTGGGTTGTGTCTTCATGATGGGCGATCTCTGGTCCAAGTGTCCTACGAAACCTGAGCCTGAATCGATCAGTTCTATCGACGCAGAATCAACGCATCAATGACGCGGAGCTGAGACGAGAACTGAACTGTTTTCATCGTCGTCGTCCTCACGTATGCTTACAATATGACAACAGCTATAGTCGTGGGAGACGTTTTACACACGCCAGTGAAGTTTGAGGGGCTTTTGAATAGTCAAAATGATATACACATGGACCCATAGTTCTGGTTACAACGTGCACAAACTAGTTTCTGAGGATACGACCTGGGATAAGTAAAGAATATCAAAACTCAAAACCCAACCCTTCAATATCTATAAACGACGACTTATGTAACAATTCTTGCAGAAAGTCCGCGGTGTACGTCTCAGTGCCGCGAGTGTTGCTCCGCCAACTAGCAAGAATACTGTCCTGTCGCATGTGATGTTGTCATGAGACAGACTCCTGCGCTAGAGGGAATGCAACAGGCTCCAACGTCCGTGCCGCTTCTCCGTAGGTGAGCACACCGACATAGGGCATCACGTTATATTTGAGAGAGTAGTGAGCGGGGGGCACTTGTCTGAAACAAGGTATCCATCAGTCAATAATGAAAATAAAGCCAGCGAGATATTCTCTCCGCTGGATCGGGGTGAAATACGAGAACAGGGGGCCGAGATAACCGCACATATTGAGTAGCAATAAAATAAGGGACACGACTTACTTGAACGTCGATGACAGTTCACGGAACATGTATTTATTCTTGCCTACGACATTGAGAACAGCATCTTCTTTGCGTCTTACGATGCGATCCCAGACGACGACATCATTCTTGACCTATAAGCAAAGGAAAATGGAAGAAAACGAGTAAGCATAGAGTCGCAAAACTATCAATGAAATAAGAATTCGGGAACGTCGGGCGCAATACACCGGAGGCCGGGATCTGCTGACGAGCAATTAAGGAGTAGAAGAATTGAGGATTGACTTACTCCTTTTGCGTTGGTATATTCTGCCTCGAGGTAGAGAAAAAGTTGCTTGGTGTTCCAGTTGAATAAAGGCGTCAAATCTGCATAGCAAAATCGGGATAGTCGGTGGTAAGTCGCGCAGGGATGGGGATGCAGGGTCAAGCATACGATTATTTTACGCCAATGAATAGACAAAAGTTCAAACTACACGTCAGTAAGGGCGCCCGACGTGTTCGCGATAAACTCTAGCACGTGCCTGCGCTAACGTTGAAGTTCACAAAGGCAAACTCCTGTTGCTTGTTAGGATATCGTCTAGCTTTTGCTGGGTACCTGTGAACGCGCAAGAAGAGGTAAGACATATTCTTGGATTGAATAGAAAATGTGATTAGAGTAATCGGTACTCCACATATTTCGAAAACCAGCCGAGGGAACCAAGTGCGAGAGAAAGGACGACTTACACTTTCACCGATGCAATGGCGAGGTCGCCTTTCGGATCGGCGGTGAATACGAACGTCGAGAGGGCGATCGCTGCCAGTAAAGCCATTATGCAGGAAGAAAATAACGCTGAAAGGCCATTGACGCGAGAGTAGATACTATGCATGGAGACAAGTAGAATCCGGACGTAGATTAAGGTGTAATAAAAGGTTCCTTGAATATGGTATTATCCAGCCAATTATCTGCCAGCCTCGTATTCGATTTCTTCTGATTTTGCTGTTTGTTGTCGTGGAAGATGACGAGGAACGGTGACACGACACTCGCTCACGTGCGGTGCTGTACTACGCTTTCCATTTTGGGAATTGTGGCTGGAGCTAGACCCGGTGATGCCGGTCCCAGGAAAACAAAATCTTTCAATTACTATTACTAGCTCCAATGACAGTCTTCAATTCGAATGTCGTTACTATACGGCAAAAATATCCTTCTACTCGAAGAGGACGATGCCTTGTACATATAGCGTTCGCCAGCACCCTGTCAAGTTGAACGGTGATCAGGACCTCATGATGACCATGCCAACGATTTTTCTATCACAGAAGATCTGCACCGCATTATGTTTTATATCTCGTCAACCAAGGTGGGTCCCTAGTACCCCGCTAGTCAACTGCTGATCATTTTTTAGATGCTCCCCGTTTCTTGGTACGGTGCTTGCCAGGATACTGACGGAACCATAAAACTTCCACTTCCTTGGCAAGATAGCTACGCGTGTGTGGTTCAGGCCTGGCTACGTGTCCTTCGCACTCTCAGAATAAGTGACATACGCTAACGTTGTGCTGCTCCTTTTGGACACGGCGCTGGTACTATGGTTGCGGGCTATCGGTACCTGCTCTCAGCTCTCCGTTGCACGCTTCTCATTTTTGGCAGTTCAGCGCTCACCTGGCTCCACACCTCGCCGACACGTCGAGAATGAAGAGTATTCCTAAATTTTTATCTATCACGGTCAGAATTATACCAGATTAAATTTATCATTGTACTATCTAATCCTGTCATTTTTTCTTTTTCTACAGATCTCACGGTCGATTCATCCCGGATAATCAGTTCAACGACGACGGACACGCCTCAACTTCACGCTCAATCTAAGCTACAATGTTGCATTCACGCCTCTTTGCCTATCATTACCGCTATGAGTATTCCTTTCTTCGAGTTCCAGAAACTTTGAAAGATCTTCGATTGGCAGAACTGCTGCCTCAGACGCTCCAAGTCCTGCAAGCTCTCAGCTCTACCTTCGAATTCTAAACCTTATTACCACTGGGAGGAAGCATGGCCGCTTGCTCAACTATAAGCCGGAACACCAAATGTAGTCTGGCCAACCTTCTCCCAGCACATGTAGCTAACTGGGGTGATGGTGGGTCGACCTATCAATGACAGGAAGTGCGGCCTGAGCGCGATGAATATGTCACCGAGAGCTCGTGGATGGCCCAACACCCAGACTTCTTCATAAAAGCGGAACATGTCTATCTCATATTCGCATCCACAATGAGTGGATTTCAAAAAGTTGAAGATTCATCGTTCTGGTTTGGTCTTATTCTGCTGCGGTGCTCTGTTTTTACGAGCCATCATGAATGTGGGTAACCAGACTTCCGGATCTATCGATAGTGCTAAGTTTGGACAAAGCATATTGTATCTGCCCTTAATATCCAGCGATGCGGTCGTATCTAACGTGCTGTCTGTTACACCCCCTTTGTTGTCCGCTTTATCTCTCTTGAGGCCTTTGTTCCTTGTGCTATGCGTCAATTCTGCTTATCACCGATACACCCAAAACGGCTTTGATACAGCGTTAACGTTTCCCTTCTAACGCACATATCGAGCGTTTTCAGCTTAGTCTTAATGAGGTTGCAGCAACGTTGACGTGCTGGAAACGCGACACAAAGTATCATCGATACAGCATTCATAGGAACTGTCCACATGTGATTAACGTGCAATATATCCAAAGTTAGCGTAGGCATCAAGAAATCGCGTATCAAATACTGTATGAAATTCCATCCAATAGGCAAGGTTCCATTAAACCCCAGTCACGGAAAGGGTCATCACTCGTGTTGGCCGGAAGGGATCCAGACGATGTCGTCGTCTTTGTCCCCCACATCACTATCCTCGTTAGGGGTCCCTTCTTCTTCCCCTTCGCTGCTCAAAGCAGCCCAATCGCCCTCGATATGCTCTTGCAATGAGGCAATCTTAGCCCCTTTGCGTCGCAAGAAAGCAGTCACCTCTTTCGCACTCCTCCACCCCTCTGGTGTCTCTGAGCCATCAGTGGCATCTGTCCACCCATATATCTTGGCTAAGTGGAGGGATGCTTTAACACGCTTGGTATCGGGAGTGGATTCCAGCTGACTCAAAAAGCTCAATAGTGCTTTGACGGCTTCTCCACGAGCCCTGAGTACATGCTTCATAATTCTCCTCGACGAGGGGCGGCGCCTGGGGCGAACCTTAGCCGGAGGCTCTTGATCCGGGGAGGGCGCGGTGATGCTCTTCTTTTTATCGATCCAAGGATTTTCAGGAGGTATCTGTGGGGTTGTGTATTGTGATAGGGCATTCACAGGCATTTCCCATCGCTTCGGTGCCCAGACTCCAACCAGAACTTGCCACGCAGCGGCCACACGTTTCAAGCTTTGCAGAAGGTCAGTACATTTTTATTGTTACCAAAATGTGATACGTACTGTTGGTAATTATCTTGATAGCGCAATCGATGTACCACATGTAATATAACAAAAAAAATTAGGGAACTGTAGAGCTGAAATGATGGAATATACTGACCGTTGATAAGCTTGTTGTGGTAGAATGCAAACAACCAGACAGTTGCCGCAGAAATCAGAGCGCCGGTGCTCGTATACCAAAAGAGAGCCCATAACAACCAGAATGCAGCTGGGTAGATCATTAAGAGAAATAGGAGCCCAAACACGACCTTATTTTGTGCTTGAGTTTCTTCCTCATCTTCGACTAGTCGAGCACCAAGCCGCCCCATAATGTAAACAGGAGTGTGCACTATGAAAGGAAACAGAAAAAAGGGTAGGCGGATCACGATAGCGAGCGTATCGCGGACTAGAATGGAGAGCGTGAGAAGTCGGCTTGGAATGGGAGTAGGATTGTGCGGATCAAGCGTCCTCGGAAGAGGTAGTGAAGACAGCACCGAATTTGTCAAGTTCATAGATTGAAGGAGGGAATAATATTCCAAGAGTCGGTTCCTCACTGAAATGAAATTTGGTGTAACATCTGTCGTCGCAAATAAATCTACCAAACTGGAGGCAATAGGGTAATACACATGTCAGCGGAACCCAAAAGAAAAAAAATGTCTCACGTACGTTTGCGAGATTGGGACAAAGTCATCCAAATTGATAGACCTATCGTCTTGCCAGAGGAGATCTCTAGCCATTCGAGCGGCGTATAACGTGTCCCTGCCATTCAAGATTTTACAATTGCAACTGATTTGATGATGGCAGGCCTCACCAGTCAGGAGCGTTTATTGTGGCTTCCACCAATTCTGATTCAATGGCGCTAGTGAGGCGTTTCACCGCCGCGCGAGGAGCACCCTCTATATCAGAGAGGAATTGTTCTTTGTAAAGATCCATCGTGATGGGCTGACCAAATCTACATTTGGATAGGGAATGTAATGAGTTACATTGGACGACTAGGAATGATTTGCTTACTCCATGATGACATCGCTTCTATACTTGGATTTGTTAGTGTAGACGATTGAAGCCGGGACAATAACAATAGGGGCTTGCGGCGATCCTGAAATACCATTCTCTTGAATCCACTTTGTATATTCTAGTGCGGCCCAGGCAGCACCGTCCTTCACTTGCATAATGCGAGGCTCTGTATAGCTTGTGCCTTCTGGGAACAGTGCGACAGCGTAACCTTTTCCAAGAGCATCAAAAGTCCCCTTGAACAATATTTGTCGGTCTTTGCTCTTCCTATCAACGGGAATATTGCCTGAGCTGTAAAGAATGTACTTCAAGACCGGGTTTGCAAATAGGGTAGCTGAAAATAGAAAAGTATATGATTTAAAAAATGCAAAAACAGATATACCCTGGAATATGCACCTTTGCTCCAGTAGTGGAGAATGCGCCTATGTGGAAACGCCGATGCTAAAGAAAACAATGAGTGCGGGCATGGTTGTTACTCAGAATAATCTTACAAAGAATAGCAGGATCCAGCATCATGTTATGATGCGTCGCTGTACTGGAAGAAGCTCAAGGTAAACGAGTGATAATGATGAAGTCAAGTACGTGGAGACATGATAAGTCCGACCACGGTTCGCAATTTCACTGAAACACCTTTACACGTAACAGCGATATGAGCAAGACAAAGTCTCTGACTCTAAGACCCAAATCGCGAAAGAAAAGTGAAAAGAAAGGAGAGATTGAGACCCACACTATGATAGGACCCTCCACAGGAACGTTTTCTCCACCTATTACATGCACCTCCGTAAAGAAAGACCATACTGCCCAGCCAGCAAGGCGACGTATGACTCTGTGCAACACCTTCACGTCCGACATCGATACGAGAGATCTTCAAGAAATTGAGGAATGTTACTAGTACAAATTCCAGTATGGTTGACTGTTGTTGGCGGCTAAATGAAAAAGGCCCTGCATACTGGTGCTTAAAATCACGTGACCCTTTTACTTGGGGACCCCAAGAAACATAAATCTGTCGTCTTGTGGATTGGAAGCACTTCACTACGATACGAAAAAGTGATCAAAGCAATACGGTAGCGAAAATGATGTATTATGAAGTCGCATCCTAGAACAATAAAACAAAACTGCCCTTCGACTTTCAGTGAGACCCCTCAGAGTTCAATTTGTGGTCGTGATCGTGATCGTCACTCGGAATGGGTGATAACAAAAAGTCTACAGACAGACTGTTGGATCCAGTGATATGGCTACGAAAGGGTAAAATATCAAGCTCAACTATAGCGTTCTTTCAGATTAGTCGAAGTGTTACCTTGACCGAAATAAACCATATGAGGAATGTTAATTCCGGTGGTTGCTGGCCGGAAAATTGGTTATGAAGGCAATGGAAAAGGGGTATCAAAGGAATTTTAGACTCACGGACAGACGCACTTCCATCTGGATCTTCTCCCCCTGAGCATTGTTTGACATTTTTTGGAGATGCTATATGATTACCGAGATTAATTGATAGTATTAGATGCACTTGTGTTGCACATACGTGGTTCTATAAATTGCCAGTATTCGGTGGCACTAGAAGAAATACATCAGAGAGCGAAAGCCATGTTTAAGGGTAATCGATAATCACTGGTGGACATAACCTAGTTGTGGGGAAAGCATGGTAGGGACGCCGTCTGAAATGATATCATATGTGAATATGCGCATTGTATACTCTGTGAACACAACTCTGACCAAAAGTATGCACGGCTAAATCGAAAACCGATTGGAAAAATTAAAGGAGAGGCAACAACAGGCACACCTCGAAAAATATTGGAAGGAGAGAGTATATGTTCTACTAAAGTAGCAAAAGCTCCATTGCCTGTTCTAGGTTGGCCTGAAATAGCTTCATCAACGAGTGCATGATCAGCAGAGTGTGTAGCCATTACCAAAAGTGAACAGTTTGACATGAGCGTTGGGAAAGTTAGACTTCATTGATATAGCCCCTATGGAAGCCAACGAGCCGCCCAATGAGTGGCCTATGCTCCCGCGTGATGTAAGCAGACCCTTCATAGAACTTTACTGCGTCGGTTGGAACATACCTGTAGATATCAGAGAGTAGGCGGGGTGGGCATTGAATTGAACTTTAACTGTATTTAACACCGTGGACGCTACCGAATTGAAGGCAAAGAGAAAACCACTGTGAACTCGAGCATCATCTGCTTGAGAAAGACCGGGAATATTTAGGGGTGACATGAGAATCTGGCTATCTGGAATTATAGGGATGGTTAAACAGTACTTCAAGCATCTATTATATGGCATACCGAGAAGAACATGAGATATATTTTGGCTACCTCTGAAAGCAACAATAATCTCTTTTCTCTTATCGTCCCGAACCACAAAACCTTGTGTGCTAGTTAGGACATCGGTGAACTTTGAAATTTGAGTTTAGATGACAGTGATTCAAAGGGGTTGGCACACCTGCAGCACCAGCGTGTTACCCATCGGCCTTGGACAGAGGATCTGATAGGCGCCCGAGGAATACTTCGTGTATCGAACAAGATCATCGTACACGGATTGCGATATGCCCGGCGGATTGGCCATTTATTTCGGACAAAGGAAGTCCAACGGTGAAAATATGTCAAAGGGGTTTGATCAGCTCCGTATACAGAGGGCGAAGTTGAAGCACTCGAAAGTTTACGCGTTTACGACTCGGACCTGCAACCCATTTGAAAACGAAAGGTCACCGGATATGTATGGAAGTATTGGCTAGTAAGCCGAACTTAAACAAGCGCTTCGGAAGACCCCTAGTACGTGAACAATGCTGTTTACCACAAATTCGAATCAGTATGAATATGAATTATTTGATGAACCTCTGTGTTCAGACCTAAGAAGAAAGGAACAGGTGTTCTTATAATTAGGAACAACGAAACAAGGCGATCAAAACTGAGGACATTCTATTACTCACGTTTCTGATAGGCCTATCAGACCGAGCAAATATCAGTAGTAACGTTAACGTAAGTAACACAACTGACAGTGCGCAGCGTTAAGGTTAAGTCAGAGTCGAGGTTCCAACCTATAGCCACGAGAAATAGTAAATACCAGGAACCAGTATGCCAAGGTGCCATGGTAGCTCGGGCGACATACGATGAGATATAGTAAAGCAATGATAACCTGATGGCCTTTACTGTACATTCAATTCAACCGAGCATCTGAAAACATCTTTGGGAAGAAACCCATCTAAATCAATCATGACACACGACACTCCCTATAGCGAACGCAGGAGGGATGCGAGTACTACTGGCGCTGCACAAGTCTTCTGGAACAAGCAGGTCACTTCGAGGGCGATACGAAGGGGCGACTTGCTTGAAAAGAGTCAACGGTGTCTCTGCTAGTCCCGCCAGTCAGAAGCCTCCCTAAAATACACAAATTCACCCCTTGAAATCAGCTTATGACCGCGGAGCATTAATCTCCACGACATGGATGAATAGATTTCGACCGGCCATCAGAAATACTTCCAGAGAGGAAGGTCTATAAACGTTGCTCGGAGAAGCAGCATTCGGCGGAGCGGCGATACGCAAACAGAGGGTTATTAAATGCCGAAAGACCAGCATGCATTTGTCGCTATGAATGATGTAACTGACAGGTCTAGGGTGAAAAGACTAAAAAGAGTCTGAACACATTCTGCGGTGTGGAAGGTATAATAAGGTACTAACTTGAACGTCATGCATACGTTAGGAGACTCGACAACGCGTACATGACGGCAATGCACTGGAAGCTACAGTCGGAGCGATGTTTGGTTCCATTAGCCTACAAGGAAAACTGATTAGCCTTGAGTATACAAAGTGTATTGGCAGTCTGAGTAAGGGTTCTTTATTTATTGGCCGCAGTAGTTATGGACTGCATTATCTTAAGTATGCATTGTCTCAAAGAGTGCTTATCCTCAGAATATGGTAGCAAAATGCTCCCCTGTCTCCCGTGCATAGCTGCTAAAAATCTGATAGCCATGGTGTCATATTGCGCATGTCAAGGGAAGCGATAGACAAAATGAAGGCATTAAGAAGTGACGGCTTAGCATGACATGACATCCATAGTTTAATCCCAACCACTTGGAGCGGCGGCCTCTGCCCCCCATCCACCAGCAGCGCCCGACGGTTCTGCAGACCAGTCGGTAGTACCAGGAGCAGCGTCAGCAGACCAGTCGAGTGCTCCTGTATTACAGTTTACCATAAGTGATTATTTTCCCATAATACTAAAAATATACATACCGCCATCTTGAGCGACCAAAGCAGGGTTAATAGAACCAGCCTGAGGAGCCGAAGTAACATCCCACTCGGACAATCCAGGAGCCTCAGGTTCTGCTGCAGCAAGCTTAGCTTGTGCCTCTTCTTGCTGCTGTCTCTCGACTTCATCAGGGTCACGGTAGAAGAACATATCCACCATGACGTTCCAGCCATCGGGAGTGCGGGGGATGGTGCCACGGAGGCGGAGAACCTCACGCGCCAACAACCACCAGATCAAACCAATCGAATGGCGGGTCTTGTTGTTTGTGGGGATTGCAACATCGACGAATTTAAGAGGAGCATCTGTGTCACACAAAGCGATAACTGGAATGTTGACGTAAGAAGCTTCTCGTATGGCCTGGTGGTCAACACGGGGATCGGTGACAATGATGAGACGAGGCTCTTTGAAGGAACGGGTGATGTAATTGGTGAAGCTACCGGGAGTGAAACGGCCAGCGATAGCTTGAGCACCAGTGTTTGCAGCGAACTTCAAGACTGCACGGTGGCCGTAAGGGCGTGCGGAGATTACACAAATGTCGTTAGGGTTTTCGACAGCAGCGATGATACGAGCGGCGAGGACAAGCTTCTCCCAGGTCTTTCCAATGTTGAGGATGTGGATACCTGCCACGATGGACAAGTCAAGACTTCCGTATTAGTTAACTGCTTAGTGTTTGAGGTCACTAACCATCCACCCTCCGTTTCCAGACGTAAGGCTCCATCTGCTTGTCGCAGTTTTTTGTGCCAATGTGGCATTGAGCAGCCAGCAAAAGCTGGATTTCCTCATCGGTAGCGCTGAGGATAGAAGGAAGTTTTGACGACATGTTGGATCTGTAAAAAGGTAGTCAGCATCCAAGGCCTCATGATGACATCCATTTCAACAAGACGATCAAAAATTGTCGTTCTTTCCGCAGAAACACAGTATAGACATCAGCAAGACATACCGTTGGCGTGTTTTGAGCTCTGCGTCGACTTGCAACGACGTTCGCAGACTTTTCCGGGATCTTTCACTCCTTCTGTTAGTTCAGAGTTCTCGGGAGGCCACATTGTCCACAGTCCGCTCGGCAGGTTCCGTCGCCTTCCCACGGCCCATGTAGAGAAGTAATTTGCTTTCAGCAGGTCACCCTTGGCTTTGTACTTGTACTGCGATATCCAGTACTGGCGTGCTAGTCACGACCACACAGTACTTCATTGTTTTCCGCCATTGATCTGGCTTTTCCTGAGTTCCGGGCTATGACTCATATTCATAGGAATATCTTGGTATTTCCTAATATCAAAGTTCAACGAATAGATGCAGTGTTGTATACAGTCTCAGGGCCACGACAACTCGTCAAATCAGATATTCTCAGCTTGAATTATCTCTGTATGCATGTTACCCCTGGTGTTTGAAAGCTGGCGCTCCGAAAATCTTATGGTTTTCGTTGGAGTTATCTTTACTTCCAGTTTAGAGGCCTATTCTTCCAGGACGACCTTCAAGAGTACTGTCGCTCACTTTTATGGTCGACCATTCGAACTATTATACCACGGCGGATGTCTCTAATGCGTATATGTCTTGTCGTGGCCTTTGAATTATCAGGCACATGTCTTTCCTTACTAATTTGCTCCGTCCAGTTTATCATTGTCCTCTCATCTGGCTTGTGAAAGTTTCTAATCGATGTTCTGAATTTATACACAGATGACCGCGAGAGTTCTGGCAGCAGAAACAGTTAGCTCATCCGACAGATTGATGTAGGTCATGTATGTCTTTCGTATACTGGTTGCTAATCATGACACGGTCACTTACCCTTCCCAAATACACTTTCTGACTTAGAAAACCCAGAATTTCGGTGCGGAATAGCCAACCTGTATTATGGTTATCAAGAGGCAGGCAGGCTATTTCAGCATTTCAGACCATGTGAAACCACTGTCACTATTTGAGGCTGCGCTCGCCGACTGTCAGTGCGAAATATTGTAAGTAGTATTTCATATCTTGGTCTTTCCCTAAATCTGCGAAACTGGTCATTACGGTCCTGCCATAACTCTTCAAGGTCTCATCGTTCTCAACATAAATCTCAGTCTTCAAAAAACCATCCATGTACTCACACTCTGGCGGCTAGGATTGCCGGTTTTCTAGTCTCCGCTTAAAAACGCGTTGACTGCAATTGACGCGTATTCACGTGATTCGTTAGCATCTTGTCTGTTTACCACCATCTTGTCCCGTCATGGACGCGATACTACCTCCCTCAGAGCTTCCTCTCAAATTCCGCAGGAAAAGCTCCTCCGCTTCAAGTACAGGATCACACTTGGAATTTCGTTTTAAATACGCCGAATATCGTGATTCGACACCCCCGTTTTCACCATTTCCGTCTTCCTCCCCATTTGACACACCCTGCTCATCCTCTTCCCCACCTTTTTTCCCGAAGGATTTGGCAGACGATGCGCGCACAAGAAGCACAATAACGGATGACTTTGACACTTGTGAAGATGATGTAGCTCCCTCTTGGAGGTATCGCCGTCAGCACGTGTGTAATCCAAAATCACCGCAGATGCAAGAACCAAGCCCTCTGCTGTTTAACAAGCATGGTCTTTACTTGCCCAGTGATGATGAACCGTCGATGTCCGCAAGCTTTAGCGCCGGCACTCTTTCGGATCATTCGCGGCGGAGCCAGCTATTTTCCTCTGACCGTAATTCCGAGAGTGCAGATGAAGGAGAATACGGATTTGAAACCTTGGATACACGAATCCGAAGGACTTATTTTGCTGTTTCTGAGGAACGGGGACGTTGGCAGAGCAGTCCTATTCCTATGCGCACACATATTCGTGAAACGTTTCCCCCACATCCCATTCGCCGTCATTCGAATCATGGTGCGACGTCTTTTGAACATAACAATCCGTTAGAATGTGCGGCTGGACAATCTTGTTCAGAATTTTCAGAAAAAGTGGAAGCCAGTGACACAAATATGCTGCCTTTTTCGTCTCCAATATCATCCCCCCCTCCAAATTATGCTTCGAGTCCTGGCCCTACTTGTGATCAACATAGGCTACAAGTGATAGAATGTGTCAGTGGTGGAACCGCTACGCCCACCACGGATTTTATTCACAATGCCGAAATCAAGAAATTTGGAGTGGCTAGTACGTTGATTGCACCACAGGACGAACACGATGACGGAAGCGTGTTCCGGTTTTCGTCCCCTTTACCTCCTTCATCACTTCCGGCGTCTCCCATGTCTATCGGGCCGTCTGGCGAGGATAGTCCCAGAGTAGATCCCATGATACTAAATGAAGGTGATTCAGCGGTTAGTGTGAGTGGCAAGAGTCTCATTATCTTGTATGTTCTGGATTCTCATCAACTCATAGTTCGAAACCCTATGTTCATGCGAAAGTAATACTTCGAAAAGCGCAGATGGCACTCCCTTATATGTGTCACGTGATTCGCCCTTTAACACTGATCAAACAACTGATAATCCATCGCCATCTACTATGACCTCTGAACGCCAACCCTCACTCCCTCCGATTATATCACCTCAGTTCAAGGAAGAGGTCACTACAGCCCAAGGCGGCCCACAACTTTCGGTACCTCGGCTTTCACCACCTCAGCTTTCACTTACCAGTCAGGTAAACATACCTAGTGGCTCGAAGTTATCTTCGCAGCATGTGTTTTCCAAAGCTCCCCTTGCAAACAAAAAAAATGAACCACATCCTGGTCAGGATCGGGAGAAAGTAGACTCATTAGCCCTGGGGTTAGATTTTGATGTTGGAGCAACGGCCAATGTAATGTCGGTCTTACCCTCTCGGACAGAGACGCCGACGGGGATATCGCTATCAACGCAACCGCCTCTGGCGAATAACGAGGGGATGGACGCCTCTACACACGTTCCCAAAGGAAGAAAGAAAAGCAAGCACAGAGTGAAACGCGAAGACCATGAAGCAAGTCTCGCCGATAGCCAAGAAGGGTGTTCTCGTAAAAGGCGTAAAGTTGAAAAGGGCGAAGCTCCTGACCCTAGTCCTGTGCCTGCATGTAAGAATCGTGGCAGCAACGGAAGTAAGAAGTCAGATCGAACTGGACGAAGAGCAGGAACCTCGAGGTCGCGGTCGCGCATTAGATCAGACAAAGCAAGTGGGGATGAAGCTTCTCGAATATGCGATGCTCCTTCATCCTCGTTGCCTCTATCCTCGGAGGAACTTCCCCCACGTCCTGGTTCGCCTTCGTTAGATCCACATATTGTTTCCCCACCATCAACAGAGCCGAATGCACAGGCACGTGTCGAGTTAACTGGAATGCTCGTTGAATGTTTAGGAACATCTCGAGCGTCGTCAATGGCCCCTTCCGCTTTATACACCACGCTCATCCGTAGTCATCCTGCTCTTAAAACAGTAGAGCGAACTAAGCGGGAGTGGATCACACTGATCTCATCGGTTTTGGAAGAAGTAGGTGAGCGTTGCGGAATGTTCGGGCGGGTGGAGAGTAGTGGGAAGGACGAGAAGGATAGGCCACTAGAGGCAAGGTGGTTCTATGTCCCAGAGAAGGATGAGGATCAGGAGAGAGCTGTAGTGATCACTTCACTGATGCCCCGTCCCGCAAAGAGAAGTGAAACCAAGAAGTACAAACAATACTATTATCGCCCACTGGACAAGATATCGAGATGGGATCCAGAAGATGCCATATGACGATGCTCTCGCATGAGCTTGAGGCCAGCTAATGCACAACACACTCCTCCTTCGCTTTACTGTGCACACAGAAGATTTCTAGCTGGGGCTTTTTACTTTCTTGTACTCCAGCTTATTATGTGCCATTTCAGTTTCGACTACCTTTATTTGCTTTACGTTGGCTGTTAGTCTTCGACAGTATTCGTTTTCGTTGCCTTTTGGGGTTTCAAAATTTTCAACACTTGTTATTTTCTCGTGCAATGATACATTTCATGCCGATTTGGACTGAATACATCCCCGTTTACAATTTAAATGTATAATCAGATAAGAGTCTTGTTCCAAAGGGAACCATAGCCTTCCATGGACAAACCCGTTCGAAGAAAGACAGTCGAACTACCAAAATATCCCGTCTCCTACCCACCCTCTATTTCGAGATAGGAGGGATTTATCCTAGTGGTTTGATGAAATAAAAAATAAATTACATGACATGACTGGAACATCTACAAGGGGAGCGTGTAAGATATATTATCAACCTTGCAGATGGGCCGAAACAGATAGTTCAAGTACAGTACCTGCACTACTGTTTGTAACATACATTTCTAAGATTAAGATTTGTATAAAATTCAGTAATTACAACCCATTGCCATTGAGTGTCATTTATGAGAATCAAGGACGAGACTGATCAACCCGACCAATCCAAGTGCACTTCCTGACGTTACCACCAGCGCTACCGTCCACATTATCCGCACTTGGTCAAGCTCCCGTGGAAGATACTCCATAATTACATCTGCCTTATTCCCTAGGCCCAGCTTGGCGGATTCACAGTAGCATTCGTTATAGAGAGTGCTGAGCTGAAATAAACATACAACAATTATCCATATAGTGTTGCGTGTTGCAATCATTTTCCCAAGCCGATATTGAATTTCTGATGTGGTTCTAGCAGCATGTGCGGCGCGAGCAGGTCGACTTGTAAATGATTTATCGTAAGAGTTGGAATAATGCGAAAGGACGCTAGACACAATTAGCATCATCCACACGATATTGGATAATGCGCCGGATAGACATCCTAGAGCCTAAACAACATTCAGTAAGAACTGCTGGGCATCTACAAATTGATACTAATACTGACTTTCGGTGGCGAGTACCAGGCATTGAGCGCAGCCACTCCGATTGTTCCCCATTGCAATGCAGACGCCATTAAAGAAGCGAACAACATGCGAGTAAAGATACCAGAGGGCCAATGGCTACGATAAGCAGGTTGTCGCGGCCTGCGATAGGCGTCTACCGCATCTCGGTCCCCTGAACGATGATCAGGGTGTATACCACCATTTTCACTCTCATGCCATTTCCGCAGAAGGACTGACAGGCCGCCGAGCCCATGCGTATTCCGAAGCCAATAGAAACGTAGCAAAAATCTCCTCTACAGCTTTTGCCCATGGCAGTGCTCTTGCATAATTGAATATCGGTGGACTTCGGCCTTCATCAGAGGAGTCAAGCTTTTCATCCCCGTGGACAGCTATGGATATAGCCCTTTCATTTGATAGGAAAGAATGACGTACAGCCCCTTGGTGGCTTGCAACGTACGACATGGCGCTTGCACGATCGAGTACACTTTTTAAGCGGCCAAAATCGCATTTTGGAGACAACTGCAGCCATCCGACGACTACGGCCGGTAGCCACAGCCAGGCTGAATCTACAACTTAACTTGTCCATTAATCCACATACTAGTGCTTGAGTTGTCCGCCAGGGAATCGACAAAAGTAAGAATATAGGCCACGATGACCCATATGATGGATGTAGCTGCAGAAATTGACCAGGTGTGGGTGTATTTGAGAAAGTCGGCGAGATCATACCACCAGGCATCGTTCTGTGGTAGCACGACAAGAGAAGAGAGTAATGATTTTTGGGTCGCCACTCTTAGGGGTGCTTGATGCAAAAAAGTAAGAACGCGAACAGCATAGACGGTGTTCGGGTAAGCCAGAGCCTCAAAACGACGAGCGATCCAGCGATTATCGAGGACTGTTAAGATCAAGGTGTATCCCGCGAGCATGGTTGACCCAATGGTCAGGAAAACAGAAGTGAAGTTGTCCAAACGGTGTCTCGCGCCAAACGGCAGCTGTGAAATGAGAGAGAGATAGGGAAGTAACCACATGCTGAACTGCTGCGAAAAAAAAAAAAAGACCGCGAGAATGATGGTGGTTCACCTTCGCAAGCTGACACGCAAAGGTCGTAGGTGATCGCAGTTGCGTAGGAGATATTCACCGGATTGCACTTGAAGTCAAGTCCGCCGACTTGTGAGGAGTTACGCTTTAGCTCAGCTAAGCAGGTAGTATAAGTTCACGGCATGTGCATGGGAAGCCACATTGCTAATATAGCATAGATTTCTAGCAAACTAATCAGCATACTGCCAGAACGAGAAAAACGAACGGACCGAGGAACCTCTGTGGTTGGCGACACATGAAATAAAGCGAACGTGTGCACGTTGAGTTCCAGTTCACCGAGCGAGATAATTTGTTTAGTGTATTATATGTTATTCCTTTTCAAACAATAAGACATGTTTCCAGTGAAATGTCTTTCCGTAAGTAGATAGGAAATGTACCCCAGAGGCTCGCCCGGCGGAGAGGTGTGTAGAAGCAGCGAAAGCCCGGAATAATTGCAGTCGTACTTATGAAGCGACCGGAGCCTCTGTCACTCTTGACCAATAACACGAGGCATAGATGAGAAAGTTGACAGCAATTCAGGGACCCGATGATTGATTTTTGAGACTATCAGATTAGCTGCCCGGTGATTACTCAACAGCATTGTCTTTCAACGGGCTCAAAATGAAGATTGTGACGACATTTGAATCTCACCAACACCGAAGGTCACCGTGATAAGAAGATCCGTAATATAAATTTAAAAAAGAGTACTTTTTTTTGACCTGATGAGCGTGAAGACCATCCCGCACAACGCCGCTGTCACGATCACGAAGAGTTGGACTGTCTTGGACATGGAGCAGATCTCGGGCGGCCGAGGATTCACAGCATGAGTTGTGTTGTCATGAGCAAGAGGTGTCTACTCGGTACCGATCCTGTTGTAGCTTTACCGAGCGACGCGCAAGTGCGAGTTAGCCTATCTCGGTGGTTTGCAGAAGACCGGCTAGCCTGAGTTTAGGAGGAGGAGCGTCTTTTAAGTTCACTGGGTTGTATGTATTGTTTGTTTTCGAGGCTCTTGCCAAACAAACGTCTTATATAGACCTTCCTCGCAGATCATAGTGGCCGCGATTTGCAAGCTTTGTTCATGCAACGCTCATGGTCGGATAGCGATAGCTCCTGCGTCATCCGAAAACTACAGAATATTGATGACCTACGTCAAAAGAAATGAACCCTATAGTCCTTGCGAACAGCTCGGAATGCTGACCTGAGAAATGCGACCGTAAGTTACGGGGTATGAGATAGCTGTCAGCGTTAAAAGAATTTAATTTCAAAAAATAAAAGATAATTGTGTATAATTAACTGATTACTTCGAAACACTGGACAGATTCAGATTCAGAACACAGAGTAATTTGCAACTGCTGACGCAACAGTGCCCAACTTGAAGCTTAAAGTCTCATCAGTGTCAGAACTACCGCCTCATGCCTGTGCAATTCTACCTTCAAGCATCCATGTTTTCTTTATCTCGAGTCCCACGACGTGCTGCGTATTCAGAAGTTTACTTCGACGGAGGAAAAAAAGTCTTCCTAAACGACAGCTAAGTGAGCGACGAGGTGGAGCTCGGACTATCGTTTTATGATCCCGCAGCAGCTTCCCGCTCCAACCCTTTACTCCACTGGGAATATCACCAAAGCGATACATATTATCGCCAGGATTTGGGGTTCTCGAACTTGTAACACTTTTAGAGGGTACCTGCCGTATACGTATATCGAGGGATATCTCACTCCACAACGGCTGATGCAACTGAGACCAGCTCTGACAGTCTCGTCGCCGATCTAGACTGCTACGTTACATTGACCCTTTAAGTGCTTGAAAAGTTAGTGCACTGAAATGGCTGCTTCATAAGATATTCCTCACCGGACACTGTGGGTGTCATTGTCGCGGTCTGGTGGGGAGTACCAGCGGGTGGGTGAGCTAAAGGAGGACGTGTAGGCGTGGGAACGTGACGTCATGTCGCTTTCATTCTTGGCATGTAGTAGACACCCTGGAAGTTGGATGGAGCACAACTACACGACCAATCCAAAGGTAAATGCGGTTGCAAGATACCCGCGCACGTGGGCTTTCATGTATAAAGCAACACCTGCTGCGCAATGTCCATTCCCGCCCATATACCACCGTCACACATACTACTCATCTCATTCTTTTTTCAGATTTCCTCCTTTCAACATCTTCATCAAACCATGGCATTATATTCCCGTCATCCACGTTTCACGATAGCTTTACTTGTCTTAATTTTCATTTTCGTTCTTTTATTTGCCAACTCGGGATCGCCAGACATGTTGGAGCGCCCATATCCCGTGGCTTTGAGCAAGACAACATCTCTACCGCCAGGCTTCTTTGTTCAGGAACAACTGAAGTTAAATGAGGCGCACTATCAGGACATGCTTGAACAACGGCAAGGTCTGATCGCAAAGTGGGGGCCGACAGCAGAAAAGGTCGATCCGTGAGTCTACTTTGCTGTCGCACCTGTTACCATATTCCTGTATCTCACCTACTTTTGTCATCCAGTTTCCCATCGAACGGCGAATTCTACACACTTTGTATGTCGTTTCGCGCGGCTATCTTTCTACCAGATTTTTAAACGTTCGCAGGGGATTTCTTCCTACCGTCTTTCAGATGTCCACACAAAGTTGAACGTGTTGGTATCATGGGTGACGGGGGCAAATGGACTTGCGGATTGGAACGTGTCATTCCAAAGAAGAACTGTGTCATGTATTCTTTTGGTACGCCGCCCTGAATCATCTTCGCCAAGATGGGGGTCTGATGTCCAGATATAGGCATTAATGGCGAATCATCTTATGAAGCTGAAATTATGGAGCGGGCCAAAGGATGCCAGCTCTATGGATATGATTTCAGTGTATACAGCGTACGTATTTTGCTCTTGGAGCATGCGTTACTTCAACAGTAACCTTGACTATTTCAGTTTGGGCCTGAGATTGAACACGTTCCCTCCATCAAAGCCCGCTCGCATTTCTACTCGTATGCACTAGGGCCTAAAGATGCCTATGCAACCGAAGACTTCCCAAAGACTTACAGCCTCCGCACACTCATGGAGAAAAATGGTCACGACTTTATCGACATTCTCAAAGTCGATATCGAAGGCGGAGAATTCGAATCTCTCGATACTTTCATCGACAGCTTCGACGGAGAGCCATTACCCTTTGGCCAGTTACAACTGGAAGTACATGCCTTCCGAAGCGAGACTGTCACAGATTTCGCCAAGTTCTTGAAATGGTGGGAGAAGCTTGAAAGAGCGGGATTGAGACCGTTCTTTTCCGAGCCGAACTTGGTCTATGTGAATCTGGTCAGGGGCGTTCGACCAGATCTGATAGAAGTGAGTGGTATTCTTACCGTCACGTCGATAGATCGGAACTCATGACATCCCCCTAGTATTCTTTCATTAACATCAGGGGTAACCACGAGTTGGTATCCGACGGATTCCTTCATCACCAAAAGTAATGACAAATATTGTATAATACATATACATTTTACATAGGACACTACGCATTTTCTACTGTACCCAATACAATCCTATCACATTTGAACCACCTGTAACTTGAATTGACAGATAGCAGCCCACATTATCATCATTCATCAAGTATACTCGCAGACCTAATTTACTGAGGCGCCGATAGCATTCATAGGCTTTCATGTTCTGTCAAATGTTCCTTCGTCCCATATGGGGTGTGCCTTGTACTTAAGTCACCACCATCAACATCTCAAGTTATAGAACTCTAGCCCTTGCTATCCAATGACCACAGCTGTATTGACAGTGAGTATCATGCGTTCCACCTTTACGTGAGAAGGCATTCCGACGTCCTTCCCGCCCAGTTCTCGTTCCGCCTCCAGGATAAATTTGAACAACCTCACCTGCCATAAATAGACCCTGACGTCTCCACTTAGTCATCCGATTCCCTGGTCTGCTGACCTGCGATGAACACTATCAAACGGTTTCTCCTCAACAGCTTCAGACCCAAGCGCTCTCCCCAGCTTCCTTCTTCCCCCCGACGCAGTCTCACCACTAAACCACCTGTCAGGATGCCTCGCACTGCTGAGACCGCTAGTTACAAGGTGAGAGCTTCCCCTATCATATCCAAGGCCCCAAGTTCTCAGCGTTTCTGATTCATGTTTTTGAATTTAATCGCACGCAGTTCAATCACACGATGATTCGTGTCAAGGACCCCAAGTTGTCGCTCAAGTTCTACTGCGACGTATGTCTTTTCTTTTTTTTGTGTAGGCTTATGATGTCATTTGTAATTATCTGATCTTTATCGTTCAGGTACTCGGCATGGATGTTATCTCTGGTGAGTACCTACCGCATATATCTCGACCCCCCTATACTTCCTCACGAATGAATCCGACAGAAAAAAACATGGGCGATTTTACGCTGTACTTCCTCGGATACGACCATGACAACAGCATGGAGCTGTTACCTGAAGAAAGGGAAAAGAAGCGATTCAACCGCGAAGGTGAGAATCCCATACCCTCCTATCATTTCTATACACCAGCCTGTGTATCAACCAAACCTGATCTAAAAACTCACCGTGCTTCCTGTCTTTCTTCCACGCAGGGATCTTGGAACTCACACACAACCACGGAACCGAGTCCGATGCCAGCTTCCAAGGCTACTCCAGCGGCAATTCTGACCCCGGCAGAGGTTTCGGCCATATCGCCATAACCGTGGACAACATCGAAGAGGCTTGCGCGAGGCTTGAGAGCCTCGGTGTTCCTTTCAAGAAACGGCTCACCGATGGCAAGATGAAGAACATTGCATTCATCCTCGACCCTGATGGGTAAGCTATCTTTTCTTGTCTGCCTTTCGTACCGTGGCTGACAAGTTGATTTTAGCTACTGGGTCGAGATCGTTCCTGGCGCTATCAAGTTGTAAGCCCATTTTAGCTGTGTTTTGGAAGACGTGGAGTTGAGAAGTGAAAAAGGAGTCAATTGTAAGCTGTACGAGTAACTGAATGCCATAGTAGTCTTGTAAAGCTGTGTACCTCGAATGAACTGGATTGTGCTGTAAGATCTATGACATCAGTCGTTATCGTGTTGTAAAGATGGGACTCCTGTTTGATGACGATTTTATAACGGACGGACGAGATAGTTTCTGCTAAAAGAGATGTGCTCACTGCGGTACCAGACCTAGGATAGAGATCTTGTCATCACTAGCTTGACGTCATTTGTTGCTCCTCGTATCTATCTTAATTAGTTTAGGCACCAGTATTCGAACATCCTGAAATATCGTTCAGACGTACGCACAGGAAAGTGGAAACCGTGTTGCAGGATGATGTAAAAATGAACAAACACCGCCCTTTGCTCGTAAAAAAAACTCTCATACATACAAGTCCTCTAAGTGAAACGATCTGCATGAACAAGATGGCTTACTTTAGAACTGGCCTGGGCCGCTGTCTGAGCGCACATATAGCTCCTGGAACAACGCGCCAACTCGGTTGATGCGGCTGATGAGCTGAAGAATGGATGATGACATCTGGGCGCGGAAGAAATGATCTCCGGCGATCCCTAGTCCACATTCACTCACCACCATTCGCGATCTCCACCCGATGGCCGTGGGGCGTAAAAATAATGTCCATGCTCTGCGCGTCCGAGGAGATTGGCGGTATGTATATCATCAGGTCAGGAAAACTGTCAATGTCAGAAATGTTAAATATTGTCGTGGCGTTATTCTTGCCTTGACGCTAAATCCGTTTCACTGTCATCAACGTTATAATGTACCTGAATAGCGTAAGAGTGCATAGACCCTTGTTAAGTATCAGGACAGGATGCAGAATTGAAACGCGATCTCGCCAGCTTGCTTAAGTTGTCGCAGGAGATTTGTGCAGTATTCAATGCGATGAGATACATTGGACATAATGCCGTCACCGTTTCGGAGAAATGTGCATGAGGCAAAAAAGCCGTTCGGAGAAACTGGGCATTGACGAAGGACAGAAGGAGCACTCGTGAGCGTTTGAATTCCGAGTGTCAAGCTAGACGCTCTGGCCGATGGGTCAATAAAAGGAAGGATGACGATATTTTTCTCCGGCCGAGAAACGGACCTCAACCTCCGGCTACTCGTATCATGCCCGGACTCACCGAGTCCGCATCACCAGTATATGCGAAGTGCAGATGAATACATTCGCGCTAGATGTACACATATAATATAATGTTAAGTATCGCAACTATGAAGCTAGCTTACGTCGCTTAGCTTCTGGCTGAGAGTCTCTACTACCCTCGTCTGACCGCCTCGAACCAGCATCCTTAGTACTTGTCGATTGTGATGGTGAATTTGAAGACTCGGTCGGCGTGACTTTTGCCTTCTTCTTGACTAGTACGCCTTTCAGCAGTTTCTTCGTGTCTTTCTTCGTGGATGGTGCTGGAACGCTTTTGCTTTTGCTAGTAGTTGCAGGTAGACTGGGAGATTGTTCAGAGCTTGGTGTAGTAACTGGTTGAGGCTTGTTCATCGCATTTTCTCGTGCAACGACAGCTCTGAAGAACATGTTAGCGACTTCTTAGCTTGCAATATATTTGAATTACTTTTTGAAATCCATTAGTTCTTCGCCATCTTGCTGCTTCCTCAACCGTTCTTCCTCATTCTGCTTTTCTCGAAGGGAGTCTAGGAACATGATTTCGTCCTCCTCCAACGCACGAAACTGGTTAGCTTTAAAGTGCGAGGTCAATAAGATAAGGGAAATTGCAAGTCTAAGCCTTACCTAGCTTCGTCTTTTCCTCCCATTCCTCTTGTTTTGCAGCCTACCGAATGTAAGTACATGTTAGTAAAAGGGGAATACATTGCAATGCACCCTGTTCGCAGCCAGTTTCTAAGTAAAGATAGATTAATATACTGCATATCAATAGCTATAGTCAACTTACCTCAGCTAAGCTCCTGCCATCGTACGAGTCCTCGTTTACCGGCAATTTTGGAGGCTCCTGGCCAAGTCTGCAGGCATTTGGCTTAGTCTATACTACCGAGTACATGTATAACGGTTGAAAGCTCACCTGGCATATGCCGCCTTCCACTGTTCTTCACGACGTGATTTGGCTGCTTCGATATCAGTCGACGAAACGAAACGCGAGCCGACAACTCCTTCGGAAAGTGATGGTACTGCTTCCTCCATTTATTTTAGATTGTACTGTGTATTGAAAGGTGCTAGCTGAGTCGTCCTGTAAATGGCATAGTGAAGGCCAACAGGTGAATGGTGAACTGACTCAAAACGCTTCCTTTAAAGTAAAGCAGTAGTGCTGAAGTCTGAAGCCTTACCTTGAGTGTATGCGAGTTTATGTTGTAATATCACAACGCAGCCAAATCAGTCTTGAAAGTTTGAGTGTGAGCTGGATATGCAGCGAAAGAGACAACAACGCTGGCTCTTACCGTTGTATATGCAGAGTGGATGGTAGTGGAACTTGAATGAGAGGGGACGTCTCGCCGGTGGGCGTTCGGCCAAGTCCGGCGATTGATCACCGGGGCAGCCGGCGAGAATGATTTACCATGGGCTCATTCACAATGATTCTTGGGAATATTAGGCCATCTATTTACCAAAGTCTTACGCTATTACGGGTTGCCGACTCAGCTCGACACGGTCACCTGGTCTGAGAGCACGGTCATGGGTCCAGATGACAATTTCTGGTGCAACATCATTTCATCCTTAATCCCGTTCCATATATATATATTGACTACAGACATAATGTGTTCTTCACGTCGCATTGTTTCCTTCCTTCAGGACTATCAGTGGTAGACGATGTTGCGGACGCTTGCAGCGCTCGTCGCGTGCCTTCCAGTGCTAGCGTTGGGTCAGGTCTTCGACCTTTCTGACTTGCAATGGACACTCAAGAACCAGAATGGCTCTATTGTCGTCCCTGGTGCTGTGCCTTCACAAGCTCATCTCGACCTGTACAGAGCAGGAATTATCAACAACCCATTGCTCGGTATCAATGGTAAGCATATTAATCGTGTTTGACAGCGATCATTCTCAGGGATTCGCAGAATATACGGAAAGATGGATCGTGAATGACAACTGGACATATACGGCAGACTTGTCTCCATTCACACAAAATTATAAGACTAGCTCTTCTGACAAAACTCTCTTGGTATTCTACGGGATTGACACCATCGCCAATATCGTTCGTAGTTTTCATTTCTATCCGTATCACGTATATCTCAAGCACTCTTTAGACTTTCGCTGGTCAACCTCTAGCCTGGGTCAACAATCAATTCCGGCAGTATATTTACGATGTCTCTGATTTACTGGGCTCCCCTGCTTCAGGAGACAGTAATTTAACGCTTGCTTTTGAGTCTGCGTGGTACTACGGAATGAATGTCTCAACTTTGCCTGATGCTGAATATTTCCCGGACACGGATACCGTAACTACGGTTGATCAGGTCAGTCAATTCATCGTATATCACCACTTGTGTTGACACGTTTTCTAGTTCGAGTATCCCTCAGTCCGTGAATGGATTCGCAAAATTCAGGATGACTTTGGATGGGATTGGGTGCGTTTCAACTTGTCAAGCAAATTATCAGTTCACTCCCTAACGCTGATATTAGGGCCCAGCATTTGTACCAAGTGGCATATTCAAACCGGCGTACCTCATTACATTGTCTGAATCAACGCAAGCTGGAAATATGACTTTGGCCGCTCCTGCTCCGTCTCCACAGACCTATGGAAACGCGGTATTCATCGAAGAGTCCGCCATCGACATCTATAAGTATGGCCAGAACTTCTCTGTAGCTCCCAACCAGACAGCAGATTGGGTCGTCAACGTAACTCTCGGTCTCCGCTCGGCAGCATCTTACGAGAGCCCATCGATCACTCTGTCAATTCCTGAACTGAATCTCAAATCAGATTCATTGCCAATTGATGCTATTGAATCATCGGTAGACGAGTCGACATTTGCGAGCGTTCAGTGGACGATTCCTGACGGCGTACCGGAGCGGTGGTACCCGATCGATCTTGGAACGCCCAAATTATATAACTTGACAGTGAGTCTCGATTTGGGTAATCAAGCAGGGGCAGAGCCTATCTCCTTCACGACGGCCACTGGATTCCGTACCATCGAGCTCTTGCAAACGCCATATTCGCAACAGGAAGTCGAAGAGCGTGGCATAACTCCGGGTGACCAATGGCATTTCGCGATCAACGGCGAAGCTTTCTTCAGCAAAGGCACGAATATCATTCCATTCGACCCCTTCTATGCGCGCATCAACCCTGAAGCAGTGAGGTGGGTACTTCAGAGTGCTATATTGAGTGGACAAAACATGGTAGGTTGATATCAAGAGCAAAGAAGGCACTTCATACTCACGATACTTACATTCAATCCCTATTTAGTTACGTGTCTGGGGTGGAGGGATATATCAGCCTTCGGATACGGCGACTGCTGGAGGGTTGTATGACTTCTATGCACTGTGCGACGAACTCGGTATCTTGGCCTGGTCGGAGTTGATATTCTCGGACTCTCTGTACCCCATAAACGACTTCCTTCTCGAGTCTGTAGAACCTGAGGTGAGACAGAATGTGAGGAGAGTGACGAGACACCCGAGTAACGCACAATGGGCTGGTGGAAACGAGATTGAAGGCATGGTTATGAGCGTTAATACCTCTTTGGCTAATGGAACGCATTATTTGGACGAGGTTGGTTTTCATCTGATATATCTGGATGTCATCTGATCGTGTATCTTGCCTCTTCTAGTTTGTTACTCTATTCCAAGACTATTTATATGGCATTGTAACCTCTGAAACCAAATCGGTGAGTTGGTATAAAGATACGCCATGTACCCACCGAATAACCAGTGATACAGGTTCCGTACACCGATTGTTCGACGACTCATGGTGTTCTGAGTCTCGACCCTTACGTGCTAAGGTTTGCGAATGGTACTCCAGGTTACATTTACGGAAACAGCGGTATGCATCTGCGCAATATTATGCTAGACAATGTTGACGAAAATCTTGTTTCCCAGAGCGTTACAACTATGATGCTACTCAAGCATTCAATTTGAGCACTTATCCTGTCTCTCGGTATGCCCTCAAATGTAAAGCTCTATCTCAGCTAACGCCGTGCTCCCTTTGATTATAGATTCGTGAACGAGTTCGGGTATGTCTAGTAATTTTTCGCTTTGGGGTATAACTGATATCGCTCGTTAGATTCCACTCCATGCCTTCCTTCTACAGCTGGGAAGAAGTGCTGGAAAACGCTGAAGATTTCAATTTCAACTCTACCGTCGTGATGTCTCGAGATCACCACCCTCCAGCCGGTAACTTGTCCTGGCCCAACCCCAATGCACCTCAAGGTCAATACCAGATGTCAAGCGCAGTCGAACTCTGGCTGCCTACTCCCGGAACGTCCGACTCGAATCAAACCTTCGCTCAGTGGTGCTGGTCCACACAGCTCTTCCAATCGATGAACATGGTGGCCGAAATCGCTTGGTACAGACGCGGAGCCGGTTTGGGCGAGAACAACCTTGGCAGCTTGGTCTGGCAGCTCAACGACATATGGCAAGGTGTCAGCTGGGCGGCTATCGAGTATTCTGGGAGGTGGAAGGTGCTTCAGTACGGAATGGCCAGCATATATTCGCCGGTGGTCGTCAACCCGTTCTGGATGCCTGAGAACGACACTTTGACGATTCTCGCCACGTCCGATCGGTGGGAGACTGTTGAAGGATCGGCCCAGCTTACGTGGTACGACTGGAGTGGGAACGTGTTGAACTCTAGCACGCAGAGTTTCGCCATCCCCACTTTGAATAACTCTCTACTTTTCGAAGCTACCGGTCTGCAGAACATCCTCCCATCAGGCGCGAATGCCAATGACGTCTTCCTTTTGCTCAACCTGACGGCACAAGTTGGCAATAAGACCGTTACGAACGAGAACTATGTACGTCTTCCTAGCCTGCCTTCGGCATTGCGTATAGCTGACTCCTATCACCCGATCTAGTTCACACCCGTATCTCTCGCGAATGCTACTCTGGTCGACCCTCAGATTGAGGTTACTTCTGGAGAGAATTACACGTTTACGCTTTCTGCCAAGGGTGGTGTGGGAGCGTGGACTTGGCTTGACCACCCCTCAGGTACCGTTGGATACTTCATCGACACATCGAGTGGTCTGCCCTCGAACGGATACTACCTCATCCCAGGCATAGATCGTACAGGTGAGTGCCATGCATCGCGAATTTGACGTCTGCTGACACAATGTTCGTCCAGTCCAATTCGTAATGAACGATGCCACCTCTACAGTCCTCAGCCCTGATCCAGCAGACTTTGTCCTGAGATCCCTGTGGAACAATACAAATATATAAGATCCCGCTTTTGAGATGTTAAAAAAATGGACAATGGGGCAAATGTAACGTAGTGTGCTCGGTGCGGATATACATTTTCTTGCTGGTTCACTTCTCGCTGTTTTGGCCTATTACATCCAAGGCAGCTCAAAAAATTCTCTGGCTACAGTGAGTACTAAGTAGTACATACAACAGACAAGATAGCAATATAAACAACAAAACTAATGACTGATAACTATTATCATAAGTTACTTCAACAACGTAAAAACCAGATAAAGACTACACGGGGGGGAAAAAGTCAAAAATAAAAACAACAAAAGATTAGCATGAGAGCGAAGACAACAGTAACTGCAACGTCCGTTCATCCAACCCTCCTCGTCCCAACGCCGATACGATCGAGTCCGAGTGACATGCCAAACGCTTCAAAGTTAAGGACGCGATGGCATTCTCTATCCGAATGGACAAGGAATCCAGATGCATTAAAATTTCAAGATCAGACGTTTTCTCGTCCAGTGGAGGCAACAAGAGTCTCAGATCACCCTGCATGACAGACGAGTCCAGCCGTTCCTCGCCCAACCGCTCGTTCTGCTCTCGAGGCCGGAACACCCGACAGGACGCCAACGCCTCCAAACGCAGGCACAGGATGGCAAGATCTCGCACGTGGGAGATCTTGGGATGAACTTTGGAGGATGTGACCATCGGCTGCGGTGGCCCTAATGGCTGCGGCGGTAGTATGGGCTGCATCATAGCCATCGGGTGTGGTGTGTACTTTTCGGGACTCTGTCGTCCTATCAACTCAAGGGGATAGACTAACGACAGCATCTCCGGAACTTCCAGCCCCTTTAGTTTCACCTCGCCCACAGGCACAACGACAATTTTCATACTGCGAATGGCGTCAATCGCTTGGGGAGGTTGCACATCTGAATATTCGGTATCAGGACCACTCTCGAATATCTTCGCATTGATTTCCCGGACAACGTCTGCGCTGCACATTATTTGTCCACCGGCAGCGCTTCCCGTGATACGAGCAGAACGGTTCACCATCGGACCAAAGTAATCCATCCGGTTAGTGATGGGATCTGGCTCACACACAGGCATCCCACAATGTATACCCATGCGAACAGACAAGCCTCGAGCAACAAGATTCCCCTGAGTATCGTAAAACTCTCTGCCATCATCGCATTCCAGAATTTCAGAAGGCCAAGGCTGATTAAGAAGCTCTACTTGAACCGCAAGACACCATCGAAGTGCGGAAAGTGTAGTCGGGAAAGAACACATGAAGGCGTCGCCCTCTGTCTTCACCACATAGCCGCCACACAGGCGCAATTGGCGTCGCAACAATTGATTGTGCAAACGCATGGCTGTTGGCATACCCGCGTTGGCCTCCCACAGATGCGTGGAGTTTCGGATATCAGTGAAAGCCAAGGCGAGATGTCCCACAGGAGCCGACACTTCACCATCCAATCGAGAAATCTGGCGATCAGCAATATCAGCCTTCTTGCCACCACGCCGTTTCAGAGAGGTATAAGAGTTAGGATCCAGAAGGTCAGGGCTATGAAAGAGATCGGCAACAGAAATGACCATGATCATAGTACTTCCGTCGGCACCATAGCTGATAGCGAAATCTCTCAACTTTTGCGACGCAATCATGGGATCACCCCTCTCAGAGCGTGCAATATCGACAGCAGTTTGGTACCCGACGTAATCCCATAAACCACGATTACCAATAATGACGAACTCGTCAAGCTCGGTCAAAGGGCGAACGCAGATATCAGGACGTGAATTCACGACGGGGAAGTCGTGGTAGAAACCGAAGGAACGTGAAGTATCAGTTTCATCATGGATGAGACCTTTGGGAGATATCCAGCCTTCAGCCGCTCGTATTCGAGCCGTTTCAGATCGATTGAATGGGACATGTTCCGTGGAGATGAGCTCAGCGGAACCTTGCCTAGATATCACGGCAAGCGCTTGACCGACGTTGGCAACATACAGTAGTTTATCCACGAAGTACAGCACGATTCCTGAAGCACCACTTCGAATATAAGAGACATCATAGCCTACAGTACCTGCTGTTGATACGCTGGCTTGCGACATCTTGCGGGAGGAAGTATTGGAGTAAAGTTCGTCATGCAGGGTTTTGTTGAGCCTAAGGAAGGTACGCCGCAACGCATCCGGGACATGCTCGTCTTTAGATCGATCGAGAGAAGATAGCTGAGATGAGAAGATGGGAATAAATTTATCGTGCAGGAACCGTGACAGTCGATTATTGTTAGTGACGGCTTGAAAGCGACCAAACATAGCAAAGACAGCTTCGTTTTTCCTTTCTCGGAACTCTGGCTGCACGAGATCAAGCATTTGTAGATGGCCGTTTTTGCCTATGTTATCTGCGATACCATATGACATTCCATTGACAACGGAAAGTGACGTCCGTACACGACGATCGTCGCCTTCGTCAGGTATGTTTGGCAGAAATGTCGTCGTCACATCCATCATGCCCAACACACGCAACTGAGTAAGTTCAGTGAATCCAGCGAGCAATACTCGGTCGCCTTCCTCGTTCTCTGACTGGGATTTACTCTTCTCTGGTTTGATCTCTAACCGCTTGTTGCCAGATAGATTAAGGTACTTCAGGTTCTTGTTGAAATTCCTAAACATGAAAGATATAAAATCAAACCAATAGCAATAAACCTCAAACAACATTTACCAATTCCAGTCAAACTCCCAATTGTTGATGTTGTATTTGAGGAGGTTACTGCCTACATCGATGACAGAGAGATTCTTGATTTTCACCAGTTCACGAGGAAGTGTCTGCAATTGATTGCCATTGAGGAACAGAACAGTGAGGTTTTGCAATCGGTGCAGGTCCTCGATTGGGATACTCGTCAAGTTGTTGCCACTCAGATAAAGTTCCTCCAGCTTGACGAGATTCTTCAAGAATGATGGGGGTACCTGTTTAATCTCGTTAAAGGATAGATTCAGAACACGAAGCTCTTTCAATATTGTCAGAGGTGGCAGCGCTTCGTCGGTGAGTCTATTTTCACCAACGTATAATCGCTCCAAGGAGTGTGCAAGGGAGGGAAGGGGCGATGTCGTAGAGCTCGTAATCGACGCTGCAGACGACATCTTTCTTTCTTGATATGATGGCCGACTCGGTGAAACAGCCTCCAGGTTCACACCGACAGAAGGCGTAACAGAAACAGATGGTGGGTCGTGCCAGGTCTCCAATAGATTGGATGTCACATTGATGAGCGTCAACGAAGCACAATTCCAGAGCGTTTCAGGAAGTTCCTTCAGACTATTGTTATGGGCTTCAAGCGTTTCGAGTCGCTGTAGTTGTCCTATGCTAGATGGCAGTGCGTCGAGCTGGTTGTTGGAACAGCAAAGGGTGATTAAGCGACTAAGTTCGCCAAGAGAATCGGGTATCGACCTGAATGAATTATTATCAATCTTCAAATGCTGGAGCGAGGATAACTGCGAGAGGTCCAGATCGCTGAATGACGACAATTTTGCATGAGATATATCAAGAGACGTAAGAGGATAAGGAACCTGGCATGCGGGATTTGGTAAGAGGGTCAATCGTGTGATATCACTATGGGACACGTCTAGCGTCGTTAGAAGGGGTAATTGAGACAAGTCTAGAGCATGGAGTGCATTGTGGTCTGCTAGAAGTGTATCTAGCCTTGAGAGTTGACACACTGGTGAGAGGTCCGATATACCGTTCCTCCTACAGTCCAGAACACGAAGGCTGACCAAGGCTGCACACTCGTCTGGTAGTTTCGAGACCTGGTTTCCTAGAATAACTAGCCGCTCAAGTTTCTTGAGCAGACCTATCTTGTCTGGAAGCTCCGTGATCGTATTAAACGAAACATCAAGGTCCACTAGACTTGGCATCTCACAGATAACCGATGGAAAGTGGGAAAACATGTTATTTGAAATGTTAAGATATTTGAGGCTGCGCATTCCAGGGAAATATGAGGCGAGCTTTTCGATTCGGTTGTTTTGTAGTTTAAGGTTTGTGAGCTCTGGAATGCGGTCGAGTCCGGCGTCGTCCAGATCCATGATTCGATTACACGATAGGTCTAAGCGATGAAGGCTGGCCGTATGCCGTACACTCGAGGGTACCTTCTTCATAGCCATGTTACATAGACGCAGTTCACGCAGCGTAGTACAAGCCTGTAAGAAGTCGAGCGGAATTTCTACCATGGGATTGCGCGAAAGATTTAGATATATAATCGAGCTCGCATTCTGGTGTAGGACGATAGGAATTGCCGGAATTGCTCGGCCTGTAAGATCGACGTATTCAAACTCGTCAAACGTAAGATCCTCTGCCTGTACAAGCGATCAGAGAGCATATCCGTGTTGCAGAAATCAATACTATTACCGTTGGACCCAAGAGATGAGTCTTGTAAATAAACTTCATCAAAAACGTCATGTCTTCGCCTCCTAAAAAATCCAAGCTGTCTGCTTGGTCGTAGCCGGCGTGCTCCAATCTTCTTCGAACGATTTCAGCGGGTTTTTCTGTAGGGAGCAACAACCGCTCTTGAAGGATTATTAGCGACCGTAATAGTGCATTTGTTTGGCAGCATAGCAGAACCTACCCCGACCCCGCTCCTTCAAGTACAGTCGATGACTTTCAGCGTTTTCATCCGTAAGTTTCATGTCCAATAGTGGTGTCAGCTCTGCTACAGTCGATAGAAGGGAGATGGTAGCAACATGGTAAGTGTTATCGGCCCGATAGATCCGTACTCTATATGTCTTGCCATCGTGGACAGGAGGCATGAGTGTCTTATTCGTTTTGCGTCGCATCTTAGGTTTATTCGTCCCTCCGCCATTAACACTTAGATTCGACGCTGGCAACTTTGCTCCCACCACAGCCAAGCTTTCTTCTGAACTGGCTTCCTCTGGCCCCAAGTTACCTTCTCTCCTCTTGTGGACCGCCCAACTTTCCGGAGCAATCCAGACTGGGTCCATTTCCTGGTCATCTCTGTCATCGCCTTCAGGTGCCTCTCCATCCATAGGAAATATGGTCTTCGGGGAAACCTTTCTCTGGTCGTGTACTAGGTGAGCCTTACCTTTCGCCACAATTGATGGAAGGAATGGGTTGATGAAGAAAGAGCCTGTAGGTGACGAAGAAGCATGATGAATGCTGGCATCTGAGAAGCTTAGCGCGCTTGATTGCTGGCTTTCGATACCGCTCCCAGGCGAACTGGTAGACTCCATGTTCTGATTCGGTAATGCTGTCAGCTTGATGATTCCTTCCATATGGTCGATATCGGTATCTAGCTTGTATACGCCATCCTTTGGAGGGAGAGGTGGAGGTCTGTTCTGAGCCTTTCTCCTTGGTCGCACCAGTTTGTCTTTCTTCGGGAGTGGGGGAGGAGGTGGGGGCGGGGGTTCTGGTATGGACAGAGATGTCATGAAGGTGTCCGTGAACGTCTGAGAAGGACGGTTTGGAGGGGAGTGAGAACGTGAGAGCAGTCCGAGTCGATCCGAGTCACTTGCGAGTCTGCTCCTGCTACGAGACTTCTTGATAATGTTGAAGATGCTCATAGAGGATTTTCCCTTGCGGCTCTCCGGTGAGCTTGAGACGAGGGTAGCCTCGGACTGTATGGAGCTGGTGTAGGACTCGGCTATGCTGTGTGATTCGCTGTTACGAGTGCGACTGAGGAGGCTTGCTGTGCTGCCTTGACGAGGAAGAGAGAAGGAGGAAAAGGAGGCCTTTTGAGGGAGTCCAAAGGACCGCTTTCCTGGTGCGGCAGACTGTGCGCGCGAGAAGAGTGAGTTAGCTGAAAGAGAAATAAGGGATGATCCCTGTCCCCGTGATGCGAGTGTCGTTACACTCGCGCCAGGGCAGTGATCATGATGGGGTGAAAGAACTCACTGATTCGTCGAGCCATGGGGCGATAACGGTGTTCTCCTCATCGTTGGGGGCATGGGGCACGAGAATGTGTGGCGGGAGTAAATCTTCCTTTTGGAGGACGGGGAGAGAGGCAGCTGCTGAGGAAAGCTGCTCTGGTATCCTTGGGAAGTTGTTGTGTCTGTGGGGGGATTCTGTGCAGGACATTCAGGCGTTCATAGGACTGGCGTGTAGAGGGAGAAAAGAGAGTGACAAGGATACGACAATTCAGTTCAAAGGGAAAGGAAGCAACGGCCTATCATTTCACTCGTCAATCTATGGTTATCCTTTACCACGCTATTTCCCACTTGGACCTAATTTCCTTTTTTATCCATTCCATCGTACCAAATTCCTCCTCTTTTCGCCCAAAATCCTCTCCTGTCACTGATCCATGATGGATTTCCAGTGTCATTCTGACATTCAATCATGCCTGTCCTTTATCCAGAAAGCCCGTATCAGCAGGACAAAAGCTGCAAGCTATGTGTCTCTTTATTGCGACATGATCATCTCCGCTGACAGTAGACCATTGATTGATTGGTCGAATCACGCATCTCTGCAAACTCACATCCTGACATCGACCTCAAACGCCGAGCAAGCCTGCGCTCCAGTACATCATTATGGCACCCCCCGAAAGCGTGGTCTCATTCATCCGTGTCTGTCAGTTGCTTGCGTGGACGATGGTGGGTGACCCATCACATCATCTTTTACAGTCAGACGCCATCTCCGATTCACCAAATGCTGCAAGTTGGGGGCTATCCAAGGATTGCCCTCCGCAGTCCAATCCAAAGATAGAACGCACATCAAATTTGCGATGTCGATTTTCAACTTTATGCCTTGATGCTGAGACATTCAGTCTATACCTTTCGTCGTATCTTCTAGCAAGATATCTTGAATTCCATGATAGTAACACAAAATTCCAACGTGCGAACAATTCCTTTGCCCAATTTTCAGTGGCTACCGCACGTGATACGAGCTACAACGAGTTTCGAAAAAAAGAACTCGGCGTAAGCCATTTGAATTTTAAGTGAGCCGGCCGGCCCCGGCCTTCCGTCCGAGCGACGCCGGTTTTCAGTAATTCAGCGTAGTGTCATCGGCGCCCGGCGCTGTTCTGGCTTTGTTCTTGTGCGTCCTTGGCTGTGGTTTCCGTAAGTTGGCCGGCCAGAGTCCGCCTCACCGCTCTTGTCAGTCCCGATTGTAACAGCCTTCAGAAAGGGCAACGCAGCAGACACACCACTTTTACTCACTCACGACCAGCTACGATCATGTCCTCGTTAACAACGCCAACGGCGTCGGGGACACCTTCAGCGACTACCTCTTCAGCAAGCAGCTCCGTTCAGGCTCCAGCTAACCTCAAGGTAATTCAAACCTTCCAAATATCACCGTTATATCATCATACTGAACATTCTTGCAGGTTATCGGGATTATCCTCGCCATCGCGAGTGGTCTTCTCATTGGGACCAGTTTTGTCTTCAAAAAGAAAGGATTGCTGCGCTCGCAGGCCGGGCATGCTGCGGGTGAGGGTGTCGCATATCTTAAATCAGTAAGCATATGACAATTTTGTGGGGTTGTCTTCGGTGTCTCTAACAGTAATACGAAGCCACTATGGTGGTTAGGCATGACAAGTAGGTTTCTATTTCCCCTGTCCTTTTTGTCAAGCCGCTAACCTTCCTCAGTGATGATTCTCGGAGAGCTCTGTAATTTTGCTGGTGCGTTAGCCTTGATTGCAAACATGTCTCAGCATTGCCACTTATCTTAAACTATTAGCCTATGCATTTGTCGAGGCACTGGTTGTTGTACGTTAAACACTCTCATCTGCGGTCTTTTCCACTTATTTGTCGGTTCCAGACACCTCTTGGTGCTTTATCTGTTGTAATATCTGCAATACTTTCGTCAATCTTTCTCAACGAGAAACTCACTTTTTTCGGCTGGCTTGGCTGTGGGCTTTGTATCGTAAGTCTATTCACTCAGACTTTCTTCTGTGTACTGAATAGCTGTCTAGATTGGATCTGTCATCATCGCTTTAAATGGTCCTGATTTGTGTTTCTGGCTGAGACTACTTCTGACGCACTTGTATTTATCCAGGACCACAAGAAAAAACAGTCAGCCAAATCGTAGAATTCGAAAAGCTCTTTATTGCCCCAGGGTTTTTAGCGTATGCTAGTACTATGATCGCCATTTCGCTTTCTATAGTATTTTATTTTGGGCCGAAGTTAGTCATTTGTCTTATGCATGTTTACTGTGCTGACCGCATCGTATATCGGCAGGTACGGGAAAAAGAGTATGTTATGGTATATTACGGTATGCAGTACTATTGGTGGCATCAGCGTTAGTGTCACCACAGGCCTTGGTTCGGCTATCGTGGCGACTGCAATGGGAGATAATCAGGTATGGTACATAGAAATCGTGTGTGTATGCACCATCTTACTATCTTCTCTGTGTAGTTCAACCACTGGTTCATATATTTCTTGTTTGCGTTCGTAGCTGTAACTCTATGTTCGCCCGTTTTCCTGGTCTGGTAATTCGTAACTGACAGTAGTTGTATAGTGACAGAAGTGTATTATTTGAATGTAGCCCTTGCATTATTCAATACCGGTAAGTGCGAAATCATCCTCTGACGGGAATATAACTGATTATGTTTGCAAAAAAAATAGCCATGGGTATAGTCAATTTCTTTCTAATAATTTATCACTCAATAAATAACACACTCTACAGTTACTCCCACTTACTACGTTATCTGTGAGTCCCCCTCTATGTTTTTGGCCTCGTTCACTTTCTGATAAAGATTCGATGCTAGTCACATTCTGTTCCATGGTCACAACTATAGTGCGATCAAATAGGTTTCCTTTCATAATGTAGTTGCTGATGTTTATCCATAGGTTCTTTTCCAAGGGTTGAGCGCCTCTGTTAGCCAAATTATAACAGTAGTCCTCGGCTTCCTAACAATCTGTGTGGGCATCACCATCCTACAAATGTCCAAAGTCGACCCCACTCAGCTTTCCAAGCTCGACCGACGGTCAACGATTCTACTACAAGCCTCTCGCCAGAACACCGAAGCGGAAGAGAAATCTATAGCTGGCACAGAGGAGCCGGGTATCGATGCACTTCGCGGTTCGTTTGGCACGGTGGGCAGTATTATACGTGCGAGGACTGCGAGGAGATTGAGTCAGTCGACGCGCGGTACCAGCTCCCTTCGTTCCCGTTCTGGCGTGCTGTATAGACCAGCTGGTGATATGGAGCAAGGACAGTGGTCGCCCGGGCACCACCCTGACCCTTCCCTGGACGGGATGAAGCGGCATCAGCTGTATGACGCGCCCGTACCGAGAGACCCCGAAGTAGAACGGGTGTCTTCCTTCTCCTCAGCCTCCACCCCCCAACCATACAGCCCTCGCCAAACCACCATCAAATTTGGAGCTGAAGATCTCGTACATTCATATCATATTCCCGGTACGGGAGATGACAGCGCGACCCACGAGCGCCGAACTACAGTCCGTGAAAGCCCCTCGCACACAGATATCAAATCGCCATCCCCGCTATCTTACCCTCCGACGGGTCCGGTTGTCGCGCCTGCGACGCCGACGAACCCGTTCTCGCAGTCAGTGCCTATACCTCCGCGCATGAACGATGAGCCCATAGCGCCTAGATTGAACACCACTTTCGCGAGCACGAAACCCAGCGATCCCTTCCGGTCACCATCCTCACCCATCATGTCTGCTGAATCCTCGACGACTGAGTCGTTGGGAGGCGCTCCGCGGTGGTATGGAAGTGACGAAGAGACTAATAATTCCTCGCGACACTCTGGCCGCGGTGCAAGGAAATACCCTCGTGGCGAGGATGATAGAGAGGAGAGCATGAGTCTGTGGCGGGCTCCGTCTATAGACGAGGATGAAGATGTTCATCAAAACCAGGGTGGAATCAGGCTCGTGAAACCTAGCTCGAGTACGAGATTCTGATAAAGTGATACCTATTTCCACTGGCGTATCGAACGGACATGAGAACTGCGGGTCAGGATGGTTCAATACAAACCTTTGCTTGGAATCGGGTGTTGTTAGTTTTTCTGGACAGTCGCGGTACATGTAAAGTAATTATGGGTGGCATATAGGTATTTAATGCGAGACCTTTGTTTTTCACGCGTTATCTCTTGTACTGCGTCTACGACTTTTTCTTTTTCTTTCTTTCTTCCCTACGAGACATTCGGAATGGACGCGTTTCGTTGCTTCGAAATCAGTCCAAAAGTCAAAAGCATGTGACTTGCACGCGGAATGCATGTGACCGTGTTTGTTCATTTGTGGCCACCATCCCAAATTCTCATCTGAACCAACCGCACGTTCAACTTTGTCTCGTTCCCGTCTGCTCTCACTTGCCAACGATGCTGAGCTCGCGCCCCGTATCGGTGAGACTTGACTCGGATGCTTACAGTATGGCGAGAACTCCTGCAAAGGCACTCCTCAAGTCCCGCGGTGCTCTTCAAGAAAATGCGGTCCACCACGCATCCGCCACCGTCAACGGCAAAGGCAAAAAAGCGCTGCAGCAGACACCACATCATCCCAATACCATCCGTAAGTGCCTCCTGCTGCCACATATCAGGAAAACCCGCCTGAGCTTCGCGCCGCAGAGCCCGAGCGTCTTTTCAAAGACCCGGGCCACAAGCAGCCAGGCCTGTCCAAACTAGCCATCGCCGCGACGCAGGCGCCATCCCGCCCTCTCGGCGACAAGACGCCCTTCCCCAACCGCATCGCCAACCACGCCACACCCCTCCCCGCGACCGCCAAAATAGCCAAGCCCCTGCTTGACGTCGCCCCCAGCCTAACGCCCACCCTCCGTCCGAGCTCGACTAGAAAGCATATCCGCGCGCCTCGGAGTGCTGTGAAGAACTTTGAAACGCCTGTGACGGGAGGCCAGCATTGGGACGTTAGTGATATCAGTATCGCGAACCCTGATGTCGCATCCAATGCAAACCAGTCGGTTGACGAGGAAGACTATGATGAGATTGAGTACATGCCGCCCACTGCAGTCGGTGCGTCTCACTTTGTTCTCTGACGAGTCTGCTTATCAATCGTTCTGTCATACTCAGAACTTCCTTATGAGCCGCCTTTTGAGTTGCCGGATTACAAGGAAGTTGGCAGAACCATTTTGACACTATCTCAATCCTATATCATTGAAGACTTGCCCGAATTTGATAACGAATTTGAGCTTGGTCCGTCGGATATGGCCAATTTTTTCGCGCAGGAGGATCTATTATTGCCAGACTTGAGTACGTCCATTTGACATAATCCTGTAAATGTGGTGAGGCTGAATCCTAACTATCTCTATCACAGAAGACGATAGTCCTTTCCAGCAGAACGCCTCTAAAAAGACTAAACCATCCGATCAACGCGTCGTTGGCCAACGGGAGATCACAAAAGCGAAAGTGGACCCCAGGCCTATTAGTCGACCCGCAAAGCCTATAACGTCTCAGACATCTTCCACAGTAACCAAACGCCCACCCATCGTCTCCAGTCGAGCGGCTTCCACTACCGTAAAAACAGCATCAAGTCAAAGGACGGTGCCCAGTTCGCTTTCTCGTCCTGGCACTGTTGCTTCTGTGAGCAGAGTGACTCGTCCGGCTACCAGTGTGGGTGTCATAAGGCCTGTACGCGAGCGTGCGGACACGGTTTCTCGTCTTGGGACAGCTAGGCCAAGAGATGGTCCAACAGCTATCCCGCGTCCTGCAAGCACCGGAATGAATTATAGGACCACAGCGACTAGAACGACTAGCCTGGCGACAGCCAGGCCAGGTCCTACGAATAATAAACCAGTTCCAACCGCAGGACGATTAGGTGGCATTGCGACGAAGGCTTCCTTGAAAACACCCGCCCTCGTACCTGCGACGCACCGCAAAGCCAAAACGGAGAGTAGCCTGTTGGAGACTAACATGTTCACCGTCGTAGAAGATGACTGGATGGCTGAAGACGACTTCAAGTTTGCGATCTGAAGCTCCCAAGCGTGCATTGCATTGCTACACTCTGTCTATCGCAATGGGAGGAGACGTGTAATATAGATGCCCCGGAGCAAAAGCTATTATGGAGATAAGTTATCTAATCGCTTTGTAACTTGTAACACATTCCACCATCACCACATCCACTTTGTTAGAACGACCTCCTGCAACGTTAGCCGTGAGACTGCTCCATCTATCCTGGCCTATAGATACGTCACCTTGGGCTTGCCCAGGTCCGAGTCCTTGGTGACCTGTCTCGTGGTGACATCGGGGATAAACCGCCACCACCACTGTGACTGCAATCATGGCTGGGATTCAAAGATTCAAAGGGGTGTGTGCCATGATGTATGATGACCGCTCGTGTAGCCATCAGCGGGACTACGACGGTTTGAAGATTCTGATGTGATTGTTGGCCGCTCATAATTAAATTGCTAATGGCGAGTCCGTCTGATTGCAATTTATCCAAATTGCGAAGAGGAATGACACGCCGCAGTAAGACGGTGGATGCGTTGTATGTACATGGACAAGGAGTCCACATGTTGGCTTTAACGTCGTGACATGAGTAATGATTACTCTACGCATTTCGTGTTGATATGGCCCTTCATCATCGTACGAAATGCGGTTGGAATGTCGGTGACTACAGCCAGTAGGGGCAAGCCTAACTCCGAGGTGCGGACTTTGCACCCAGAAAAAGCAGTCTGACGGCAGCAACGAAAATCAAGATTGCCAGGGCAAGAATGAACAAGGCCAAGGCGCTCATGACAGTCTCCCGGGTTCCTAGAACCTTGGTGATATCTGAGGACTGTAGAGAAAGTTCGCTTTCGGGATGTGCAGAAGCCAGCTCGAGCTTCAGGATGTTGTCGATGAGTTCAGCCCAGCTATCGTCGTTGAGCACCACTGGCACGTATCCCCGATCGCCAAAGCCGCGGGTATCAAAGAATAGGGCGAACAGTCTGCATTGAGTCGTCTTTCCTTGAGCGTTGGTTATTTTGAGAACGCCAGGCGGTGTGTTCCCTACATCTACCAGCTCTGTCGAGAGATCGAATTGCTCGAGGATGCTGATCAGGACATTCTGAATATGAAAGTGACGAATTGTAGCAAATTCTTATCATATGGCAAGAGAGGACATACTGAGTAGCCCATATCTTTGATCGCTTTCCTCCCATAAGCTCTCCTTCGACCTTTATATGCGACGATGATGTGAGGGGGAGGGAAACCATGATCGGCTGAGACGTATCGTGTTTGTGAGTTATCCAGACATGGAGAGTTCACTGATGATCGTTGTTCCATTGTGCGATACGGTGGTTGTTCTGCAGAGTTGTGAATGCTCTGAACCGTGGTCGAACGTGAGTACTTTCGGGAATAACAGTACTTAAAGCCGACTACACATAAATAGCGAATCAATGTGTTTGTATTCTTTTACGCCGACTCCTTATCACCCTTCACTGCCTTGTTTTCTGATACTGGGAAGGGACATTTTTTGTTCGGCGTAGAGGAAAACAAAGCTTCGCCTTCGCTAGCAGCACTATGCTTCCTGTCTTTGGCAGGGAGCTATGATGGACTTCTAGATAGTAGTGAAAGCTACAAATATGTCTGTTCACTTGTCTGGTAACGAGAAAAAAATAATTCAGCCTGTCAATCAGCCGGTCAGCCAGCATCATATCATCTTTCCAGTTGTCATAGACATGGTCATTTTTGAAACGAGAAGTTGACAATGAGAATATTGCTATACATGTACCATACGAGTACAACATTCGATAATCGTGATCAGATGGACTGCCCAACCGTAAGAAAAAAGAAGTACTGTACATTAAGGGCATCGATGTGTCTAAACGAGGACGAAGCAACAACACAGCTTGGAGATCATTAGCATTGGAGAGATGACCATCGTTGTAGCGGAGGAGCGAAGGGAACAAAGTGTTGCTCTTTGATGCTTATGGATCTTCTAGTTCGACGATTGTCTGTCCCATCAGATCATCGTTATCATTAACATGATGATCATGATAAAATCAAATGCAGAATCAGCACTCACGTAGTCACGGTGAACTTGAGAGATGTGAAGATTATATTTAACTTTACAGCATTGCCAACAAGCTCTGGCCAGCCACGCTCATCTAACAAAACCAGTCCCTCATCTTCTTCTCCGTGGGTCCGATAAAACATGGCGTATATGGATACCTCGGGCTTATACCTAAACTCAGATATCCACCAGTCATCTTTGGTAGCAAATCTGTTGATGAACAACTCCACAGCTTTCTGATGAAGAGTGTATGTACTGGTCAGCCGTGACCAACCAGAAGAGGGAGAACAAGTGGCTTACTCTGTAGCTCATGGTCTGCAGTGCATTTCTACCAAATGCACGCTTCTCGCCACGGCACGTTGCGATGACCTGGGGAGGCAGCGCAAGAGAGCTGGATACATAGTCGTGTAAAGTGGTTAGAGCCGCGACGACGTCCTGTGGGATGGTAGCTGCTTGGGACGATTGCCGTCCTGATTCAGTCATTGGACTCATCGTTGAAGAGACGAAGCATGAGAATGGTGGCCGCTCCTCCGTTAGAACGTGTTAAGGCGTCAGACGACATCGTGATGAACACGCCCACACCGGCTGGAAGTTCTCGCAGCAATAGAGTCGCACGTCTATATTCTGCATCGCAATTACTCGTATCGTGGATTTGGCTATGGCAACTCCAAATGTGCACTCTCTCAACGGTCTGATGGCGTAGTTGGTTATCGCATCTGTCTAACACACAGAAGGTCTCCTGTTCGAGCCAGGGTCAGATCACTATTTTTTCTCATAATCCTAGTTGACCAGGAAGGCACCAACTTGAACGGAGAACTTGGAGCCTATCCAAAGACCTTTTTCAAGGGGCTAGCTACCTTTGGCTATTTGTATTTATGTCTCGTATTTGCAAATAACACAATACACTAGAAGTCGAAGTGAGAAACGTGTAACAAGGATGTTATCAGTCTTGCGATCTGTGGCCTAGGCTACGCTTATTATAATAGTATGCTCTTGATTATCCGGGTCCGGATAGGTGACTACTGAGGTCGTCGAATGGGCGGCGAGGTTGGCTGCATACAACGAGTCTCCATAAAGCAGCTTGTCCTTGCTACAGCAGTATAATGTGCGCTGCGATTAAGGGCCAGGTACTATATACTCATTAGGTCAAACTCAAAGGCGCTGTAAGCTGCTACAGGCACTGTTTGATGATGGATGATCATGACTTGTGACTACCATGGGTAAGTCAAAAGGCAGGATATATCCAATCTGTGACTTTCCTCTTGTACTCCCTGTCAGATGCTGTTAGGCCACTTATCACCAGGGGCTAATACCTCGGTTCGTTGTAAGTACCTGCTATTATAGTACGTACGAAATGCTCGAGTTATAGTATGAGTCTGCCGAGGCGCTAGTATCCCGGTTCCGGCAGTGCCACTGTGCCTGGTATGAAGACACGATATCCTCAAGCAAGCTCGACAAATAACGGAAAGGCTATGTAAGTGCTGCATCAGACGCACGACGTTGTCATTGTCACTGTCGAATACTGGAAGCGATTTGAGATGGATACCACTAGGATCGCTGTCTCCATGGTGTCTCGAAGATAGAGTTCTCCAAGGAATTTGCTTCCAAAAAGTTTCGGGCATTTTGGTAACAAAAAAAAAAAAAAGCCGGCGGCCAAATTGTATGGAGTAAAAGATGATCGATCCTTGTTTTGTCCGAACAAAATGGTCCGAGCCCAAGAGGGTGCTTCGCTGTACATACGTGGGATGTTCTTAACGTGAAGGGAAGTACTGGAGATGAACCCGTTCTGCATCATTCGCTCTTCATCCAGCAGTCAACCATGGCTGGAAGGAAAGGTCATGCTCACTCAGCCTCTGAGCCTATAATGCTCCAGCCTCTCGACAAGACTCAGAAAAAGAACCAGTACTACGACGAAGATGCTACACGGGTCAGCAATAGGATCGACGAGGAAATCAGGGCAAGTATCCATCCTTGTTGCTTCAGTTCTGCAAAGTGACACAGCGAAAATGACACTTTTAGAGAGAGTCCGCTAGAAGGAAGGAGTCACAGAAGAGAGAAGTAAAGGGTACGGACAACCCTCTCGCTTCTATAATCGTCCAAAAACTCGCCACTGACTTTGGAATGATTACCGGATGTCCAGTCATGCTTCTTGGACAGGCAGAGTCAGGCAAGTCCACGCTGCAGAAGCAGTTCCAGCTGTATTACGCCTACCAGACACTCGACCGCGAGCGGCCTTCATGGCGTCCTGTCGTATACTTCAACGTTATCAAGGCCGTTCGCATGATCCTCGATGAAGTAGACTACGAGCTTGCATCAGCAGCCAACGAGGATGCAACCACCGAACTTCCAATAGCCCATGCCCTCGCTCCTCTCGGAAATATTGTCGGAGAAATAGCGCAACTTCGTAGCAAATTGCTTCCTCTTGTTGCGATCGAGGACTCGCTAGCATCTGAACTTAGTGGCGGGATATCTCTTTCTGGAGGGAAAACTGGTGCTTTTGTCCGCGCGGGATGGCAAGGTCTTGTTCTACCAAGTCGTAGTCGGTCATATACCGACTCGCGAAACGCCTCTGATCCCAAGGCTGCCGCCAACTCTGCTCATGTCACGAACCTAGCTTCCAGGACGCTTGCGACTGCACACGATGATATAGACGAGCTATGGAAGCATCCTGCTGTGAGAGTTCTCTTGAACAATCGCAAGTTGCGACTAGACGAATCTGCCTCTTTGTGAGTCCAGAATCCTCAGAGGCCTTTTCGTCAAAATCCTTATTTCCATCTTATATCATAGCTTCTTGGACAACGTCCACCGTGTTTCGGAACCAGACTATTTACCTTCTACCGGTACATACATTTACACGAGCATTCATGCATCACCGTTCACTGACATCTTGACAGACGACATTCTGAACGTTCGCCTGCAGACTCTGGGAGTGTCGGAACATGCCTTTGATATAAGTCTTTATGGTGCACGGTACCTCTGGCTTATGTATGACGTCGGTGGTGCAGTAAGTCCTCCCACCACCCTTCCCTCATTTGCGTGTCTCATTGTTCCCAGAGAGGACAGGCGAGTCTGCGGACATGACTCTCCCACCACTAGTATGCTAACGATATATTGACATGCTTTGATATAGAGGCACACGTGGGTACCATACTTTGATGATGGTAAGTGATACTCCGGATCTTTGATGATCATCATGAGAGCTCGCCGTTGCTGTGTGCGACATTGCTCTGGTGCGCCTTTGTCAGGTTGTCAACTCTTTGCATATTCATCATTACATCCTGTGGTCATGCATCTGACATATTGATCCTTTTTATGTAGCTACTGCTATTATCTTCCTTGCGCCCATCAGCGCTTTCGACCAGGTGAGCGTCCCTCCGATCAATCCCCCCGGCAGCTCCCGTGATCACCTTGTTGACTTCCTTCTGTTCCCAAATCCACTCATTGTCCTCCTTATTCGCTCATCAGTACCTGGAGGAAGACACTCGAACAAATAGGATCGACGACTCTTTGCAGTTGTTTACAGCTATATGTTCCAATAAGCTGCTCAAGAATTCCCACTTGGTGCTGCTCCTGAACAAGGTTTGATACCATCCCATTTATGTACGACCCAATCATTTGTCTGATGAATGTTGTTTCGTTTCATTGTCATAGGCTGACTTATTAAAGAAGAAGCTTCAAGATGGCGTCCATGTTCGAAAATAGTGAGTACTCTCTGTACAGGATATATGATGTGCGGCCACTGATCGCATGACGACTTAGCATTACCTCTTACGGAGATAGGCCAAACACATACGAGGAAGTGTCGGAATATTTCAGAGCACACTTTATTCAGGTCCACAAAAGAAACGACATCTCCCATCGCTCTCTATACATTGTTCGTACTACCTTCTCACTTGCTTATCATATCATATATTCACGTGTTATTCCCCTCAGCACTTCACTTCAATGCTGGTGAGTTTCCCCGGCTGTCTTTGGTGAGGTCTTCTTTTACTTACTTTCCGACGATATCAGGATATCAGAGCTACTCAAAATATTATTGTTAACGGTATGTTAGTCGCATCTTCTTTCGCGTTAACCATCCTGACTTCACTATACAGTGGGAGAGGCTGTTATCCGTTCTCATGTAGCTAAAACTGGACTCGTTTGATCATTTCCTCTTGTTTCTGGTAGCTTCCTTCATACTCCTAACGATCTTTTTAGACAGTTCACTTTGGTTTGGTAGTGATTATTTAATGCCCATTTACATAGGTTTACTCTTACATTATCTCCCCTTATCCGATTTACGATTGCATGCATTACTACGATATATACTGGATCGCTATCGCACAATCCAGTAGTTTCTTGACTTCTCCCCCCGTCTTCCCCTAAGCTTTGCTATGAGGTGCACGTGCCCTACTAACTGTGGGAAAATTGCAAAAAGTCCATGCCAAAATTTAGATAGTATTGGCAGCAAGCTGAGATCGCCTCGTTTTTTCCTCAAGGCTCAATACGCTTTTTTTTGCCTTTGATCTACCAGGATGTCGACGAGCGGATTGAAGGCGATTGCGCCGGTGCCCACAGCGGCTGACTTTCTGGACATCGTGCTGTCCAAGACACAGCGAAAAACACCAACGGTATGTGAACCAGGTCTATATACCGAGGTCCAACTGATACTATCGTTCTTTTCACTGTAGGTTATCCATAAGAACTTCAAGATCAGCCGGATACGAAATTTCTATATGCGCAAGGTCAAGTTTACGCAAGACTCATTCGATGAAAAACTCTCTGCTATACTCAGCGAATTCCCTATGCTCGACGTACGTTCACCATCGTTTTGCAGCCTTCATAAGGACTTATCGTTTTCGCCTATAGGACCTGCACCCCTTTCTCTCTTCCTTGATGAATGTACTCTATGACAAAAATCACTACAAGCTCGCCTTGGGCCAACTTCGCACTGCACAACATCTGATTGATCAAGTAGGGAAGGATTATGTACGACTACTAAAATTTGGTGATAGTTTGTATCGCTGCAAGCAGCTTAAGAAGGCTGCTCTCGGACGGTCAGTCGAGATTCAGCACTGTCCTAACGTCATCTCACGATCGAGCATAGCATGGCCACGGTCATGCGCCGCCAAAAAGATCCTCTTGCGTATCTGGAGCAAGTTCGGCAACACATATCTCGTTTACCAGCGATAGACCCCAACACCCGTACCCTCCTCATTTGCGGATATCCGAACGTCGGCAAGTCGTCGTTCATCAACAAAGTCACGCGTGCAGATGTGGACGTCCAACCCTACGCCTTCACCACAAAATCTCTGTTTGTCGGACATTTGGACTACAAATATTTAAGATGGCAAGTCATCGACACGCCCGGAATTCTCGATCACCCTCTGGAGGACATGAACACGATCGAGATGCAGAGTATAACAGCCCTTGCGCATCTGAAGAGTTGTGTATTGTATTTCATGGATCTAAGCGAGCAATGTGGTTATACCGTAGAAGCCCAGGTACGTTCCGTTTGATTTACCGTAAACAAGCTCACGCCGACATGGACACGATGATTAGTGTAAACTTTTCCATTCTATCAAACCTCTTTTTGGCGGGAAGCCGACATTGTTGGTCATCAATAAAATCGATGTTACTCGGCTGGAGGACTTGCATGCCGACAACAGGGCCCTGGTTCAAGAGATCATCGATGCGGAAGATGTACAATGCGTACAGGTATCGTGCTACTCGGAGGAAGGAGTAATGGACGTGAAGAACAAGGCCTGTGACGCTCTACTAGCCCATCGGGTTGACCACAAACTCAAGGGGACGAAGATCAACTCCATCATCAACCGTATACATGTGGCCCAACCGAAAGCGCGAGACGACGTGGTTCGCGCACCCTTTATCCCTGAAAGCATCAAGGAGCGGAAGAAATACGATAAGAATGATCCAGACAGGAAGAGGTTGTTGAGGGACATCGAGCTGGAGGAAGGTGGTGCCGGTGTGTTTAATATTAACATGAAAGGTATGTTCGTTATGATATGTCTATGTGTTCTCCACCTTACTGATCGATTAACAGAGGATTATCTCCTTGCGGACCCGTCCTGGAAAATGGATATCATGCCTGAAATTATGGATGGTAAGAACGTAGCGGACTTCATAGATCCCGATATTGCGGATAAATTGGAGGCTCTGGAGCGAGAGGAAGAGAAGCTGCAAGCTGAAGGGTTCTACGAGAGTGAAGAAGACTTGGTATGGTCCATATTGTTCCTCACTGATTATCTTCTGACGCCAATTTTCACCGGCGTAGTTTGATTCCGAAGACGAACGGGAGGCAACCGAAGCGCAGAAAGCACTGGCGCATAAAATACACTCGCAGAGCATCAAGAAGTCGAAGAAAAACCAATCTCGCATGCCTCGGACGGCTGGTCTACGGACGCTCAGCGAGCTCACTACGGAGCTGACAAAGGCTGGCTACAATCCAAGCAAAATCGAGGATCGGGCTGTAATGCTGGCTAAGGTGCAGGGCGCGAAGAGGAAGCGGGCAGATGGGGAAATGGATGTGGACATGGAGGACGGCGATGGCGAGGAGGGTGACTGGATGGACGTCGATGGCGAAGAACAGACGCCAAATAAACGCGTCAAGGATAATACCGGCGCTATTATTGCAAAGAACAGGAGAAATCCTCGCACAAATCGCCAACTCGCTGGTATGCGAGACGAAACAGTACGTCTCAACGGCTTCTTATTCTTCCAAAATTCTGTTAATGATTTGTTTTACAGCAAGCATCAAAGGCTATCAAATTGCGTAACCTTGGGCAAAGAGAGCGCAACATGCACGCCAAAGCCGGCGAGAGTGACAGAGCCATTAGAGTTAAAATGGTCAGTTTATCTTCAACTACTAAATTCACCCCTTTGACAAATCGTTTCAGCCCAAACATCTGTATGCTGGTAAACGGAAAGGTGGCAAAACCGACAGAAGATGATTATATCACTGATCATCGATTTTTTCTACATATTGTTTGCTTTCACGTCTTCTGGTGTATATCACATCTATATTCCACTATACAGTACATATACATCCCAGCCATCAAGACAGAGCATATATATGTTGCTGACCACGAAAAGTAAGTACAAAAAAGGTGCACAATCGTGCAGAGAAGTCAATAATAACGTCAAAATCGTCTCTCGTCATATGGTATCATGGATAAGGAACGCCCTACGACAGTTCCTTGGTTAGCCGTGAATCGTAATATATCTGGTGTGATAGGTGGGGGGTTTCGCAAAAATATTCCCAAGTAAGCTGAACTGGCGAAGGACTAATCCCAGTCAATAGAAATGCCGCCAGGTCCTGGACCGACGATACCGATACCACGACTGGCCTCTCGTTTCAGCCAGTTCCAAGCGCGCTTGTCGTCCTTCAGATATGGTTCTAATCTGTCACGGCATTTCTGATTATGATCCTACAAACACGCAACTATAGTCAAGGCGGTGATAACAAATCGATACGAAAGGCGCTTACTTTAAGCCACTGTTTCTCCTCCTTGGTGAGCATGTTGTCTTTCACCATTCTTGTCTGAATGGGAACACACGTCAAACGTTCAAAGCCTAGCCAGATGTCACCGTTGAATTCTCCTTTGGTCTAACACAAATGAATGAGCATTTAGTGTCTTCCGATCAACCTTGGAAATACGTACCTTGACACGCCTAACGGCGAGAGCGGATTCAATGCGCATTCCCCACTTCCCTTCAAGGTCTACAGAGTTTCCGACAATAAGCGGAAGTTAAAAGGTTTACAAAGAGATGTGACTTACAAAAGCCGGGTTCATTAGTAATAACGTGGCCTGGGACAAGAGGCACGCTGCTAGAGAACCCGTGAGGACCCTCATGGACGTTCAAGAACGAGCCGAAACCATGTCCTGTCCCATGCTGCGCATCGATTGTGAGTAAGGAAAAGTTGCGATAGTAAGCAGCCTTCGTAACGTACGAGGTAATTCAATCCATCCTTCCATAGTGCACGACGAGCCAATACATCTAGCTGAGCCCCAGTGGTTCCTTCGGGGAAAGTTGCACTATCTATAGCAATCTGGGGTGATTATTAGTCAAACGTCACTAAGCACTGATATAAAAGGTATGTTGACGTACATGCCCCTGTAAAACTCGTGTGTATGCTTCGCACTGGTCTTGTGATGGTCGTCCAAAATGAACTGTGCGTGTAGTGTCGCATGTCCCATCGCGGTATTGACCACCAGAATCGCTGATGGAAGTAGTTAATGAATTGAACGACATCCGTAGGATTGTGAGATGTGACTTACTTTAAATATGGGGTGTCACGATCGATCATCCGAGCAGTTGACTTCGAGGGTGAGTAATGGGGTAGAGCTTTTGGAGATGTGTCAACCGTTTGGAGGAGTCAATAGTAGATGGAAGCACCAACCCGCGTTAGGCCCACTAGCAGATATATTCTCATAGGCAAGTCCCCAATAGTGCTTGTTCTGTCTCCTGTATTCAGTCAGGCGCCAAGCAGCCTCATATTCGGTAATGTCATATCCTTGCTGGATTTTGTGCTCCAACCAGGCGAGCCATCGAACCTGAAGGAAACTTGGTTATTGTGAATGTATGACGTAGATAGCAATATACTCACGTAGGCAGCACCATCACGTATATAAGCTCGCCTCATGCCCTCGAGTTCGATTTCGTTCTTGACTGCTTTCATGCCATCAACCATAGATGGAGCAACAGTGTATCGAAAGTGCGTGAGCATCAACGAGATTGCGTAAGATGTTTCTGGGGAGATGAGTAGTTTGCCTTCGCCCCATTCTCTGCGACGGAGGAATGTCCATAAATCGTTGTATTCTTTCCTCTCGACCCCAAGAGCATTGAGATAGTCTTCAGTTTCATCCGTGACTTTAGAAGAATCGAGGAAGAGCACTACTTTCTTCATAGAAACAAAGAGGTACGAGCAAAAAAGAGGATTGAAAGGTATATCGGAGCCACGAAGGTTGAGCAAGTAGGCTACGAGTGGGCGTTAATTCATCCCATCCAACCATTTGTCGACGATAACACGTACCAATAGAAGACAAGGAGCTTATCAGTGTACCAACATGCATTTGCGCAGCGGTAGGCGGGTTCTTGGAATAAGATGGCACAGCGGCAGGCTGGGTCTGGATCCAATCACGTAGGGCAGTCACCTTTGCAGCAGCTTCACAGCCTACCCACGGAGATCATGATTTATGTACGGAATGAAATATAGGCATTCGAGCTTACCGGTGAATTCAAGAGATTGAATGAATACAGGGTCCTTGGATCGTAGGGGCTTATCTTTCCAGACGAGATCCATAAAATTCTGAGGTGGATAAGCCAGTTTCGAATTCTTGCGATTAAGCTGCGAGCTCAGCCGCGTTGCTGTCTCATGCGATATCATGCGGGCATCTATTCCGATCTTCGAGTCTTTTACGCGGTCCTGTTACAAAGAAAGTTTATAAAGTGACGGTGAATGATTATTGAGAAGAACATACAACGAGCCATTCAACCCAGTCCTTGGGACCATCAGGGGCTCCCGCAGGGATCAAATGCCAGTTGGAGTCGAGTTCTTCCCGAGCTTGTAGCCAGTATCGTGAATCGGTGACCAGATAGGCCTGAGTCTTTGATATGATTGCTTGCCCGGCACTGCCTGTAAACCTACAGCGACTGTCTGAACATCGTATAGCTTTTTTAACCCGGTCGACTTACCCAGAAATCCATTCCCTACGTTTATCACTAGCAGCTACATACTCAGATTGATGGGCGTCCTCACTAGGCACAACACTATGCACAAAGGATATATTAGGAAAAAGGTATAAGCTATGACAGGACTCACTAGTAATCAAGATCAGCTTTTAGCATCAGTTTTCTAACTTCCTCTAGCCTGGGGCTGGTGTTGACACGTTCTTTGATGGACTCGACATCGTTGATCTTACGGTCGAGGGCGGAACCGACCAACGTACTTGCAGAATCGTTGGCGTAAAAAGGAGGGCGTCTACTCGCACTAGACTTGGAAGAGTTACGAGAAAAGGACTGATAGAGTGGAGGCCGTGTTTCTGAATTCAATGACTCTGCTCTATCCATCATCTCGAGCTGCCTCTCTTTGGCTTTCCCCAGTCCCCAACCGTAGCCCCATTTCGATGACTTCTTCGACTCGCTGCGCTCTAAGCTTGGCGGAGTAATATTTTGTGGTGCAATCTTTGAACGACTTTGGTTGGGTAGGGAGGGTACATCGTATACTTCAGAGTCAGAGTCAAAGGTCAGTTTCTCTGCATCGGAAGCCAGTGTCTGTGTGGGAGAGTAAGATCCGGTGCGCACGAGCTTTGCAGAACGATGAGAGTGCGAAGATCGAGCATCAGAACGTGGAGAGTTAGCATCCGAGAGTTGAGAGTTAGTTCCGGAGCGTTGGGAACGGGATTGTGAGCGCTGAGAAGATGAGTCTGACTTTTCAGAGTATGAACGGTAGATGGGCTCTGCCTGCTTTCGCGACGACTTGGAGAAAGGAAAGCACAGCGGTGGAGGGGGTGGAGGGGGAGGAGGCGGCGGAGGGGGAGGCATGATCGTTAGAGATGGCGGAAGGCAAGAGCTAGCAGTCCTTCGCTGGCTGCCTTTGATGTCAAGTTTAGAGCCGACTCACACGAGGCAAAACGGTGACCTGGCCTGCTGTATATGCAACGAAAAGATTTCGCATCCGTGTCGCCTGACATGCCTAATTGCGGAAATCGTGAGAATCAATTATGTAAGCCCATAGCACTCCTGCGAGTTTCAAAACACCCGGGCACACCATCCTGAAGGTCATCGTTTTAGATAGCCGGTCGGCCCTCGGTCCTGACGGTCTATTAGAAGACGTGGAGAAACCTTTTACCAACTGATTGCATTCGGTTGGAAGGCTGACTGTGGACTTGCACATGCCACTAATGTACTGCGACGTGTCCTTTGGGCTGCCCTAGACACCAACAGGCCTAAAATTACACACAATGAAATCAGCTGCAAGTTCTAGCTAAGCGGTCGAACTACTTAACTCGTCTCGACATTCCGCAATCCGAAGGGAATCTTCATAACCCCACAAGTCCGTGTAATGCGGGTCAACATTTGGTCCATTAGGACTGGGGTAAGTTCCCTCGACTCTGGTGTTAAGTAGGATTTTGTGAATAAGTATCTGACAGTCCTGTCAATCTGCAGGGTTCATCAAACTAGCCGGACCGCGAAGCTACATATCCTATACCAACATGGCTGTTGAAGTACCACAATCAAAGGACCCACTCATGAGAAGATCCGATATGAAAGACACGCTGAAGGAAGAAGATTATTATTACGCTGGAAGATAAATAAAGCAGTGTTTACATTGGGTTTGTCGTGGAGTTCCATTTTATGCAGACCCAATATAGTGAACTGCGGCCAGCTTCGGAATGAAAAACCCTTGGCTGTTGTATAGGGAGCTCCGAGAGTAACCGATACTCACAGGTCATAAGATGAGAGTGAAATTGAAAGTAGTCTTAGGTGGAGGTGACGGCAGAGATATTACGAGGCCAGCCAGAATTATCAAAACGTCATGCGACTGGAAACCTATATACTGCCAGTGGATAGACATAATCGCCTTGCAATCTAGCATCATATATGCGCATATTCTGCTCGAGGGGGCCGAATTTCATGACAGGTCGAGATGTATCCGCGTTGTTAGTGAGGCTTCTTGATTAAGTGACATAGAAAAGTTTTTGACAATGCGTAAGTTATTCTGAAATGCCAACGCTGTACAGATGGAGTACATTTACCTGTTAAGAACGATTCCAAGGAAACAACGAGGCATCGTACTATTCCCATGGGTGTTCATACTGTTATACGCCACCTATATATGGGCTGTCCTTGGAATCCAAGGATATGAACTGCAGAGAACATATCTACCCTCCACCTTGACCTTGGCACCACCATGTACAGCCCACATCACCCCCGATACGGCTGAAATAACAGTCTACTCAGTGGGTACAAGCTGACAATATGCCCGTACTGCATGGGTTACGGGGTTATTGTCTGTTCAAGTCGAACTGCATTTGAGTTATCAGATTGGGCTTTGAATATAGATAGAACAATAACAAGGGAAAGCTCAACAGTTGTGACTCACGAGTGCCAGTGTAAGCATACAGATGTTTAAAGGAATATCATGATGAGGGCAGACGGAACAAGCGTGGTCGGCTCAGCAGCTATGTTGCAGTCTGTTTCACCGACATTCAAGGTCATGAATGACGGCCGATTGAGGACAACATAACCCCTAACCTAGGCGCACAATGCTCCCGAGCCTGTACCTGAATGGTATCGTTTCTTGTGGTGCGGCCAGAAGTTGAACATCTATGCTTTCCGAGTCCTCGAGACGATACGAGAACGTTTGATACCCCAGATGGGGCCCCAGTTACACAAGAACATTCGTTTTTGGATCACGAAGTGGGGTAATATGGGGAACTTGCTTCTCTACCTTGAAAAAACCGCATGTGAAGTGTGGTAGGGCATTCCCAGTTATTCCTGGACCAAAGTAACGCAGGAAAGGCATCAAGGCAATCAGCGCTGGTCGATGTGAGTGGAAAGTAATGGCCTGTTTCAGTGTTCACCGAGCCTTGCTTATCGTAATCTCTCCGAGGAGTCCAATCCCGACTGGCCATAATTCAGTTCTAAGATGGCCTCTGAACTCAAGAGGAGAAAATCCGGAGAAAATACACGCCCTGCGAACTTTCCATTCTTACGCCACCAACCAGCGGTCACTATACTAAGCCACTTAAGCGACTTAGTACTAAGTTCGAAAAAAATAGCCTCTTCGTCCGAGTCAAATGATCAACCTTCTTCTCCAACAACTTGGATTTCACACAGATAAACACTCGCCTGCGTGTTACAGATAATCTTGCGAGTAGCTTGAATACCGTCACCATGCAGCGCAACCTCGCATTCATGATGGCGGCCATTCCGTGCATTGTGGATACGTTCGGTAAGATAGCCTGGGTAATTTCGGTGCAGTAAAGATGGTTCTTCTTCTTCTTAGCACTGGCTGAATAGTTCCGGAATGGTTCGGTATATCTTCGTTGCAACTGGGCTGGATCTATTCGGCCCGTCTGTTGCCTCTCCGAGAAGAAAAAATCATCCTGGTTTCTCATGTTTCAACTAATTCTTGTCCTGGTACCGCTATCCTTTCTTTTCGTACCTTATTCTCATCAGAATGGGTAAACCTCTCTGCAGAATTGCGCTCCACGATATCCCGAAAAGATTCGGGTTCAGTGTCGGGTCTTAAAGCAGTCCTTCACTATTTATCATTCTCTATTCGACGCCCTCATCCACCTTTCAACGAAAACATGGGTGCTGGACCCGCTGTAGTTTCGAGTGGCACTACTGCCTATACTCATCTTCTCGACCCGAAACCATGGTTCAAGAATACGCGTATGTGATCTCAACACTTTGCCATACGCCATTTTTTTACGGGCCCTCCCATCTTTCAGGTGTTCTCATATTGAACTTTTGGATCGTGCTAATGCAAGTAGTCTTGACGAAAACAAACAAATTCATTTAATGTTGCAATGTTGCAGGTTGATAACGTCTACGACTAACGGTTATGATGGTGAGTCATGACGAGTAACCGTCAGGTTGTAACTTAACTTTGAATAGGTAGTATGATGAGTGCGTAAGATCCCAGGTGTGCTTTACTACCGTCTGATCCTGTGACAGATGGTTTGCAGTCATTAACACAATGGAATGTTGCATTTGGCTATCCTAACGGAAGCAAAGTACGTGATAAACTCGTCGTAGTCTTCCCTCAGCTAATAATCCTTAACAGTTGGGATTACTGAACGCAATACAAGTAGGCAATTTGATAATTCTACCACAGTTTTGGTTAAATTTTTGCCTTGGTCTAGAACATCGGTTCTCTGTGTGGTTATCCATTTGCACCATACATGGCTGATGTCATGGGGCGAAGATACTCAATAATATTTGGCGCGAGCTTGATGATTGCTGCCACTGTCATTCAAACTGCCAGCCAGTCAGTGCAGATGTTTATTGGCGCACGGTAATAACCTTGTCAGGTTATACGCCATTATTACTTACATATTGTCAGTTGGCTGATTGGATTTGGGTTGACGTTTGCTGCAACTGCTGCTCCTTTGCTTGTGACTGAGGTTGCGTATCCCTCCCACCGTGGTCAGGCGACATCCATGTACAATACGCTTTGGTAAGTCAACTGTGGTTGCTTTTAATGAAATTCATCGACTGATATCAAGTTCAAACTTAGGTATCTTGGTAGTATCGTGTAAGTCCCAGAAAAACTTCCACCTGTCTTTACTTCTAAACCAGTGGCCGATAAAACAGCGCGGCTTGGACTGTGAGTGTTTACAAAGCATTTCAAAGGTTTCACTGATATCCTTGATATAGACATATGGAACTTTCACCGTTCCTAACAGTTGGGCTTGGAGAATCCCATCTGCACTCCAAGGTTTGCCCTCGGTCATCCAGGTCTGCTTGATCTGGTTCGTTCCCGAATCTCCTCGTTGGCTCGTTAGCAAGGGAAAGTGAGTTTTCACGCGAAATAGCGGCTGATATAATCACTGAACTTGTTCGGGAAAGGGAGGACAAGGCACTCCAGACTTTGGCATATTATCACGCCAATGGCAATGAGTGAGTCTGATCGTAGATCGTCCACATTGTAAGGAGCTGACTCTCCATTCAGGAAAGACCCTTTGGTCGAGTATGAATTTGAAGAGATTAAAGCAGCTATTCGTTTCGATCGTGAAGTCGCTGCTAATGTTGGTTGGATGAGTTTGATCAAGAACCCTGGAAACAGGAAACGTATGCGTATCATCATCGCTTTGGCTGTTTTCTCGCAGTGGTCTGGCAATGGCTTGGTGTGAGTACTGTGGCTGTCTGAAACTCTTATTCTTTACTGATAATATCGATCATGTAGGTCTTACTGTATGCTTGGTTCATGTTTTAAATTTTACGTGTACTCATTAAGCTTTCTCCCGCTCCCCTAGACCTCAACAAGGTGTTCACGGATATTGGAAGTGAGTCAGGTTGTGAAATCTACCCTTGGAAGTCGGACTGATAATCCTTCTGTCTAGTCACTGATCCTACCACTCAATTGTTAATTGTAAGCATTTAAAAAATCGGTGTACTAATTCCGAATATAACGCGTAACATAGAACGGTCTTTTGAACATCTTCAACTTCATCGTCGCCATTGGAGCAGGTTTTTGCTGTGACAGAGCTGGAAGACGACCGCTGTTCTTGGCATCATGCATTGGTAAGTGACATCACCCCTTTTCCCCAGGGTATCTGCTAAGCCGTATATAAGGTATGATCGTGTTTTGGACTTGCCAAACCATCTGCTTCTCTATCGACCAGCAGACTGGCAGTTTAGTTGCGGGTCATGCGGTCATTGTATTCATTTGTAAGCCATAAGAACAATACTTCACTGGACTCACATTAATCATCATGTATGCAGTCCTGTTTTATGGGTTTTGTAAGTTTACTACCGTTCTCAGTTTCATCTTTGACTGACAAGTAACTTTGACAGACGATGTTCGTAGGGTATTCGTTCATTCAAGCAAATTGTATTAATTTGATTATGTTCTAGCTTGCCTTCACTCCCCTGATTGTATCGTACGTATCTGAATCTCTTGAAGGAGAGACATTGGCTGACGAGACACTGCATAGTTACACGGTTGAAATTCTGCCCTTCGCCTTACGTGCGAAAGGATTCATTGTGTTCAACTTCATCTTGTCGTTGTCACTTATTTTCAACCAGTCAGTCACTGTTTTACTGTGTTAAAGGGTATTTCTCTTATGGTTTTTGCCCCAGATACGTGAACCCTATCGCTCTTGAGGCGTGAGTACCTTTGTATCATTATTAGAGCTACGCTAAATGACATGAATTACTTAGCTTGCAATGGAAATACTATGTAAGTTTGGCATGACATGGGGTATTTTCCTCGGCACTAAACGTCTTTAGCTGGTTTACCTTTTCTGGCAATGTTTCGAGCTCGTCTTTGTCTACATCTACATTGTGGAGACCAAGAATGTAAGCTTCCGAAGCACTTCACAGCTGAAAGAAACATACTAATGCGACAACAGCGAACTTTGGAAGAAACGGCCGCGTGAGTATATTTCATTTACTTATGCTTTTCCTCCTCATGGTTTCCTCTTACGTTCTACAGTCTTTTCGATGGCGACGATGGCTTAGCCCAGATTTCCGAGAGAGCTGCAGTGAATGCCGGCATCGCCCATCACGCGGATGAACGTATGGAGGAGAAGGAAAGCAAATCGGAGTCCATCGAAGTTGTTTCCAACTGATTGACCCACCTGATATGGCTGTGGACTAAGAGATATATGGACATATTTTAGTTGCGTTCTATTCCTCTAAGTGTATATGAATGAATTATCGATGAACAAGTATTAGAGGGAAAATATAATGCTCAGAGTGTGTGGCACCTGCAAAGTTCAAACGATGTGATTTTCTAGATATTCGTTGGGAATTTTGAATACCTTTTATTCTGACAAATTACTTAGAACCAGCAGTGGCGATGAATGCGTAAGTTGCCGAATACTTCATGGCGTTTTTATTTATTTACATAATCTAGTTTTTGTTATTTTTTGTTCTCCGTCTTTTCCGTTCTCCGTCTTTTCGTCAATCAGTAAGCACTGACCATGATCATCGCGGTGATACGAAGTTGGTACCAGTATGGATGTTCGGTACTAGTAGCGTTCATGCACTGGCACAGGCCCGATCATTTCACTATAAAAATCTACTACCTTTTCGACACCGGCTCACCTATCCGGACAATGATCTCCTCGGTCTACACCTTCTGCTATGCTAAGAAGTTTGTCAAAACCCCAACATGAATGGATCACATGTTTAGTCGCGGTTCAGGGGAAGACTATCTTTATCGTCCACAATATGTACCGACACCTGTGCAGGTCATCTGTTACTGACGTTCGTACCTTGGGTGCTCGGTGTGCCATAGATCGCTTTCTGGAGACCCGCTCTCCCCGCTGCTGCCTGTCTCTTCAGCCAAGAGCGTCCTAAGGTGGAAGGCGAATAGGATGTTTATGCTTATTTTGAAGACGCCTTCAGTTAGCCTGCATCCTTTAGGCTATTTATTCTATCATGTATCATCTTGCTCAACTTTTGGATCTTCATGCTGTGCGGTTTTGATAGATCTAGAATAACAGCGCCGACTGCTTTCTCACATTTATCTTTTAGGTTGATAACTTTAACTTCCTCTACGAATGGATACTAGTATGATGGTCAGTGTTTCATTTCCTGTGACTTGGTTGTTGACCTGGCAATCAAAGGAAGCATGATGAGTAATTCAACAGGTCAAATGATAGTCTGGTCGCGATTGGCAGACGGATTACAATATTTGGCTCGATGAAAGTCGCATTTAATCACCCGACGGGCGGAAAAGTGAGTCAAGATAACCGACCTCAACCTCAACCTCGACCTCATATATCTCTTGAAAGTTGGGGTTACTTAACGCTATACAAGTAAGGTTCTATTGACACATTGTGTTAATCAATCACATGCATGAGTAAGTAGCACGTCCTTCAGCAAGTCGTGGGTGATTAAAACCTGATAAATCAAGACCCACAAGTCGATTATCAATTTTTGGGAATTAAGGCTGCTTTCGATCGCGAAGTCACAGATAATGTTGGTTGGACAGGCCTCTTCAGAATTCCTGGAGTTAGAAACGTATGTGGATCATTATCGGTTTTTAGCTTCACTGTATCGATAGAAATTACTCAATTTTAATCAGTGAGTAAGAGGAAACGCAGACAGGAGTGCCTGCTCAACTAACGTAATCAGGTATTTCAACCCAATTGCTCTCACAGTGTGAGTACCCAGTACAAATTGTTCATTAACAAATCTCGTTAGTACTCGATACGGTTTTGGATGGAAGTACGTGAGTCAGGAAATTTCATCAGTTAAGGCAACAAATCTGGAGACAAAAATGTGAGACCTGTTTTAATCTTACAAATGTTGTCTCAGCGTAATCATTATCAGCGTATATGTGAAACAACAGTGAGCCCACATCCTGCATGGGTAGTCTATCATATAGGATATTTGATGGCGACGACTGTTGCCCAGATTACTGAGAAGGCCGTGGTGAACGCGGGTATGGGTACGGCGATTCAAGCCGACGAAGAGAAGGAACTCGAAAGGAACTCCAAAGAATGAGAGCATTCCCAGAGTTTCCGCTTGAGACTTTTGATACTAAAAATCAATTTCTTTCATTGCGTATGCTCATATAGCATTTTACAGTTTCGCCGTGTACTAAATGTATCGATGCTATGGATGACTCGTCCCGATCAGAAGTACACTCCTTCTGCTGAAATGTAGATCCAGGAAGATGGCTGCCGGGGGTGAAGTATCATATATGGGTTGCGATGAAAAATTGTCAACACTGGATTGGCTTGACTCGGATGGCGGTTTTTTCTCTTCAAGTTACACCGGCGTCGGTTGCATGCGATGCTAAGGGCACAGGTTGATCGATGGCGATATCTTTATATCCCCGGGACATGTCATTAGACATTCCATTTTATGTTAGATATAATACCCTCTTTACAGATATTCAGCCTACATTTACCTGCAAAAGCCAACACAGTCCACTGCGCTGGTCCATTCTTTCCTACATGTCCTGATTAGGTAATACCGCCAGCGCTCCTCGTCTCCGCGACGATAGCATATCAGCCACATTTTTCACTTGAACTCCGTTGAAATGGGTCATGCTTGTCTTTCTACGCTCCTGAAATGTCAGCGCTTCTTCATTTGAGGCTATCACGTCCTCCTCGATTTATTCTTTTTCTTATCTAGGAGAAATGAGAAAGGGCGATATTCTTATATCCAATGGTCACCTGTTATTTTCGGGAACACTCTTGTTTTTGTCGGCGTATCTGACCCTCGTGACCTGACGATATATACACCACCGTCTACGAACCCGAGGCATCAGTTTAGATATGGTCCAATATGACCTGATACTTCTTTGCTCGTGACTATCATTTGGCCAGACTGGTATGGATACGGATTCCCGGTCAGGAAGACTGCTCACTGCTCGCTTTCCATAGGCACAACTAATCACCGTCTCCAAACTTACGAAATGGAACCTTTCACACAACTTAGCGGTAAAACTCTTTTCAGGCAGCTCCTCATGGGGTAGCCAATTTCGCCGACGACAGTGGTAGTTCATGGCACTATAAACAAGGCCCCATTGCATCGAAGACACCTTTGGCTGCACCCTCCCCATTTTTTCTCGAAAATGGGTACTGGAAACTCTCCGACATCATCATCTCCTTCAGCTCCCGCTTTCTCGCATCTCATTGACAAGTCGAGACCATGGTGGAAAAACAAGAGTGAGTAACAGAAGACCCAAAGCTCGTTCATAACCCGCTGACTTCTCCATCACATCAGGAATTGTCCTCCTGAACTTTTGGATCGTTGTTCTGTAAATTCGTTCTACCGCATATTAAACCCTTTGCTTATCGACTTGAAGGCTAATCACATCCTCGACCAATGGCTTTGACGGTCAGTAAATGCCTATCTTGGCCACGATTCGTTCTATTGATAGTTTGAATTTGACAAGGGAGCATGATGAGTGCATACATGCGTTTTTCATTAAACGTTAAGGACATTTTTAAAAGTCGACAGATGGCTTACAGTCTCTGACCCAATGGGAGACCGCTTTCGACCATCCTTCAGGGGGAAAGGTGTGTATCTATGATGTTCAGACCGAATCTCTCTTTGAATTCTCTGGTTGATTATAGTTGGGCTTACTCAACGCAATCCAAGTAAGGTCCAGCTTACCAGATAAATGGGGGGGTTTATAATACTTTACAGAATATTGGATCACTATCTGCCTACCCTTTTTCTCCATACATGACTGATGGTCTTGGAAGACGGTTCGCAGTGCTTTTTGGTGCATGCATCATGATTGCCGCAACAGTCGTTCAGACCGCCAGTCAGTCAGTTGGGATGTTCATTGCCGCCCGGTAAAGCGTGTTTTGTACCGAGTTCAAGTTATAACGCTAGATTGACGCCTGCTTTCGTCAAAGATTCATGATTGGTTTCGGTTTGACCTTTGCCGCCAGCTCTGCTCCTCTCCTTATCACCGAAATAGCATATCCGTCGCAGCGTGGACAACTCACGTCTGTCTACAACTGTCTCTGGTATGTCGTGAATTTAACCTGGGAAACATATCCTAATAGTATGGATCAGGCTCTTTGGGAGTATCATGTAAGCTTCGTCAACTTAATCCCAAAGCTGATCATTATTTATTGCTTTTGTTGATAACCGCTGCGCAGCGCCGCTTGGACGGTGAGCGTTGTTCTATATCACAATTGTATATATTCCATAGCAGTGTTTCGCCTCTAGACATACGGGACATTCAACATTCCATCAAGTTGGGCTTGGAGAATTCCATCTGCCATACAGGGGTTTCCATCTGTCATTCAAATCTGTTTAATATGGTTTGTCCCCGAATCTCCTCGTTGGCTAATTAGTAAGGGAAGGTATGTAGTACTCTGAATTATAGACTGTCCACTAAATATAGATTGACGAACTCTTCGATTAAAGAGAGGCCCAGGCTCTGAAAACTCTAGCATACTACCATGCGAATGGCAACGAGTGAGGAACATCACATAACAATCGATATTATGGTGATCTCACACTCTATTCTAGGCAAGATCCACTCGTCGAGTATGAATTCGAGGAGATCAAAGCTGCCATCAAATTCGATCGAGAAGTAGCCTCGAATGTCGGTTGGATGAGCTTGATCAAGACACCGGGAAACAGAAAACGCATGAGAATCATCACTGCGCTCGCCTTCTTTTCACAGTGGTCGGGCAATGGTTTGATGTACGTTATTAAACGGATCAGACTTTCCAACATTAATGATGATAATTTCCTGTAGATCGTATTGTACGATCCGTATTTTTTTCTTGTTCAATATCCTGATGTTGGTGTCCATGGTCTCTTTTAGACATCAACAAAGTGCTGGACGCAATTGGAGGTATGTTCTTTCACCCCTGAAAGGAAAATGTTATCTTGAGATTACTTCAGTTACCGACCCGAACACTCAGTTGTTGATTGCAAGTCTCATTGCTTACCTGTTTCTGGGCTTGTGCTCACAGTGTGCTCCTATAGAATGGATGCCTTAGTATATGGAGCTTCATTTGCGGCATGACGGGAGGTTTATTGTGTGACAAAGCTGGTAGACGGCTGCTCTTCCTGACTTCAAGTCTGGGTAAGCTCTTATCTATCATGGTTACCACAGAGTATAAATGGATGACTATTTCGAAATCATCAAGGTATGCTCCTCTTCTGGACACTACAAACAATATGCTTCGCTGTCGACAACGAAGATGGTGATCTCAATGCAGGCTATGGGTATATAGCCATGATTTGTGAGATGATCACAATAACACGGGGTACACAAACTAACGTGTCGGCTTCCAGTTTTGTTTACTACCTTCTGTGAGTAAAAGTATCTTTTGATAGATCACAGCCTGTGCTGAACCTATACTCTTCGCAGACACTGTTCGTGGTGCCAATACCGGCGAGATTGTAGTACTGATGTGTTCTTTATCCAGATGGCGTTCAGTCCTCTGATCGTCTCGTGAGTATGTTAATCAATGCTACGCAACTGAAGAGCTAACGGCGTGTCCTGCAGCTATACCGTTGAGATTCTCCCATATAACTTACGTGCTAAGGGTTTCGTGTGGTTCAACTTTACGGTATCGTTATCTGTTATTTTCAATCAGTACGATCAGCTTCTCTTTCTTTGCGGACTAGCTGATGATGCAACGTCAGATATGTAAACCCTATTGCCCTTTCCGCGTGAGTTCATCCTTTTATATCCGAAATTGTCGCTGTCTCATTCAAAATTCTGCAATCGACAGGCTCGGATGGAAATACTACGTGAGTATGAGCCGCCTCTAGCTGTCCGCAAAAGGCTCATAACAATTGCTAGCTTGTTTACGTTTTCTGGATTGCTTTTGAAGTTGTCTTCCTATGGTTCTTCGTCGTCGAAACGCGAAATGTGAGTTTATAAGGTTGATCCAGTTCTCCATGAGCTCACCCGTTCTTGACAGAGAACTTTAGAGGAAACAGCCGCGTGAGTTCGGATTGTTTTGTATACTCACCTAGCTATAAGTGTCGCAAAAATCTCATGCTACAGACTATTCGATGGCGACGAGACCGTGGCGCAAATCGCTGAAAAGGCTGCTGTGAGCGCAGGCCTTCCTGTGGATCAAGCCAACGACGACAACGAGAAGAAGTCGCGTAGTGAGGAGAGGATTGAGGACATGAAGTATTGATTGACCTATTCGAGAACATCACACCTTCAGACAACTCTCGATGTAAAGAATGTCATTAAAAGAAGTGGAGGGCTTGTGACCGCAGTCCGATAATTAGCGATAGTTATGAACATTTCGGATGATTTTGCTTATGTGTTGTGTACTTCTATCATGCACTCTTTTCATGGTGACCTTGTCATCCTTATACGAATTGACTGACGATGGTCCACATCAACGTTTGATCCGACTTGAACGCTCAGCGCTTGAAGTCACTGAATCGGCATGTTCAGTGTCGTCGGCAGACACGTCTGCTACCGTGACATTTCTCTGGCATCTAAATTGTGAGAAAACAACACACAACATCACTCTACAATCTGCTCGATGTCCTGGTACGGGCACAGCATCCTGGCACAGACGAGAATCCACGAAAGCGACGTAACCGCGAGAATGTCCAGAGAAGTTGATGAGGTCCACGAAAATAGCTGAGTATGTGTAAACATAAACCCGACACTACATTATCCCATAAGTAAAGGTGCTCCAGACGGACGTCTCGTCTACCTCGATGGTTTCTATGAATACGTACTCGGTATCAACAAACATGCCAGAGTGGTCGGACTGTTCATTCCAACTGTGGGTTTTTCGGGTCTCCTGCCAGTGATTGGAACGACTGCGCGGGCACCACACTCTAGTTAGTGATCCCCTTCAAGTTTATCCTACCGTAACGCTCGCAATTGCATTCTATACAGGTACATTTGCTGCCACGCGTTATTGCTGCCCTGGACCGAAACTTCGAGGGATCTAGATAGGGCAGTGTCGTACATCCGGGGTTATCTCCGTCTTCTATGGGTTCACGGGCATATATGTACCTGGAAATTCCATATGCTGGGGCCTCTTAGGCATATGAAAGCTTCGGTCCTTTCTCGAGAGCTCGAAGAGCGTGAATATGGTGGTTTTCAGATGCTTTCTTGCGGACCGGGTTCGATGAGTTGGGCTATCTGAATATCTGCTTATATACTTCCGGCATATTGAAAGAGAGCCGTCACTGCCTTGACCGGTGGAGGGAAGGAAATGAATTTTTATCCATGTGATCCTTGGACCCTATGCTCTTTATCCGCGTCCATACAAGTGAGTGCACAGGGAAACGTTATCTTTTGAACACAGCCCAGGAAACGGTTCTATTATTGATTATTTGTTGAACTTTTCGACTGTGGTGCGTTGACTGTGAGCGCAATGCCACAAAGATATGTGTTTCCAGAGCCCGTTTGTTGTTCCGGTGTATGTAGGCAACGGTAGTTACTTTCGATAATGGTCTGATCCACTTACTGGCATCGGTAACGGGATAGTAATTGTCCGGGCAACAGTGTCAACTGTGCCAGAAATAAAAATGATGATATTACTGAATCTATATTATAACATTATAAGCGCTAGAGTACCTGACCTTCTACCGCTCAGCTGTTGTCAGCGTTTTCTGCCTTCGTTCTGTATTTTCTTGATCTCTGTCCCACATATGTGATGGTCGTCCTGTCGTCAACGGTGAGGCGCCATACTTGGCCTGAGCTACAAGTGCGTCCCATTTCATTCATTTTGCACCCAGACAAACAGATACTAATGATGTACCGCTGTATAGACCTCCGTGGTGCGTGAACTGAGCGTATCATCAGTTTTTCCTCACGTATATAGCGTTTTTCAGCAGGATCGTCGTGATTCCAGTGGTTCAAACAGCACATGTGAAGAGCCCAATTGTCCGTGGAGTCCTATCCAAACGGCCACTCCCATTATTGTGGGCGTAGGCTGTCTCCTCCTTTTTTTCCTCTTTTGCATCTGGAGGCACAGTCGCAAACACCCACACGACTTCCAAGCCTCTCTATCGCAGAGTTGGTTGGCAAAGAAAATCAGGAAACTTTTCTTTTACAAACGCATCCGCCGTGTCAGGGTTCGTCCAGATAGCCAACCTGGGACGATCGACACTTTTGGTGATGGCTCCCGCTCTGAATCAACCACACCACTCGATGAGCGCCGTATGCATCACGACAGCTTCCCATCCCCTAAGACCGACAACGATGCTCGTCGCTCCTGGTGGAACTTCATTTGGAAGAAGCCAACGAGAGTGGTGTCGGGAGTACCTGGAAATGGCTTTTACATCGAATCAGACATGGGCAGCCAAGCATCCCACGGGTATGCTTCCACTGAGGGTCATGGGTCAAGCCAGGAAACATCGAGCTGGACGATGATTAGCAGTAATCACAATTATGATCAAGATAAGGATGCAGGGACGGAGGATGATCCGAGGGTGCTGTTGATAGGACAGGACTTTTCGACTGTCGAGTCGAGTCCTGTGAGTGAAAGACAAGATGGTGATGTAAGGGCCGTAGACACACCTGCTTCACGCTCGACTACACCCACACCCGCCCATCTTGGCTTGCGTACACAGAATACTACACCAGTGAGTGTTTCCGTTTCTTTATATATCACCGCTCACCTGCTTTCTCATCGTTTACAGAAGCCTGTTACTCCTCCCACGCCGCCCAGCTCTCCGCCAATGTACAGTCATAGTATGCTTCGCCCAGCATTCCACAGCGGCAATGCATCTTCAGAGACCATTATTCACCCTTCACGATCGGATCCCACGATGCTATTCCCAGCTGCCGTGCGTGCTGCAGGCTATCCCAATCAGCAGGTGTATCAGCAGCACCACCGACAGCCGTCGACGGATAGCATGCTTGCTATGTCGTCCCCAATGACACCCTCCAGCGGTATTTACTAGTTGTAACACATTACGCGTTTCTTTCCACACAACATTCAAACACCCTGGTGGGCTCTGGGGCGACTATCACGGAACGGTTCGGCTAGTACATATTGTGCAGTCAATCCCGCCAAGAAGCAGCTCACCCAACCCTTTAGACACAGCACGCCATCCTCTCTTTTTGTTCAAGTTCCATCCTTTTCTCCTCGGTCGGAGGACTGTCTATCTACTCTCGACCTCGCGACTTTATTCTAATTGTCTTGATAGTCGATTTGTGCCACCACAGAAGATCTAACAAATATGTCCCGAAGATGAATGTTTCATAAGCGGCGTTTCTCTTCGCTCTGGTTGTTTCAAGTTAGTGTACTGGATGTCCTTCGCAGTGTATGACGACAGCTCCTCCACCACGTCCTACTTCTTTGTTATTTCACCCGATTTCGCTCATATCGTTCTCTTTTCTTTATTTTTATCATTTTGGAATATGCTGCACATACGTTAACATACTTCGTGTTGTTTTTCTCCCCTACTGTACGTTATAGCACTGCGCAAATGGACGCTGCACCCTGCGACTAGGCACGAAAGAAATCTGACGGCCGGTGGGAATACAAGGTTCGAGAGAACAAACTTTTATTACATTCAGCGAAATATGGAACATCGAGAAGGAAGTCCTGCTACTATATCTGAAGAATATAACGGAGATGGCCTGGAAGATCGGACGGCTCCCGTTAGTTAAGAGATGCTTGTCATGTGCTTTTCTGATGCCTACTCAGACGCAGCCTCTACGTTTGCGAACAGAACAGTAAAGCTCGGAGAAGACGGTCAGGGGCACTGGCGCTCCGAGGAGTATGCAGCATCAACACTGGAGTCAAGAAGAGACATGCAAGACATTTTAGAACATTCTCAAATATTATCAAAGAGTCAGCTGCAGTATCTGGACGTTTTGGGACGAGGACTAACTCACTTCAGTTTAGATTACTTCCCGAGGCAGTCCAGTGACCTTATGCTACTTCCTAACTGGATAATTCGGAGATACTGTGACCTAAAAATGTCTGCCGCGTGAGTTGCAATGTTTATGCTAGCTTCGACGATTCTAGCAAATTAAAGTAACACTGTAGATAATTGGGCTAAGTTCAAGTCCTGTGATTTCATATTGTCGTGCTCTGCTCACCTCGGTTCCGTAACATACGCGGGAGTCATCATGACCGATATCATTATCCTCGCGTTGTTCAGATAGAGACAAGTATAGGACCTTGCAAATCTGCCATACCACGAGAACCTGTACGCTTTTTTCTCACCCAGTCACTTGGACATGATGGCAGAGTAATCCATCACGATCATTACCTGTCAGCCTGGCGCCGCGGTCACGGTATCTTCCTAGTTGACTAACATCGCCACAAACTTCGTTGTTTGGCTGAACGAACGCGGGGGCGGTTGAAAAAGCTACGTGCTTGATGCGGAGAAGCTATCCGTATGCAAAACATGGACAACGGCTTTAAACTTGAAACTCGAACCATTTGCAAAGATATCACCGCCTGCATTGTGTGGAAAAGAACAACGTGACAACGCCAGAATGGCAATAGCAGATACGCCCTAAGCATCTAGTCGTGATCGTGGTATCGGCAGCCACATGTGACAGTCAGTTGCCAATCCATCTGTGATGAAGAATCGAAACCTTGTTTCGATACGGGAAGTCATAGCTCAGGCGATGCACCACGATCACATCCAAGACACACTGTTCATATAACAATAAGACGATGAGGGCGTCGATGGTCAACGTCCGGGGTACTAGAGGATGACCGTGTTAGCTCTAACTAAAGTAAAGACATCTTTAAAAAGCGGTATCCTCACCGAGGGATAGGACGTGGAGTTCGGTGGTGACGAGATCAGTTATAAATCTCTCGGTCTTCGGAGTAGGTAACTGTCTGCTACACCGACAGCCTTCCTCCAGACGAAACAGCTATCTAGGATGGGGAAATGAGAGTATGATCCTGGTGCCGGACATCATACTGCTGATCAATAAGAGCTTTCTAAGGATCGAAATATGCCATGGTCGTCGATATAAAGATATATTCAGATGATAATTGAAGTAGCTCTGCGCAGATTACTTGCAGCACCGAACCACCGTTGTGATTGCGCAGGTTGCTTCTATGTGATTGTGATGAAGATTGCTGTACTCTGGAAAATGCAAGATGAAGCTCTTGTAGGTATGTATCGAGACTTCATGCAACTTGAAACAGCCCAGTGGATCGTGACAAATGCCTGTCCAAGCGGACTTCCAATATTTTATATCTGTGTCCGTTGTTCCAGTCTGATACTGGCAATATACTAGTATATGTCCTTACAGTAACTGTTGCTCAAGTCCTTCTGGTTAAATCATAATAATCTCTTAACTCGCTGATTGTTTTACGTTCTCAGCTAGCAACCTTAATGTCCTAGCTTGAATATAATGAGACCACCGCGAACCATGATTTGAGTGCTAGGAATTCAAAGTACTAGTAAGATCTCCTTTCAAGTTTAGCGGGACGTCAATCTAACCAGCGTCGTCTCCTGAAACGAGGGTCAGCATACAAAATTAGAAGAAAGAAGTCCGAGTTTTTGTATGCACTGTGGTGTCTTCCAGCTGTCTGCTAGAAAGTCCGTTGCCTGAAGTTTTTGTACGTTCATTCTCGTGGTATTTCATATTCAGTTCCTTACTTACACTAATGTCTCCTCCATTCGCTAGCGATCCTCCGCAATAACAATCTGAATACTTAGGCTGGAAGATGCTGAGATGTTTAAATACAATCAATCAGGTTTACTTCACGTATCCCGAGTCACCATATACTCAATTACTCTTCTCTCGGAGTGCTCGGAAGGTATTCCCCTGTGTACTCGCAACTCTCTAGATATTGGGAGTATAACCCCCTTATTTTACACTATAAAACCTCCACTACCTTACTTGGTCGTCCTAGTCCTCAACATTCATTCTCCCCTTTATTCTAGTGACTATTTTCTATGCCTCCCGTCCACCCAACAGTAGATCGTGGTTATGCCGACTCGCACTCTGCGCATGAGATTATCTGTGCATCACTGTTAGGCCCCAAGGCTGAGAACCATCAGCATCTCAGGAATTGTCTCACAGACATTATAGATTCTGTCGTAGCCACTCGTCAGAAATTTTCTGGAAATGATTCTGTATGCGTCTCTCCTTACCACCTTCACACCGTTTCTCATATTCCGTAACAGACATTCATCGATGGAGACATCATGAAGTCGTAAGCTTGTATCTCCCAGATGACCTGTCTCCAGAAGAGGCTCAAATATCTATCTGATCACTTGTCCGCTCACTCAATCCCTTGGTTCTCTCCTCGCTATAACGGCCACACGAACTCGGATACTACTCTTGCTGCCACTCTCGGCTATATTCTTACGATGCTGTGGAACCAAAATAATGCATCCCCAGAGGGAGGTCCCATGAGTTCCATAATTGAGTACATAGTTGGACAGCAGTTTTGCAAATTAGTTGGATATGGCTATGACGCTGACGCTCTCAGCAACAAGGCTGTTGGCGAAGATACAGATATCCCCGATAACAATGATCACTCAGTGACTGGATGGGGTCATATCACTTGTGATGGTACAGTCGCCAACCTGGAGTCCTTATGGTAAGTCATCGATATTCTGTAACCGCTGAAATAGACTCGGTGCTGATGCTGTATTCACAGGTTTGGCAAGTAATTCACTGATTTCTCAGAAGCGACATGCTGATGGTGCTTGTGCAGCTCGTAACCTCAAATTTTACCCTCTTTCCTTTTACTTGGCCATTACAGAAGGAAATCTGCAGACTATAGCCTCAGAGTTCACTGTGAGGCTCTGTGATGGTACAACGAAGTTACTCGAGGACTGTTACAACGAAGCAGACACATTAGGGTGCCCGCCATGGGAATTGCTTAATCTTGAAGTAGACGTGATCCTCGAGCTTGCTAGTCGTGTTACAAAGGAATTTGGGATCTCGCCAGAATACGCCGAAAATGCTGTGCACCCTTACCTTGTTCAGCAGATTGGAGAGAACGAACTTGAGGCGAAAGTCAAGATGTCCAAGTCCCCTGTTGTCTTGTTAAGGGCCACAAACCTTCCTTCTTGGCAAATATCATGCTGCGAGTCGCTTCGTTCCTGGTACCCGCGTGATCATATTTTTAGACTCACCTCTACTGCGTCCCCAGATGTCACCGGTATCGACATGAATGATCATCTCCGTAAAATCAAGGTCGACGATGACGCTCGCTTGGACACCAGTGATCTCAAAGCGAAGTTGGATCAATGTCAGAGAGATTGTCAATCTGTATATGCCGTGATAACTATTGTGGGCACGGCTGAGCATGGAGCCGTCGACCCACTAGGCGACATTATTGACACTCGCAAAATGTATCAAGCAAACGGCCTGTATTTCTATGTCCATGCCGATGCAGGTTGGCTACGTTTCCTTTTTCCTTTCCCCTTGCCTTGCGATGAACTGCATTTTTTATAGGGAGGGTACTTTGCAACGCTACTGGTAAGTAGTAGAATCCCGTGTATCATAGCGCACTGATTAAAATGCATATATCGAAACAGCGCCAGCCCAGTGGTTCAGTTTCTAAGGCTGCTCCTGGATTGCAAGTTCCTTCTGAGAATTCGCCTGCAAGTGATATGGTTCTCCAACAACCACTGTCTGACTATATGCAGAAGCACATCGCCGCCATGTCTAGTGCCGACTCGGTCACTATCGATCCGCACCTGGCGGGCTTCGTACCTTATCCTGCGGGAGGGCTCTGTTTTCGAAACCAGCAAGCACGATTTATGCTCACCACCTCAGCCCCATACGTAAACGCAGATAGCCCTCACGAAAATATGGGTGTGTATGGCCTGGAAGGAAGGTGAGGATGATATTCATGTCAGTGCATCTCGGCTTTCTACAATCAGTTTTTTTCCTGCCACAGTAAACCAGGCGCAGCCCCTGTAGCCGTTTACCTTTCGCACTCTGTCATCGGTTTGCATAGCCAAGGTTACGGAGCTCTTCTTGGAGAGGCTGCTTTTACTGCTGTGAAGGTGTGTGAAATCAAGGATTTGCTTTAGTGATCCCTCGATCTCACTTGGCTCAAGATGTATTGCAATTGGGCAACGATGTCGCTTAATGATCCCGACCTGATTGTAACTCCCTTCACTAGGCTACTGGCAGAAAGGAACGGCGGCGACGTTCAATATATCCTGGACAATATCGTACATAAGACTAACAGCGAGATCTTGGACAATCCAGATGCTAGCAAGTTGATCAAAGAGCTAGGCTCGGACCTTGTCATCAATCTTTTCGCATGTCACTTCAATGTGGCCCCCAGCACTCCAAATACGGATGTTCAACAAGCCAACCTCCTGGACTACGCTATGTACGAAGCGCTGTCCCTTCTCAAACATACGGACGATGCAATGTCAAAGAAGATCATTATAGGATCCACAGTACTCAAAAGTGCAAAATTTGGGTCTGCTCTGGTTAACTATAAGAAGCGTTTAGGGCTTGGGGGTGATGGTGACCTCAGGGTCATCAGTGCTACTTCTACGTCGCCCCTCCCCATCTCTCACAATTTCGTCAACGAAGTGGCCAACTTCTCCAGAGACACTGCAAAAGGATTTATCATGGTTGGTGCCAATCACTAGACGAATGGTCCGTGCTGTTACTGATACGCCCCCAGACTCCTAAACCATTCGATGGTGGGTGTTCAAGCTCTCCTAGTGCAGCCACTTTTTGTATAATACTATTTTTCCAAAAATATACCGAAACTTTAACGCATTGTTGAACACACCACCACTGACTGGCATAATATGCTGTGGCAACTATTGTGCCCTATTTGTACTCACCGGAAATCACTCAGCCTTTGCACCGCATCAAGGCCATTCTGGACATTCTTGCCGGCCGGATCTGAAAATAAACAAAATGATACCTTTCTTTCTCGCTTGCCTTTCGGTTCGAAAGCTACCTCTGAGATGTCCATGCTATGTTGTTCCTGTAATAATCCACAGTGGACTCAGAGAGTACAGAAAAGCAAATCGGATCAGCCGGGGATTGTACCCAGGACCTCCTGCCTATATATGGCGGTGCTCTAACCAACTGAGCTACCAGCCCTTGGATATCAACACTAAATTGCACAATGTTGTCTAACAAGGCCCAGGCTTTGACCTTGACAATAACAACAGTTCCTACACTGGGAGAGATGCAAACCTCTGAGATGTCCATGCTCAACTATGTTGTTCCTACACTGGGAGAGATGCAAAACATTGTAGAAGGTATATTTGGCTACACACCATGTATCTGGCAGTTAAAATCAGCTCAAGCTCAGCTTTGAAAGCAAGATGTCTTTACCTTGTCAGCAATCAGTTCTGGAAAGACACTATGCTTCTGGATTCCTCTTTTGTTCAATGACAACGGCATTATTGTTCTTGTGATACCACTTAATATTCTTGGAGATAAGAACATTGAGGAACTGAATGCAATTGGTATACCAGGTATCAATCTGACTGCAACTACAGCTATGGACAAAATCTTTCAGGTACTAAGTACTTGCACAAGTTATTTATTATCACTGAACTTATACAACAAAATATGGCTGCAAGAAAATTCCGTGCTATAATTGTTAGCCCAGAACAAGTGTGGAATGACCCTCATTTCAAGAATCTGTGGGATAATCTTAAATCCGTTCAAAGGCTATTTAATGTGACACTAGATGAGGCCCATTGCGCCAGTGACATGATTTTGCTGTAAGGAATCAATGATGATGTATATGCTCATGGCTGCTAGTAGTGTCTCCCGAAATATTCAATGTTATACAAATTCCCTCACATTTGCAGCATGTTTTTGTTTGTACACACTGGTCACTGAGTTCAATTATATATTATATTTTATATCTATGTTTGGTTGGAATGGCCTTGATGCGGTGCAAAGGCTGAGTGATTTCCAGTGAGTACAAATAGGGCACAATAGTTGCCACAGCATATTATGCTAGTTGGTGGTGGGTGTTCAACAATGTGTTAAAGTTTCGGTATATTTTTGGAAAAATAGTATTATACAAAAAGTGGCTGCACTAGGAGAGCTTGAACACCCACCATCAAATGGTTTAGGAGTCTGATACGCCCCTAGACATCATGTCTCCCTCACATCCGTGATGACCCTACTTGCCATGAGTTCATCGTGCATGGCACAGAAGATACCTTATATCTCTCATATATGCCTATGTTCACGATGAAAAGTCATCAGCAGCAGCTCATAGTTACAGGCACACTACCAAAGGCTGCTATGGAGACATACCTAGAAGCCCGCAAAAAAAGTGATCTTCCTTTTGTTCTTTTCACAGAGGCTGTAAGGATAAGCAAGTTTTTGGTGAAGAAGAAATGTACAGTGTCAATTTCCATGGGGCTGCCCATAGTGATACAGTGCGTTGCTCGTCTTTTTTATTAGAAATAAATTAATAATCTGACCACCTGATTTTTGAAGTGGCACTCCCTGAAACATTATTGACAGTGTTGAGCTCACTGTCACCAATGTCATCAAGAATTGGTCCCTTGCACCTGGGTATCTAGAGAACACATACCCCAAAGCGATGCAGTTCTATCTCTATGGTACAGCCAACCAGTAGCATATTGACCATATGTTACTTTATGCTCTCAACATTCAGCTGACTTCTAGTCAGGTCAAGCTGACAAATGTCAATATTTCCAAATTGACAAGTGGCTTGGCAAAGGGTTTGATTGCTGTTGTGGACGCAAAATTTTTACCTGAAGATATGATGCAGCTGTTCAGCAGCGACAACAGCCCTAATTTCTTTCAACGTGGGAAATCCTTCCATGTCAGCATCTACAACGCTCCTCATCTTCCTGATGTGAATGGTCCTCATTTGCTTGACAATCTGGGGCCCATTCTTGCCATGGCAACTGTGACACTGGAGAATGATATCTATATGGATTATGCAAACATTCCAGTCAACCTGTTATTGTTGACGATGTCGGGAAAGCAATTTCCAGAGCTGTCTTGTCTCAGATGAACCAAAGGGCCAAATATCACATTGTGTCCAGAGTTGGTCAGGGAGATGATGTTGTTGGCATTATCAGTCGCTTTGTGGTCAAGGCTCCCATCAATGAGCATAGCCGCCTAGAAATTTGCAAAGGTTGGACAAATGACTTCTATGGAGGAATGACCAAGCGAGAGTTGATTAATTGGATGATCACTTGGCAACTGCAATGAAGTTCATACAAATGTTCTTGTACAGATAGTGTAGTGAACTGTATTCCTAGTCCAAAATAAATTGTTCATGATCTGACCATGTGCATCAAGCACAGAGACTCTGGTGAGATAACTGCCGTGTTACTGGAAAGAAAGCCTGGGCCTTCCCTATGCAGTCTCCTTTTTCTGCACTCCAGTCCCTCAAAGTACGACTGGAACGCAGCAGGAGGTGAGGAAGGCACCAAGGCATCACGACAATCCTCCTTGCTATTCAAGGAGACAAATGGAATACCACATGTAAGAACGGGGAGGAGAGAGGAGATCAATATGATGCTTGTGGCACTGGAGACAGGAGTTAGAAGATTCTCTGACTTTGAAACTGGTCTCTGAAGATAGGAAGAGAAAGGATGGGGTTGGGGTTAAGACAAGTCCAATGACACTTTGATGTTAACAAGCGAAGCAGCATTATTGATGGGATCTGGTAGATCAGAAACACAGATTAAAACACCCAAGGTTTCAATATATGTAGTCACATTGGGCAAGGACAATAAAGAAACAAGAGAGATTAGGTCGTGCACAAACCAAAATAACCCCACAGCAAAGCAACATAGAGAAATAAAATATTGTCAGTCTCCTACCCACCCTCTATTTTGAGAGAGGAGGGATTTATCCTAGTGCTTTGATGTTGGGATGATATACAAAAATAAAATAGAAATAAAACACATCACATGACTCAAAAATTTGAACATCCCTTGCTCTCTCTCCATAATGGCTGGAACATAACATCAGTAAACAACGGTTTGCCACAGTGACAGTGACGGGGATGATGACAGTGGACTCCCAATAAAATACCTTTTCTTAAGTAATACAGATTAATATTTGAATATAATGTTTATTCTATTTCAGGAAACTAGGTTGAGTGACTCAACAACCAATTTTGATTGAGGAGTTCTGTGTTCGGGACATGGCATCCAAATTTCAAGGCCTTGCACCAAGGTTATGGTCTCAAGTCAGTGACTTGCTCAGTTCAAATCCAAGACGTAGCTCAAGGGGACTGAACAGGATGAGGATGTCACAATGGCTGAAGTCAATGTTGAGGAGGAGGAGGAATACTGGGCGCAAATGGAGGGGTTATATTTGGAGGGCATTGTGAACAATATAGTGAGCAGTCCTTCACTACGCGGTCAAAAATTCAAGGAACAATATAAACCTAGTTGGCTCTGTGTGGTCATCAAATGTCCAACCTTGAGGTGTACTTATGTGTCCGAATGTAGTAGATGATGATATAATCAATCCTTTTTTTATATTCATATTTTATTGTGAGTCTGCTGTCATCATCCCGGTCACTGTCACTGTGGCAAACCATGACAAAACCGGATAAACCCGGTCTCTGCCGAAGCAGCCATTGTTCTCCATGGAGCATAGCCACCACTCCATGGAGTAACCATTGTTCTCCTAGGAGTCATTATACTGTAGCGAGTAGCACCTCCGACTATAAGTAGTAGGGGGTTTAGTATAGAAATACCTCAGTCATTTCTATAGCCTCTTGGGCAGCGGCTGAGTTTCACATAGTTTTATTAGGTTATGAGCCCTGGTACGCAAAAGCTACGCAGGAAATAATTATCATTTGAAACGGCAACCTCGGAACCATGACCACAGCACGCGATACATCCGCATGTCCAGTTCTCACTGGACCCAATAATTTTCAGATATGGAAACTCCGGATCATCTCAAAGCTATGTCGGGAAAAAGTTCTCCGGGTTGTTACTGGAGAGGAGCTTAAGCCCTCACCAGGAAAACCTACCTCCTTGGAGGATCCTGAGATCACCTGGATACTTAAGGATGAGAAGGCACATGGAATCATCCAGGACCACATCTCTGATGCCCTCCTAATGAGGACTGGAGACCTCACCAGCTCCAAGGAGTTATTTGATAAACTTGTCTCACTCCATCAAACGTCCAACATTGCCTCGGCCTTCTATTCATTCCAGCAACTCACCAAATTGTCCTGGGATGGGACATCACCTATTCTGGACCACATTGCAAAAATCCGGACAATTGATTCACACCTCTCCGGAATGAAACTAGGAGTTGATACCAAACTCATGGCTTTTGCTCTTCTCCAATCTCTCCCATGCACTCCTGAATGGCAAATATTTCAGTCATCAGTAATCAACACGATTGAAGAAAATAAACTTACCTTTGATGCAGTTGAGATCCGGATCACTGCAGAAGTTGCACAACAGTCAGGGAAGGCCCCTGGAGGTTCCAAATCAGCACTTAAATCCGAGGAGAAGTGGTGTAACTTCCACAAAGCCAAATCACACAACACCTCGGAGTGTCGAACACTTCAGTCAGCTGAAAAAGGTCAAAGGAAGAAGGAAAAGGCAAATACAGCGGAGCAATCATCCGGATCTGACTCCGAGGAGGAACAGAGTCATATTGCATTGGAACATGTACATATTTCCAAGCCCCTTGCTAAACACATTCAAGCTTACCTTGTGTCGGAACCCAATAAGACCAAAACAACAATTATTATTGACTCCGGAGCAACATCCCACATGGTCCCTCACCGCTCCTGGTTTGAGCCAGGAACATACCATGTTCTGCATCCTCCGAGGACAATCAGTTTTGGGGATGAATCCTCTGTAAATGCCATTGGCATTGGAACAGTAATCCTACAAGCAACTGTTGGCAAAAAGGACTACAATATTGCACTGTCAAATGTCTTACTTGTGCCAAACTTCACGTTAGCACCCGTCTCTGTCCACAAATTGTCCAAAACCGGGTTATCGACACTTTTTCCAGCAGGGTCAAATGCTTGTGAAGTTTGGAAAAAGGAGGAACTTATCCTCACTGCGTTACACAAGCGAGGACTTTATCACATCCAAGCAAAACCCGAAATCAACCCAGAGTCAGCTTTTGCAGCAGTAGATGTAAATTTATTGCACAGGAGAATGGGACACATTGGAATGGACCGCTTGCAACAAATGGTTACAAAAAGACAGCTCCAGGACATAGACACCCTTACCGGAACCCCGGAGTTTTGTGAACCTTGTGTTTTAGGAAAGATGAAGAAATTACCTTTCAAGTCCACTGGAGGAAACCGAGCCAAGCGCCCCATACAAATTGTGCACACAGATGTTGGAGGACCAATCAAACCAACCTCCAAGGAGGGTTTTTGGTACTGGATTATCATTGTAGATGATTTCTCCAAATTTCCATGGATATATTTCCTAAAACATAAAAGTGAAGCACTGGAACGATACAAGCAATGGAAAGAAGATGTCCAAACATTCTTCCGGACTCATTTGGGAGAAGAAAACTTCACTCCACTATACACAGAATTCCTCCAGAGCGATGGGGGAGGAGAATATACTGGCAATGCATTCAAAAATCAACTCCGAGGAGATGGTGTCATCCAAGAAACTACAGCTGCAGATATTCCGGAACAAAATGGCATTGCAGAACGCATGAATCAGACATTGGCTACATTAGCAACCACTATGCTCCATGATTCCAAGCTCCCAAAGTTATTTTGGGTAGATGCCATGCAAACAGCTGCATATATCACAGCACGCAGCCCAGCATCAGGACTCCATGGAAAGACCCCATATGAAATACTGTTTAAAAGGAGAGTTGATCCAACTTTGTTTCGCCCTTTTGGATGCCAAGCATATGCCTTGATTCTGAAAGACAAAAGGCAAGGGAAGTTTTACTCCAAGGGGCGCAAAGCCATAATGATTGGCTACACACATGGAAAGCAAGCCTACAAACTCCTAGACACTGAAAAACGGACTGTGTTTTCCAGTTGGCATGTCATATTCAATGAATCCGGAAAGGTACAAAAGGATGACACTGCTCCCTGGAACACAGACACTAGCACAGATCAGTGGGAGGGACTCATTC